CGGGGAGGCTTTCGTAAAATTAAAATTAATCTTCTGTAACAAGTGAGAGGGAAACAGCGAAAAAAGCGATGGAAAACAAAACTGAAATTTTTTAAACAGTTGGTAGAGTGTAGAAGATGTGCGGGGCGCTTGCATGAGAAATTAAAATGTAGAAAAATATTAAAGTACATACATTATTTGAAAACAAAATAATCAAAAAACAAATTACAAAAGATTTTTCGAAAAAAAAACCATAAAAGTTTGCGCGGTAAATCCAATGTTTGGTGCATGAATGCCGACGCACAAATGCATACCCAAATATTTTTTTCAATTCAAGGTAATTTTTCAAGCAATTTTTTTCAATTTCATGTTTTTCAACTTTTGCAGGAGCGAGAAAACGCGCAAGGAGCAAAAATTTTAGCGTAGGACGCAGGCTCGCGGAATCTGTCAGGTCATCAGGAAGGAATCTGACAACTTCCCTGCTTTTCCTCGTGTAATTTACTCCAGAGAGCGCTTTCCCCGGTTTCAAGTGTCAAAAACGTGGCAAAAAAGGTTTTTTTTTTGAATTTTTGTGTAAGAAACGGGAAAAGAACGTTGATCTTTAAAGAATGAGAGTAATCCCTCAAAATGACTTGTTTTTTGGCAATTGTTTTTTCGTCTTTGTTTTTGCGTTCGATTGTGGGACTTTTTTCAATTTTTATTTTTTTTGGATGTTTGATGGTTATCTTTTTAACATTTGTAACCGATTTTAACTAATAAACTGATTTTCAAAGTCTTACTACTGTAATACGTACAATTTCTCAGTTTCTGAATTAACCAAATGTCTGAACTTCTGGGAAAGTTTTTAATGGCCACTATGGTAATCAAATTAGTGGCCACTTAAGGGGTTTGAAATAAGTGGCCACTATAGAGGTCTAAGTGCTACTACTAGGCCACTAAAAATTAAAATTTCAGTGGCCACTTTAGGGATCAATGGATCAACATAACTGGTCCAATTTGTTTGTTTTAAAATTATCAGAGTTGCTGGAAGAAATACTGAATGAAAAACTACTGGAGTGACCCCTAAATAAAGAATTTGGCCACTAAATAAAGAGAATAAATAAAGAGAATGGCCACTGTAGGGTTTTGACGTTTTAGTGGCCACTGTAGTGGTCAAAATAGTGGCCACTATAGAGGTCTAAGTGCTAATACTAGACCACTAAAAATTTCAGTGGCCACTTTAGGGGTCGATGCATCAACATAACTGGTCCAATTTGTTTGTTTTAAAATTATCAGAGTTACTGGAAGGAATACTGGATGAAAAACTACTGAAGTGGCCACTAAAACGGAAAATAGTGGCCACTTTAGTGTCCTCTCCAAGTAGTTCTTGGCGAGCCTCTATAGTGGCCACTACAAATTTCCCCTGTTAAGTATATTTTCCGAGAGTCCTGAGCCTAGAAATTTCCAGTTTTCAGTACAAAACAGCTCCTGCAACCTGGATTTAATCAATCATTCTCATCTTGTTTAAAAATCTTTGAATAATGCTGCTTATTCGAAAAACTAGTCCATTTTGTACAAAATCTAGAGCTTCAAGTCCGGAATAACTCGCTCAACTTGAAAATAACGAATCGTCATAACTAAGTATGGGAAGAGAGGAGAAAAGGAGTGCAGGGAACCGAAACAATCAGCAAAAAAGTGTAGGAAAAGGAGAAGAAGAAAAGGAAAGAAAGGTCCCCAAGTAAGGAGAAGCGGCAACAAATTGGGTGGAAAAGCTGCCCCGGGTGTCTTCGAAATCCGGCACAAAGTTTCCGCCCTCTCTCTCCCTCTCTCTCGGCATCACACTTACTCTCGTGGTTTCCGATTCCAGCTTGTTTTCCTTTTTTGGTGGTTATTCATGGTATTATTGAGAAAAAATTGATGAGAAAAAAGTAAATATCATCATGAGGTTATTAGGAACGCTAAAGTGGTCCCTATAGGGGTTGAAGGTCTGACCGCTAAGTACCTAAAGCTCAAGGGGTCCCTATACAGGTACAATTAAGGTGATCCCCAAAGGGGTTTAAGGTCTGACCGCTAAGTATCTAAAGGTCAAGTGATCTCTATAGGAGCATAATTTAGGTGATCCCTACAGGGTTCAGGCTCTGGCCCATAAGTCCCTAAAGCTCAAGTGGTCCCTATACAGGTACAATTAAGGTGATCCCTAAAGGGGTTCAAGGTCTGACCGCTAAGTACCTAAAGCTCAAGTGGTCCCTAGAGTGGTAAAATTAAGGTGGACCCTATAGAGGTTTAAGGTTTGACCGCTGTGCATCTAGAGCTCAAGTGGCCCCTATAGGGTCTTCTTTAATTTTTTGTAATGACATTTTTAAACCAAATTACGCTAATTTATCAAGTTTTTCGCGTGGAAATGCTTCTTCTCGTATCGACTAACATTTCCCTATAGGGACCACTTTTGCAAGCTTTAGTGGCCCCCATAGGGAAAGGTAAAGTGATCCCTAGAGGGTTCTTAAGGTTGCCCCTAGAGGGACCACTGTGAAGTTTCTTTTGTTTTACTTTTTCAACATTTGAATCAAAGAAAATTCGTCAAAAACGTGCCGGAAAAGAAAAAAATGAATGAAGATGAAGAAATTCTGAATTTTTCTTTGAAAAACCTCAAAATTGCCAGCCTTACACGCGGTCCAATAGAGAAAAAAACGGCCTGGAAAATAAATTTTCGAAAATTGGGCCAATAATATTGAGATTTCGAAGGGGATCTGTGCTTCATGGAAAAAAATACCTTGAAAAAAATTGTTTTTTGAGGAATAAGGCAAAAAAATGTGAAAAGTGTTCAGAAAAAAATACCTACAAGGGCTCAAGTTTCATATTTATTTTTTTAAACTCTGAAACTTTTTTTGTGAAAAAAATTTATAATTTTGATGAAAAATATAACGCTTCATGGTCCATGGAAAGTGATTATGAAATTTTTTTAATAGAAAAAAATTTTTTCTCACGATTTTTTTCAATTTTTCAAGTCCACCTTCTTTGAAGTCCGAAAAACCGGCAGTTCCAATAATTTTTTTAGGATGATCGAAAAAAAGGGCTCAGGAAGCAAATCTACAAAAGTGGACCCAGTATTTTTATTTATTTTCCCAAAGCCGGTAACTTTTTTGTGTAGAAACGATAAATTTTGATTAAAATACGTGCTTCATGGTCCATCTTCTCACGATTTTCCTATTTTTTGCTGATTTTTTTTGTCCAAATCTTTTTTCTCAAATTCAAGATAACTAGCGGTTAAAATTAGACCCATTAAACCCGGGATTTCCTGCCCAAGAAAAAAAAGTAAGTGTCCGGCAGTGATTGATGATTGTTTTCGAAGAAAGCAACCGCAAGGAAGAGTTCACAAAAACAAACGAGCGTTTGAAAATAATTCTATTTTTTTGAAAATAGAATTTATGAGCTATTTTTAGTGAGGAAATTAGCTCCATGGATAAATTTTTGAAATTTTGAATCAGGAAAATGAACGGATTTAATGGTTTAATTTTCGCTCCGTGTAAAGTTTTGAGAGGAAATTTAAAAATCCTGGGAAAAATTTTAGTGGTCACTATAGGGTTTTGACGTTTAGTGACCACTATACTAGTCAAATTAGTGGCCTCTTACGGAATTAAATAAAAGTGGCGACTATAGAGGTCTAAGGGCTACTACTAGGCCACTAAAAATTGAAATTTCAGTGGCCACTTTAGGGGTCAATGGATCATCATAACTGGTCCGATTTGTTTGTTTTAAAATTATCAGAGTTACTGGAAAAAAAAACTACTGAAGTGGCCACTAAACAGAAAGCTTCTATAGTGGCCACTAAAACGGAAAATAGTGGCCACTATAGAGGTGGGTTTAGTGGCCACTTTAGTGTCCCCTCCAAGTAGTCCTTGGCGAGTCTCTATAATGGCCACTAGACATTTTTCCTAATAAGTCAATTTTAAAAAAACTTCAAATGACTCATTTTTTTAAATTCAGAAGTTTTTGTAACAAAAGAGGATTCATGAACTTGAAAAAGCATACTGATTCCAAAAAAAAGTTGAGAAAGAGCAAATTTCCGGCGGAAATTTAACAAATGTTCTCGGTCAGCTTTCCCACATGCTTTGTTCATTTTCATTTTCTTTTTTGTTTCTCGACTTTTGAGCGCATCTGGCATCAAACACAAGCCTGCGCCTGACAGCTCGTCAAATTTCATTCCAGAAAACTTTTTTTCCCATATCAAAATCCGAGCTTTTTATTTCAACACAATCATTCTAGCTATCAAGGTTTCTGCTTAACACAAAATATACAGAAAATATTACATAAATTAAATATAACAAACATACGTAAAATGAAGGGAAAATACACGGGGAACTTTAGAGAAAATTACCGGCGGAAGAACAACCTAACGGAGAAAAATCGACCGGGGCTAAGCGGAGATCGAAAACCACTACCTTTTCTACTCATACTGATATGATGATTTTCTAACAAGTTGAAAAAATGATAAGCGATAATATTTGGCAGAAAAAGAATAAGGTAAGATTGTTGGCTGGCCGGGCTAGATGAACATGGAAACTCGTAAAACGTATTACAAAAGAAAACTCATCAAAATAGAAATTTCGTTCTTTTTTTCTGAAAATGCTTTGAAGGCGCAAGGGGGAACCAAATTTCGTTCGTTGTGGGACCTTTTATTGGTTACCTGCGTTGCGCCTTTAAAAAACATCACAGTTTTTTTCAAACCTTCAATCACTCACTAAAAAACTTGATTTTCGAGAAAATTGAGGCGAAAAAAGCCCAGTAAAAACATGTAACTGTGCTCCACCGAGAACCTTCTTTTCAAGTGCTCAGATTCCGGCAACGCGAACCGGACTTTTCTAAGAATTTCAAGTAATCACTTAAGAGGGTTGACCCTGCTAAAGGGATCACTAGAAATGCTCAAAAACTTCCGGTTGGGGGTCCAACTGGCATGATGATAATGATAAAGTGAACAAGAAGAAGAAAAAGAAGCTTATTTTCGAGAGGGAAAATTCGTTGGCGTGAAACAAGAGGCACTAGGTTTAAGGACGAAGAAGCTGGGACAAGAAGGCGTCGTCGCAGCACTCGGCTGGGACTTTCCCGTCGGCATCTTGGACGTTTTTGGCCGCGCCGGCGCCCAAAAGAAGCTCAGCGGCGCGAACTCTGTGGCACTGGGCGGCTGAAGGAAAACATATCGAATTCGAACTCAAAAAATTCCCTTGACAGTTTCAATCTGGGATTTGGGAAAAAAAAAAGTTTTGAGATATTATAGTGCGTCCGTCGCGAATTGACAGTTTTCGCGTGTCTGCGTCTCTCTGTTCCCTCACCTGCGAGGCCAGAGGAACATGGAAACAGCACGTAAATAAGAGAGAGACGAAAGATAAAGAGGGCGCAGAGAAGTCCCACACTTTCAAGTCGCGAAAAACGGACTAAGAGCAACTTTTCGAATTTCTATGGTCAAAAAAATCCTTGTTTTGGATTTATCCTATCAGTATTTGTCAAAAAACTCGCTAGAGAACATTTTTAGCCCCTGGTTGAACTTGTGACAAAACTATGAACCTTCAAAGATTGCAAATTGAGAGAATAATGACCAAAAACCGCTAATTCAAGCAAGAGCCGAAAGTTCGTTACGGGGAAAACCTGAAGTGAGCCCTGGGAAGTTGAGATTTAGGGAGTCAAATAGGGGGCCCTTTAGTATACATTTGTAGGGGGTTTTTTTCTCCCTATAGGACCTACTACAGCTTTCCTCGGTAGTTAGTGCAGTCATTCTATTAGGGACTCCTGGAACTCAACTTTTTATTTGAGGAACAAAAAATGATTTTTGATGTACTTCTGTAGGGATCAATGGCTTCAAGGGCGTTAATTTTCAAATTACAGTCTCAATTTTATTTTGAACTGTTTCAAACCTATTTTTCAAGGCCACCGACCCCTCCTCCCAAGATATCCTAAATTAAAGTTAATACGACCTCCCGGAGGCTAAAGCTTGTATCAGTTTGGCCAAAACTACCTCCCTGAGGTTCGAATTTGATTTTTTTTATTCCTGCTTTTTCCAAAAAGTTTACAACCCCTTCTCCCGGCCTGATTGAGTTCTGTATTTGCCCATCTATGGTTTCAAAGGGACTTCAAGGTCTCCATCAACCTTCTGAAAACTTCTGAATACGTACCGAAATGCAATGGGGTCGAGCCGTAAGAGTCGGTAGCGTTGACGTTGGCGCCGTTCATAATGAGGAAATCGATGACTTTCTCGCATCCACGGTCCACCGCCGACAACAGAGCAGTCATCTACAGGATTCTTGAATTTTCCGACAATATAACCGGAAAAAACCCCAAGATGCTGATCCGTGGCTTCCAAGAGAGCCGAGTCCTTGGCTAAAAGCCGTCTCATCTTGTCCACGTCGTCGTTTTGCATCGCCATGAACCATTCGCGCTCCACCGGAGTTTCAACTCGCGTCTCTTGGACGTGCGGGACGTTTTCGTAGTCGCTCTAGGGAATGAACGGTAAAAATTCGTAAAAATTGTTTTTGAAAGAAGTTTTTCAAATAAATTTGGCTCGAATTTTATTTCAAGACTAAGCTATCGCGGGAAAATGTCTGAAGGAAATATTCCGTAAAATCACGACTTTTTTGATTTTCGAATGTCTTCTGGAATTGAAAAAAAAATTGAGAACATTATGAGAAGCAGAATCTACTTAGAGGTCAGAGGATCTCGGGAAAACGCCTGGAAAAAATATATTTCGTGAAAATCTTAAAAAAGCTTTCAGAGAATTGATTGGAATAGAGTGTTATAAAAAAAGCAGAAACTATTTAAAAATTAGAATATCTCGGGAAAATGTCTGACAATCATATTTTCACTTAACTACCGGAAAAATTACACCTGATTCTTACCTCAAAAAAATCGACTAAAAAAATTTTTTTCACAAAATTTGCAAAAAGAAGGCCGAAAAAAATGCGTGAAAAAAATCGAACATTTTTGTATTTGCAAAAAAATATACTGTTAGAAATTTCCGTTGAGTAGAAAAAAACGGTTAAAAGGATAATTTTAGCAAGATTAAATGATTTGAAATTTAGAAAAAACCGCAATGACATGAGAAATTTTTTTAAAACTTTGTCCAGTGGCCATTTAATTAAAATTATTCTTAAGGCTTTAAATCTGCATTAAAGTTTCAACATCCTTCAAATAAAAATATTTTTCATAAGGGGAGATAAATGCGTGAGACTTGTTTTCAAAGAAGAAAAAATATTTTGCAAAAAACCTCGATATCGGCCATCCGACTAGGCTTATTTCCCCAGCCATGGACTCCCGAACAAGTCGCCGGATTCCAGTCAGGAGCATGATATCGGAGCTTCTCGCAGTAGGCGTGCATCGCCTCTTCGCGCGTCAAATTCTTGTTCATGAGCCAGGATTCGAACTTGGCGCGCGATTGGACATCATACCAGGAAGGGCGTTGCGACTCGTCTGAATATTTTTCGATATTCAAAGTCTTTTCAAAACTTGACTTCGAGAACCCTAAAATCTGTTTATAAATTCGTTCTGTGTAGTGAAAAAGCTTCGAAATTCCGTGTTCAAAGGAATTTTGCGAAATCAAAAATAACCGTCAGAGAAAGAAAAAGATAACTGAATTTTGGAAAGTCAGAGATAACTTTGAACTTGCGAAAATTACTTCAAACACTACATAGGCTGGCTTGAGCCATCGAATAAAGGGTCTTGACACGATGAAAAAATGAGAATGGAGAGCGCAGACGAAGTGATAAAGGCTTTTCGTGTCAAGACCTCTACGAACTTTTTTTCGCTCTTTTTAACTCCTAGCGAAGATTTCCGAACAGACATATTGTTGGAGAAAAATGATTGAAAAGTGTTTTTTCTATCAAAATTAAGCTTGAAAGTTATAAACACAGAAAAAAAGAGAAAATGTGAAACTTTTTGCACTTTTAAGGCATTTGGATGGTTTCCAAGCAAACTTGTTTCATTTTGCACATTTGAGAGCCTCCAATCATGTAAGCTTGAAGCCAAAAAAAAACGTTAAAAAAAGTTTTGAAAAAATACTTCGAAAAAAAAACGAAACAAAAAAGCGATTTCACTCAATTTTCTCATATCGTTTTCAGAGTGATTTCGTGAAATACAAAAGCCGTCAGAAAATGTGAAGGATAACTAAATTTTGAAGAGTCAGAGAAAATTTTGAACTTGGTGCAGTTATTTCGAACACCATTCTAAATAATTACCTACCTGGAGGCCCGCAACAGGCCTGCTTATACAGTCCATAAAATTGCAGAGTGTCGGTTCGATCCAAAGTTCCTATAACATTGGGTAAATAAACAGCGGCCGAGTTGAAAGCCTTCCTCGTCGCTATATCAATCTAAATTTTCAAATTTTCCTTTTTTTCCCTTCTTTTTCAAACTCCATCGTCAATCTCCTCGGTTTCCTCCGTCTCCTCGTTCTCCTTGCTGTTGCCGCCGCTGTTCGATCGCCATTTCTGGAATACTTGGCCAAAATGAACGGCGAACATCTTCAAAAGGTTAGAATGGCATTTTGAAACGAAAAAAAAACTGAAATACAAGACGAGTTTTACGGGTTCCAAACCGAAAAGAACAAAATAAAAGTACAGGTTTATTTGAAAATTACCAGTCAAAGTGTACATGTAATCAATAAAAAAAATGTTCAAGCAGCGTTTTTTAATCGTTCCCATTTTTCTGGCGAATAAGTTGAAATATCGACTGCGTGGATCGTGTCCATAACGTCAGCCAGCTTTTCGTAGATTATTCTGAAATTATAACTTCATTGAATAAATATTATAAATTACTTTTTACAAACCTATGGGAGGCAAGAGTTGTCTTGGCGTTGAATTGTTCAGAAACGACTTCAATCAAAAATTTGGCCCCACAACCGTCGGACTGATCAACGACTTTCTAAAAAAGATTGGATAAAAATTTCATAAAACTAGAATCGAACCAGGTGGCTGGGTTCCAGAGACTGAAGTCTTTGTTTTACGTCGTCTTCTGATACTGGCATGACTGAAATTTTGAAGTAATATTGAGAATTTTCATCCTATAGAAAAATAAATAACGATCGTTTTCGAAAATTGACGTCTGCTTTGAGACGAATAATCAGTTTAAAATAAAAGAAACACTCATTAGTTATTTTAATCAATATTGAGAAAGTATGACAACTATGAAAACTACGTCAAAAGAAAAAAAAGGTTTTTTTAATGAACTCTTCAGCTGAAGTTTTTTAAATTCCACTCGAAAACTATGATAATATCGCATATTACCCTTCAAAAGTCCAATAAGACTCAAGGAGACAGCTATATCTAGCAAAAAAAGTTTAAATATCTTTCAAACAGAAAATAATATTTAAAAAAATAAAAAGGTCAAGATTTAAATTTTTTTAGCTAGTTCTCACAATATAAAAGCCCGTAATTTGAAATGAAAAAAAATCCGTTTTCCTGCTTTCCCACAACAAACCTCAACCAAATAAAAATGAAAAGAACGATGGTACTTTTAACTGTAAAAAAACTTCAATTTTCATTCCTTTTTTTACTGCCTTTATTCAGTTTTTGGCAAATGTCCATAAATGGCGAGAGAGTCTTGGAAAACATGTAACTGCCCTCAGAGTTCAGTGAGAGACGCAGTCGATGGGCATCTACGCAGAGTGTGCACTTTACGCTTGAGAGGCGCAGACAGTCGTTGGCTCGAAGCCAGCGGATCAATAATCCGCTTTGCCCGCCCTTTCTACAAGCGTTTCCAACCTTTTTAATATTTTATTTTATAATTCGATTTATTGAAGCTTGTTTTGACGTAGAAATTAAATTTGAAGTTCGTCTTTATTTTATCAGGAAAGAATTTGCCTCATCTTCTCATTTTAAAGCACTTTTCACTGATTTATTTGATGTGTCCTCAGACTTGCAACTTCAATTTTTTTCTTTCCATTTCTTTATTTTTTTAGAAAGAAAAGATACTTCAAAGCTCAAGGTCTATGGAGTAGCTGACCTTCACATCCGTTGAAGCTGTGATTTATAAGTTTACGGAAGATTAATTTTGAAAAGTTCAGAACTCCAAATCTGAAGCGCTGCCCATAAGATCGAGGGGACAAGCGAAAAATGACGGTATTTGGGTTTCCAAAGAGTTTTTAAGTTTATTTTTCGCATTTTTAGTGTATTGAATGCGGTGGGGCCGTTTCCCCGGGTAGTGAACAATGCGAAGATTGTAAGCACGGTCGGCTGACAGGAAATTTAACACTACAGGTTTTCTTGAAGATGTTGAAAATGATTTTGAAAAAAAAAATGATTTTTTAGAGTGCAGTTGACATGATTCGGTGCAATCGTTGTGAGGGCCAGATTCTGCCTTCACAGTTGACGGGCACTCGTTTGTGTTCAAATTGTAACAAGTGAGGGAGTTTTCTCGATAAAAAGATAATTTTGATGATTTTCAAGACGAACCCACATCGCTTGTGATTCATCTGAGCATGGGATCGGATTTGTCTGCATAACTTGTCGTCAGTCGCCTTTAGTCGGCGATGTCATGTTTTCCGCTCCGCATTCGCCCTTCGCCCATGTCTCCAGAGGTTTGTTTTAATATTTTTTATCGTTCTTTCTTCATTTTGGAGAGTTATTTTTGAACCATATTGCGTTTTTTGAAATTTTTCTCACTAGGTTTTGGTTTCTTGTTTTTTTTTATTATCTAGTTTAACTTCTTAAAAAAGTCTTTGAAAACTCGTTTGAATACGTTTCAAAATCATTATATGGGACTATCTATTAGGGTTTTTTTGGTTACTTCACAGCACAAAGTCATTTGCTAGTTTTTCAAGCTTTATTGCTTGAATTTGCTGTTTTTCCTGTCGAAAAATTTTTGTCTGTTTTCAATTCTTTTCGAATTTTTTTGGATCCAATTGTTATTTTTGAATATATTTAATCTCAATTTGGTTTAAAATGTCATCAAAATCTTTCAAATTAAAGTTTTTAAGAACTTTCTTTCAACTTCATTTTTCAACAGTTCCAGAAAATTAATTTATGTTAAAAAAAAGTTTGGCATTTTTGTTTCGCATCACTGTTTCCCGTTTCAAATATTATTCCATATGAAGAATTTCATCCCGTTTATCTTATTGCATCTTTAGAAAATATCGCTCAACCCTTTAGAATCCCCAAAAAAGAATAATTTGGCCATTTATCAGGAAAATAAGCAAAAATTTAAATGCCCTTCCTTGTTATAACGAACTCCCCGCAATATTGTCACGTTTAAAAAAAGTTGGAGTAACTACAGTATGTAGAGCTTTTTTCGCTTCAAGACCTAGGATCGTAAAGTATACGGTATCATAGCCATAACAACGTGACAAGCCAAGGGATAGACTTTTTTACGTTTGATCCATGTCAATATCATCTTCATTTTCCAGCCCTCAACCCACACGAAGTGCTGGCCGGACCATCGATGGTTCTTTCGGGAATCCCGGCCATGCAGCACGCGTTGAGCAACGCCGTCGCCGCCGTCGGAGCCGACATCGCCGCCATGGGCGACTTTTCGGAGATCTATCAGCAGCTTGCTGAAGAAATCAACTCCCCTGCCACGACCAGTGATAGCAATAGGAATTCTCCCTCTTTCTATCCGGAAAATTCGCCGTCCGACGTTGATGACGATTTCGTTCCTGGAAGGTGGGTTTTCTAGAAGAAAAAGAAGCCTAGGAAGGTCCTAAACAAGGTCGATTACTGTTTTTTTCATAGAAAATGATCTAAAAATTTAAGGTTCTTTCATGGTTTTTTGAAGATCCACAAGTTGAATATAAATTTTCTTCAGTTTGAATTGATTTTTTCAAGTCAAAACGTCATTTTGGAGCTTGAAACGTCAGTTAATAGCTACAGTATCTCCAAAAAACCTTTCTTAGTCTCTAAAACGAGTTCGATTACCCTTTTTCATAGAAAATGATCTGAAATTTGAGGTTCTTTTATGGTTTTTCTAGAAAGTCTCGAGTTTAAAGGAGTCTTTTCTCAGTTTGAACGGGATTTTTCGAAATCAGAACGTATTTTTAATCTAGAAATGTAGTCAGGGAGCTAGGAACGATTATTGGATGCTATAGTATCCCCAAAAAACCATTTTCGGTTTTTGAAACTAGTTCGAATAATTTTTTTATAGGAAATCTTCTGAAATTTGAGGTTCTTTTATGGTTTTTCTAGAAAGTCTCGAGTTTAAAGGAGTCTTTTCTCAGTTTGAATAGGATTTTTCGAAATGAGGACGTTATTTTTAATCTAGAAATGTAGTCAGGAAGCTAGAAACGATTATTGGATGCTATAGTACCCCCAAAAAAACCTTTTTTTCGGCTTTTTGAAACTAGTTCGATTAATCTTTTTTTCATAAAAAAACCTTCTAAAATTTGAGATTCCTTCAGAAATTGTCGTTGAATACGCGGTTTTTTTAAAAAAATAAAACTAGTTTTCGTCATTTTTTTATTAGATTTTTTTGTGAAAGGTTGTTTTGGAGCTAGAAACGTTACTTAAGAGTTATAATCTTCCCAAAAAAATTAAAAACTTTCTTCAGGTTTTTTTGAAGACTGGATAGTATTTTTTTGACCTAAAAAAATATGAACTAAAAAGACTGAAAGGTCAAAAAAGCTCCTAAACTAGTTTGATCACCCTTTTCAACAGAAAATCATCAAAATTTTGATCTTCTATTATGGTTCTTTGAAAAGTATCAAATTGTATATTAATTTTTCGTTTTTTTGAGCTGGAAACGTTACTTATAATCTTCCCATAAACTTTTTGTTATTGGCTTTTTTAAGGCTTAAGAGTATGTCTTGACCCAAAAAGTACGAGAATATAAACGGAAAAATGGATTTTCTTACTGCGAATTAAACATTTTGCACGCTTCTTTGAAAAAAATCATTAAAAAAACTCGCTTTTTTTATCTCAAAAAGCTCCCTTGATCTAAATTTTTAGTATAATTTCGAATAATGATCATATAAAAATAATAGATAGTGAGGATTTTTTTCTAGCCATTAAATGAATTATCAAGCTTTTTCAAGTTTTTTTGAATCGATTTCAAAAAGATAAAAAAATTTATAATGCCGTGTTCAAAATAATTTCCGCGAAATGCAAAATTATCTCTGTATCTACAAGTTTTAGTTATTTTTTCTTTCTCTGACGGCTCATTTTGAACAAGGCATAATTCTCGATTACCTGTTAAAAAGAAGAATATATTCAGCTTCAGAGTTCCCGGAATAAGAGGTCGGGGCGGAGCCAAGAAAAAGCCGCCTCGTGGAGCGTCGTTCCTCAAAATTCGATCAAGTACCATCCCGGCGACGGGAATGTTCACAGCCGAGCAGCTCGCCGCGATAACGTCGGCGACAACGCGTGGGAAGCGCGGCAAACGCGGATCTTCGACCAAAGGACCTGGCAAAGGGACTGGCAGGGGACGCGGAAGGGGAAGGTTCGTGGTAAAAAAGTCATTTTCAGTGTTTTTAAGAAATTTTGTTGTTTAGGAACTAATTCAAAGGGCTGAATCTTTAGAAAATTCTAGTTTTATGTGCATTTTGAGTCAAAATTTTTGGCGCTTTTTTGAAAAAAAAATAGATTGAGTATATTTTTTTTCTTTTAAATCTGATAGCATAGAGAATGGCTCAACGCGTTGCGGTTCTAGTCAGACAGAAAAAAGCCACTAACTGTGTAGAAGTTCGAGTACCGGCTGGCGAAAGTCGCATTTGGTCGGTCGCATATTCCTAGCGACCGCGTTGCAGCCGTTTCGCGTTCAGCCATTCCCCGTGCGATCCAAAACTTTAAGATAACAATATTTGTAACGAGTGAGTGATTGAAGTGAAAATAATTATATAAATAAGTTAATTGAAAATCAATTTTTGAGCTTTTTGAAACCACTTAGGAATGGCAGAGTGGTCCCTATAGGGATTTGGAGAAAAAAAGGCCCCTAAAAAGAGCCGAACAAGTGGTCCCTATAGGGGTAAATTTTAAGTTGTTCCTCAAGGAGTTTAGGGTCTAAACCCTAAGCCTTTGAAGCTCAAGCGGTCCTTTTAGAGTTTCAAATATTCATTCCTAATTGAAAAAAAATTTTGATCAATTTATCCTCTGTTGATTTTTTCTTCAAAAACGCTATTTTTTTTGAGTTTTCTGCATGAAAATGCTTCCTCATTCGGCTAGCATGTCCCCTATAGGAGCCACTTTTGCAAGCTTCAGTGATCCCTCTAAGTGGAGGGAAAGTGGTCCCTAGAGTGGAAATTTCAAAGATCCCTATAGGGAGCACTTTGGAGTTTCTTAGCAAGTAAAATGTTTGAAAAATATTCGAAAAGTTGATTCTGAAGAGTATAGGAAGAAAGAAAGCAATTTTAAATAGATTTCGAAGATTTTATTGCCAAAAAAAAAAACCAAAATTCATATTTTCAGAGGTTCCTCGCTGCAAATGACGCAGTCGATGACCATGCAGCAGATTCTGATGCACCAGCAACCGTCGCAGAACGTCATCCGCGAAGTCGACGAGTCTCTGATCGACGAAGAACCTCGACATCACTCCTCGAGGTCCGACGACGAATACGTCCGGACCATCGTCGTCTGCGACTCCAGTGACCCTTTCCTTCAGAAGGTTCAGGAAAAAAAACGGAGGAATTCATCAAAATCCGAATCTTCCAGGCCTGTCTCTGCCTGGTGTGTGGAGCAGTTGGTAAGGGACCCGAAAATTCGATGGTCGCCTGTTCGAACTGCGCCCAGACCTTTCATACCTACTGTGTGGGCCTGCATGATAAGGTTTGTGAGAGAAGAGGGGGGGATCGAATTTTTTTCAGTTCAAAAAGTCGTTTTATGGGAAAAAAATTGAATTTTTTTCCAGCTTGAAATGTCGAGTTTTTTTGTGAAAAAAATTGATAAAGAACAGATTTTTCCTCAATGAAATGCTCCGTGTTCAATTATTTCAACAGATTTTCGAAAATTTCCGACTTTTTTTTTGGTTTTTATGGCTTTCTCGAGGCGAAAATCGTGACTTTCTTATAAAAAAATTCCGTTTTTTTCCCATTTTTTTAATGGTTTCTTCAAGATGAAAAATTGGGATTTTTTTGAAAATATGTGATTTTTTTCTTGTTTTTCATGGCTTTATTAAATGATGAAAGTGTTACTTTTTTTCAAAGTAATGGTAAAAAAATGGCACAGGATGAACTATTATTCTTATCTTTTCTTATTGAAATCTTTTTTTGCTTTGAAATTAGCATTTTAGAACGTTTTGTCAAAACATTTCTTTTTCCACTTGATTTGTTAGGAGAAAAAACAGATAAAGGCGGGAAAAGATGAAAAAGGGAGGTTCAAAGAAGTTTTTGACACCTTTATAAGAACACAAAAAGGAGCTCCAGGCCATAAATGGGTAAGTACAAAGCTCATTCTGTCCGGGAAGATGGGTTGGAATACAAAAATTTGGAAAATAATGAATAAAATTAAGTTTCAAATTTGGATAGACAGTTTAAGCCACAGTTAGACCAGTTTCAGTCTCAGGAAAGTAGAAATAATTTTAGTTTTGGAAACATTGGAAGGAGTATTTGTCGGCCTGCAAAAAATGCTCTAGGCTCTTTTTTTGAGGCCTTTTGGACTTTGCCCGAGATTAATTCATATTCTTTTTTTATTTTTTTGTATTTCATTATATATTCTTTTTTATATTTTTTTGTATTTCATTATATATTTTTTTTTTGTTTGTATTTTATCATATATTTTTTTGCAGCTCAACGCGACTTTGGTCTTCCGTGGCTGGCGATGCCTCGACTGTACGGTTTGCGAAGGTTGCGGCGAGGGAAAGGACGAATCGAAGCTACTTCTGTGCGAAGAATGCGACGTCTCCTATCATATTTATTGCCTGAAACCGCCCCTCGAAAAAATTCCCAGCGGCCCCTGGCGGTGTCAATGGTACGTTGATAGCTGATTTTAAATTTTTTCTTTCAAAAAATCAAGGAAAGATATCTCAAAAATTTCCTGACTTTGAAACGAATGAAGAAGAAAAAAATCCTAACCTCCTGCAAAATTTTATTCAAAGGGAAAATTTGCTTTTTTTGAAATAACTCATCAGAAAATTACATCGGAAAGCTCAATTTCTTCCATTATTTAATTATTTTAAATATTTAAACTTCGTTCCTGTTTTTTTAGTTCAACTCGTCCTTTTTTTATCCAGCTTCCTTATTAAATGTTACAGAAAAACGCGTTTTTAATCACTTTTCCTTAGTTAAAATTGATAAAAAAACCGGGAAAAAGCTGATAAAGATTCCTTTTTTTGTATTTCTTTTTTTCAAAGAAAAAAATACTTGAATTTTTCAAAATTTAACTTTTTGAGCTGAAATTTTTTTATTCCCTCTGAGGGTGAGTAAAACGTCGAAAGTTCGAGAATCCAAAAACAAAAAATTTTTTTTTGATGCTTTTGATTCAGATACATAAAATTGCGCAGAATTTTACCTCACACTTTATGAATTTTTCAAAATTAAGGTGCGCAAGATGCCGTCGATGCGGCTCCAAAGTCGATTCCGGCACCGATTTAACACGAGAAGGCCTTTGTATCCCCTGCCATTCACTACGAAAATGTCCCAAATGCGTCAAATTTTACAATATTGGCGACAAAATCATCCGATGCAGCGCTTGTTCGAGGTTCGTTTTATTTTAGCTTGATTTTGACGTAATTTTCTCGAAAAAATATTTTTATGGATGGTTTTTAACGGTATTTTTTTAGTGTTTTTTAATAGTTTTTTGTAAAAATCATAAATTTTTCAAGTTTTTTTGAAATGAAGAACTTTGAGATCATCTTGATTGAAATCTATTTAAGAAATTAGGGTTTCAAAATGAAGTTAAAAGCGCGGAACTTCACATTTTTTCACGAAATCGAACTGAAATTATAAATATCAGTCTATATCAGTCGGTTCATTCATTGCATCAACAGTTTCATTTTTTTATAATTTTTTTCTGATTCGTTAGTTTCTATTTTTGAAATTTGAAACGCTTTATAGGCGTCAAAATGAACCTTTTATTATACGTTGAGTAAAAAAACTCTAAGAAGAAATTTTTGTGTTAATTTACTTATTCTTTTTAAATTATTTGTTTCTGTTAAATAACGACAGTGAATAAACTATTATATTATTCTATTATATTAACAAAATAAATTCGAGAAATCTTATCTTAAAAATAGTGTTAGAAGCCGAAAAAAAAAAATCACGGTTTGAGTATCAAGAACTTGTAATTCTTCTCAAAATTTCTCAACTTCTACGTTTAGTTTATCAGAACCTCTTCCGTATGAAAAATTATCTCAAAGCTTTTTCATATTGCTTAAAAGTCGGCGAGAGTACAGATTCTGATCATTCATAATGAAGGAAATTGAAATAAGATCGAAAAATCGCTTTTTAAAATGGATAGCTTGCGGATTAGCCCATGTATGCTTCGAAGTTTATGCGGGGAAAAAATCATGCATCACTTCAGATGGTACCACGGCACTTGCGAAGGTTTGTTCAGCGACGAAATGCTGGAACAAGCGGCCGCCAATAAATTACGCTGTTCGAATTGTCGACCGTCCCGGGGCTCAATGCACCACATGCTGGGTTTTGCTGACTCTAGTTGAAAATAATTATTGCATCTTCTTGTAGGCGATAATTCGAACGTGGTTCTTTGTGACAACGTCGCGCTGAACAAGGCGGCCGAAGAAGTCCTCAAATCGAAGTTCATGCCCAGCCTCTGTCGGCCCAACGCCATGGAGTACGGTCATCGGGACTCTTTCGATCATTGTGAGTTTTTTCAAAGACAGAAGACTTTCAGAATTGACAGAGGGCTTATTTTATGATATTTAGATGGTTTAATGCAATGATAATAATTAATTTTTATTTTTCCTTGACGCTCCCAATTTTTATTTTTATTTTTTCAGCTTTCGATACCGTTCTTTCGTTATTTTTTTCTTTCTTGAGATTAAAAAAATGAATTTTGATTATTTTTTTCTCTTTTTTTCAATTTCAAATCGCTCTAATTCATTGAAATATATTTCAAAGCTCATTTTATCGGCCATTTATTTTTTTCATAGGAAAATCAGTATTTTAATATGATTTTTTTGGTTTTTTGTCAAGAAAAAAATGGTATCTCCTTGCGTTTGAAGTTTATTTAGATACATTTTGGAGCCTAGGATAATTAATAGTTGGAATTGACGTTCCTTAGCCTTTTATATTTTGAAATTTGCGTATCAGTTTGCTTTGAAATAACTGGATTTCAAAATGATGAAATAAAATCCGTCAATTTTTTGCAAGGATTGAAACGAACACCTTTTTTTGAACTAATGCGCGATGTTCGAAAAAAAAGCCTGAAAATCTAGCGATTTTCGAAGAGGAACATTTTTAAATGAAGTTTTCTTGTTTTGAATATTTATTTGGAAGCAAGATCAAAGAAAAATGGACAAGAACTAAGATTTAAAAAAGGGAAAAAAGGTGATCGACCTGCAACAAATAGAATGCCATTATTTTCGTTTTCTACATACTGAAAATATGTGTGCGGTTTCAAAAACTTTGGTAACAGAATCGCAAAAATGGATATCTCGCTCTTGTCTCGTAGCCCCGATTTTTAAAGAAATAGTCAAGTTATGAACGTTTTCAGACGACGACTTCAACGAGGACTTTGAATACCCGGGAAGCAGTCGGGGTCGAGGCGGTGGCGGTCGTGGCGGAGGCCCCGGCAGGAGGATAGCCAAACTCGGCATCGGAGGCTTCTACGTCAAGATCCCACGTCATCGGATGCTCGCCTTCGTGGAAGAAGCCGCGGCCTCAAACGCCGGCGAAGAAGACGACGTCAAGCGGATGAAGCGCCCGCGGAAGCCCCGACGGAGCCAGCTGGAGGACGCCTATCCGCCGGCGATCCAGGAGGGATTCTTCGGAATCAAGGCCGTCGAGGGCAAGACTCTCGTCGATCTCGCCATCGAAGAACCGCTTCTCGCCGAGTACGGCAATGGGAGGACCTCCCAGCATGAAGGGACGGGTCACGAGTTGTCGACTGAGGCGACGGAGATGCTTAGGAATGACATGAATGAGGTGAATATTGAAAGGGATGGGATTCATGAATAAGCTCCAAAAAAAGTAGCATAAGCCTAGGAATGACGGTGATAAACGGAGTGAAGTAGAATATTTGCAGCTTTGAAAAAGAAAACGGGAATAAGAGCAGCTTTAACCTAAGAATGGCATGAATGAGTTGAATATTAAAGGGACACGAAAACTTATGGGAAAGCTTTGAAAAAAAGGTAAGAATATAGCGAAGCTCTAGCCTAGGAATGACATGAATGAGGTGATTAACTGAGTAAAACAGAAAATTTGGAGCTTCGAAAAAGAACACAGGAATAAGAGAAGACTATAAAAAAAAAATCGAGACAGTATGTTAAAAAAAAAGAGTACGGAAAGGCCTAGGAATGATGGGAATGAGATGATTATTGGAGGAAAAAAGTAAAAATAGACTGTGTGTAATTTTTTTTTTTACAGTAAAAGGAAGGATTATTTTTTGAAAACTGAGGCCACCATAGAAGAGCCAATTCATTAAGAAAAATCAGCAAAAAAGGAGTTTTTGAGTGAGAAATTTCAATTCGCTGGGGATATCAGTAATCAAAAAAGAGAAACATTAACACGTGTATAGAGAAAAATAAGAATTTGAAAAAAATTTGAATAATGAGCTTTCTGTAACTACCTTGATAAAAACACGGAAAAGTTCAAATTTTTTCTGAAGGAAAAATGAATTTCTCGATTGAACAAAAATTTTTTTGAAGTTGTGATGAAGCTTTTTTTAAAAAAAGGAGTGAATTGATTTTTTTAAAGAACAAACTTTCTATTGAGCCGTAATGAATTTCGCATTCTTTGAAGCAATTTTTTTTGATCGTTTCAGGAGAAATTCCGGTCAAAATAGCATAATTTGTTGAAAGTTTACATAAGCTCATCCATAGAGAAAAAAAAAGTCATTACTATTTTTCCTGTAACGCATTTACGGATCATCTGTAACTTAAAACCCTTCATGAGTGTAGAAGAAACTATTTTTGAACCGAAACAACGAAAAAATGTATTTATCTAGGTTGACATCCTGGACAGCTTGGATCTCCATGACGTCGAAGGAGAAATCGACAAAATGGACCTTTCTCTGTTCTGTATGGACGAGGAGGACGAAGACGACTTTGATGACAGTTTGAATGGTTTTCGTCGAGAAATCAGTTTTTTTAACAGCTACGTTTCCAGATGCGATGGACCTGATGCAAAAAGACGGATTCGATCCGTCGGCCGAAGTCGATCTCAACGACATCAAGCCGACTGTCGACGTTTTCGGATCGACTAGTGAGTTAGCGGGAGCTGGAGAAGATTTCAGAAAGAATTTTGGATAAAAAACATAAAAAATAAAAGGTTTTCATACATTAAAAATCACTTGAATTAACCTAAAAATTATCAAGAATGATTTTCGAACACAAAAAAGATATTTTCATGCGTAAAAATGACCAGAATAACGTTAAGATTCTTTCAGTAAAATTTTTTTGAAAAAATTGAGGAAAAAATAGTTGGAATTTTGAAGAAAAAAGAGATTTTCTCGCTCCGAAATAGCCGGAAAAAAACGGTCGAAACCTTCCAAGAAAATTTTTTTAAACACAAAAAAAAGCTGATATTCAAAGTGAAAAAGAGATTTTTTTATGCATTAAAATGACAAGAATCACGCTGAAAATATATTTCCAGAAAGATTTTTTTACAAAACTGAACTAATTTCGATAAAAGAAGAGATTTTTCATGCATTAGAAGGACTGGAAATACTTTGAAAAATCTTCTAGAAACATTTCTGAACAGGAAAATTTTTGAAATTCGAAGAAAAAAGAGGTTTTTCGTGAATAAAACTGAGCAGAATCCCTTGTAAATCTCGTGAAAAGATTTTTGGAGGAAAACGAGATTTTCATGCTTCAAAAAGAGGAGAATACCCTGGAAAATCTTCCAGAAATTAAAATGAAATGAAAAAAAGGGAGACTAGCTAAATCGTTGTGTAACAGGAAAGCAGGACGAAAAAAATCATTTTTTTATCCGTTTTTTTCCTTCAATATTTCATTTTCTTACCCCCTTGATTTTTAAAAGGAATGGATCGAAAATCGTAATTTCAGTTTGAAATCGATTTTTTGAGGGAACTTTCCAGTTTCAGGCAAGGAATATTCGATTTTTTATCGGAAAATCATGAATTTATTAGCTTCGAATGCTTCATCCCTCGAAAATGTTCTTTTTTAAACTTTCCTTTTCAGCTTTCCCGCTGGAGCACGCGTTATCGTCAAACACGCCCGGGACTTCCGGGACGAACCCCGAAGGCCCGGGATTCAACGGGACTCCCGCCCAACACATCCAACTGCAGAACGTCCAACAAGCTGGGATGCGAAACAACGCCTTATCCCGGAGTAGCAGCCAAAATGAACAGCCCGAGAGGATCAATGCCACCATTGAGAGGTGCTTTTTTGGAGTATCCTTGATGGAAACGAAGAATTATTCAATCTTTGAAATCCGTTTGATATAACAGAGAACATTTCTGTATTCAGACTTTGATTTTTCTCAAAATTCTCACTCGGCTAGAAGCATGGAACTGAGACATCAATCAATAGGATAAGAATTAGGCGCCATTAGGTTTCAGGCTGAGTTGGAAAAAAAAAATGAGCGTTAGGGTAACTTTTTCTCTAAATCAAATATATTGTAGAACACGATTTTTTGAAAATAAACCTGAATATCATCACTCGAGCCGTTTTCGAGATACGGTAGCTCAAAGGATTACGGTAAAAAGTTTACTTTGTGTCCAATGATGTGAAAATTCGCTTCACTTTATTTTTGACGCCCTCCACTTGAACAGAAAACTCGACAAAGAAAAGAAATCAACGAAAAATTCGAAATCATGGTACTTTATTAATTACCGCCATTGTAGTTAGAAAATTCCTGTAAAAACCGACCCTTTCTGCACAAATTGAGCACAATTGGCGGAAAAAAAGACGTGTAAAAATTTTTTTAAAACTTATCTCGTGAATATTTTTTTAGCAGTTCTGAAGTCTAGGTTATAAAAAAATCAAAATGAGTTTCAAAAGCTTCGATTATACTAACTTTTGTGACAAAAAAATTTCAGCTGGAGAGGTCAAAAAAATAAATTTTTCTAACATTTATTTCAAAAAAATATTTTTGCTCCAGATTTTTTTAAGAATTTTTTTAATTTCCGATTTTTTTAGATTTCTTTCTATATTTTTCAAGGATTCCAAAAATATTTTTGTTTTTTTCAATCTTTCAAGATATTGTAGATTTTTCAAAAAAATATTTCTTTCCAAAGACTATTTCGTTCTAAAAATTTCGAAATTATTTCTTTTTTTGCATTCTTAAAAAGTACTTCATTATAGATTTTTCAGGTATATTATATGCACGGTTTTCAAAGATCTCTCGTTATAGATTTTCAAAAAAGTTTCTTTCTAGATTTCCGGCGGTGTGAAAAAAAGACCAGCGAAAATTCAAACGGCGAATTTCCCGATTTTTTCATATCGCTAGGGAACTTTCCGACGGCCACCTTTCCGACGAATCTTTTTTTCCGACTTTTTTTCTCGATAGTTTTTAATCGTTTTTAGTCTTCCTATATAAAGTAGGTAGTTGGTTCATGGTTAAAAACACTAAGAAATAGGAAAAAAAAATGTAAATAGATGTCTTATGAACCGAAAAACATAAGGAAAAAAAGTCGGTAAGTTCCCTAGCGATATGAAAAAATCGGAAAAGTCGCCGTTTGCTGGTGTTTTTTTTTTCATATAGTCAATGTTTCCCGACTTGAAGGCGAAGGAGGCGGGGCAAGGGGCGGGGCGGGACGCGTAGCGTGTGCGTACGCGGTTTTTGGCACGAGTTCAATTCAATTGTCGCCGACTATTTAAAAAGCTCGACAACCGCTCTTTTTCGATTTTTTCAACTATTTTTTGATGCACACATGAACATGATCAATAATAATTGAAATAGGAATGAAAAAAGCGAAAAACGGGCTTTTCATAGAGTATATGGCGGTTGAATTGAATACGTGCCAAGGACCGCGAACGCACACGCTACGCGTCCCGCCTCCTTCGCCTTTCAAGTCGGGAAATATTGGCTATACCACAAAATTTTCGAAAGAATTTCGTTCTAGATTTTCAAAAACATCATCTTCTAGATGGGAAGAAGACGAGCCTCTGGGCGATAAAGCGACAACGGCCGCCGTCCTTTATGCCAACGAAAAACATGCGAATCTCAAAGAACAGTACCCGGAATGGACGGATCGAGTCAGGCAAATCCAACGGCTGTGGAGAGTTCTGAGCGCCGAGGAACGACAGGAATACGTCAATCGGGCCAGGGAAAACCGAACCTCCCGGGGGAAACAGCCGAGGCCCAGAAAAGTATGAAAATCTGCAGAAAATGCAAGAAAAAGTCTGATTTTTCTCAGGTCCAAGGGTCCCAATCGGTTGATAGTCCGACGGTTCAGTCGCCTGGACCTTCTTTCTTCCCCCAAAGGCCCGGAATGGCGCCCGATGACCGGTTTAAGGTCCCGGCTGCCCCTGCAGGTGATTAGAAAAAAGTTCGATTGAATATATAAATCTGAAAAATTTTTGTAAAGAGTTAGGGAGTTTACTTGGCGCGATAAATTGTGGTTTTTTTCTAAGATTTTTCGTTTTGAAATTTCAGTTTTTTTAAGAGGTTTTTTTATCTAACTTTTTATTTTTCAACATATTATTTATGTTTAAAATCGGTTTTTCTCTACTTAAATATTTTTTTATAAATTTGGAAGAGTTCAAATTCGTCTTCTTGACAAAAAAACGGAAGTTTTTTTCCAAGTTTTTTTAAGCTAAGAATTGAAGAATTTTAGCTCTGTCTCCAGTAAAAAAATTCCGGTTTTTTTGATTTTTTTGGCTATTTTTACAGTAAAATATTGTTGAAAAAATTATTTTGGTTTTTTTTTCCCTTTAGGACCCACTTCAGCCTATATGCAGATTTTGCACGTGGCGTATTATAATTATTTTATTCTCTTGCAGACGCCCCACAACCGCCTCAAGAAACTGTCCGCGTAGTCTCACATCTGACGCCTGAGCTTCAACTCCAATACAAGCAAATCGGAGACCGACAGGCGGATCTCGAAAAAATTGCCTTCGCCATGGAAAACGATCTGAACAAGCAGAGGAAGCAGAAGAAGAACCTGGCGGCCAAAAAGCGGCAGATGATCAAGACGGCCACAACGGCTCCGGACTATGATGGCCGTTTGGTGCGGTTTTTCTCCCGATTTTGATAAATCTACATCAATTTGATGGAGTCCGAGAAAGTGATCTTGATCAGAAAACATTTACGGAAGGAAATGTTAGATTCGAGAAGGTGTTTGGCTAATTTTCAAGTTTTTGGCCTGAGGTTGTTTGGGGCAGTTTTTCTCTCGATTCGGATAGAGTTTAAGCGCGAAAAAAAAGTTAATGATGAATAGAAATGGGGTTGAAGTTAATTTCAAACTTTTTATGACCTTTTTGTGGTTTTTTTCTTCTTATTTTCAAGTTTTTTTCACAATTAGATATTCAACTGAATTTTTCAAAAACTAAATTTTAAAAAAAGTTTTCATATTCATAGGTTATTGATGAAGAATTGAGATAATCATTTTACACTAATATTCATCCAAAAAAATGAAATAAGACGCTCTGAAAAAGAAATCGGAAACAAATACGATATCAAAAAAAAAAATTAAATTTGAGGCGACCTGGAGCTAATCTTATTGCCGTGTTCAAAGTGATATCGCGAAATTCAAAATAGCGGTCAGAGAAAAATTCACATATCGCGGAAATCACTTTGAAGAAGATTGAGTTACACGACGATTGAATGTTAAGGATGACAATTAGTTCTGAAAATAAAAATCTTAAACTAGTTCCCTAATCAATGATCTTGCAGATCGAGCTGAACGAGGCGGACAAGTTGCAGTTCCAGCAGCTGACGGAGAGCATTCCGGTCCTTCAGAAGGAGCTCGAGAACTCCAAGCGAGACATGAAGGCCCACGAGGCGGTCCTCCGGGAGTTCGAGAACAAGCACAACATCCTGAGGCCGGCCAGCGAAGTCCAGCTCCTCCAGCCCCTGATGCCCCCGCCCCAGGGCCCGATCGACCCCGCCCGGATGCAGATGATGCGCCAGCAGATGATGGTCCCCTCCCACCATCCGCAGATGGTAAAAATCCTCTTTTCGGCTCTTTTCCTTCAAAGTTGTGACTTGTAAGTAGCCAAGGTTGGCATACGTTTCGGCGCCATTAAAAAAAAAAATCTCGCCGTTTTTAATCATTCTGATGCAGGTAGTCTGAGCTTATCTTATATAAAAAAGTTTTTCGAAAACTATTTCATGCAATTACTTCATCACTACCTAGGCAAAACAGCTAAAGTTTATTTTTTTAAAACTAGAACGCACCCACAGAATGCGAATCCCGTATGGGGCCGCGAAAAAAGGAATTTTACATGTATAGTCCATTCCGCGCCAGCTTGTCACGATTTTTAGTTTCTCTTGAGAAAAAGAACCCTTCCCTTCGATTCAAGCAGCCTGTCGTTGGGCATGCGCCTTTAATTTGGCTTTGAAACCTTGTTTTTAGAGGCGCGTGCGCATAGGTAGGCCCCGCACAGCTAAGAAAAGGTCACAAGGCTCTCTCTGTGCATGCGCCTTTAATTTAACTTTTTTTAAAGGCGCATGCACACAGAAGAAAAGGTTACATGGTTCTGGAGCTCGGAGGAGAAAAAACCTTCTCTGCGATGTTCGCGGCCTGTCCCTGTGCATGCGCCTTTAGTTTAGCCTTTTTAAAGGCGCAGAGTAGAAAAGGTTACATGATTCATGAGCTCGGAGGAAAAAAAAACCTTCCCTTCGATGCTCTTAGCATGTCCCTTTAAAATATCATTAAAATTTGCGTTCTATTAAAGGCGCATGTACAAAAACGAGCTCCCCTTATCGAAGGGAAGCTTTCCGGAAGAGTCCCGTAGCCCGGAGGAAAATAATAATTAAGACTGGGATGAGCTATAGGATCTCAAATCTTCAGATGCAGCAGAGACTTCAGCCGGGAGCGCCGCCCATGCAAATGCGCGTCCCCCAGCAGATGCCCTACGGAATGATGATCCACAACCCCCAGGACGTCCACAGACAAATGCAGATGGTGGGTTTTAGAAGTCAAAAAATTGAGAAAAACTAAAATTTCACTGGCTTGGGACAAAAATGATCAAATTATTGAACCCAACCTTTGAATGAATACTTAAAAAAAAACATCACAAATACGGTTCCTAATTCGGGTCGAAAAATAGCGATTTTTCCGTTTTTATATCAACTTTTCGATGCATAATAGTCTAGTTTTTTTCGCGAAAATCTTGAAAAATTGCGTTGTCAGGATGAAAATAAACAAGCTGAGAAAGTTGAAAGCAGAAAAGAAAACTTTGTGCGCCCCTGAAAAGTGCGAAAAAGTTTCTTTTAACACTCGGGCAAGGTCGGAATGGTGCACAATGGCCGGTAAAAGGGAGATGCTCAAAAAAAGGCAGCAAAAAGGAACCTTTGTCACCCTAAAAGGATTTCTATGGAGCCTTTTCACCCTTTCCGACTTTGCCCATGTAAGAGAGGTCACTTTAGTCGTTTTCGGTTTGAAAAGTACTATAAATTCGCTCAAAAACTCTTTGAAGGCATATATGAAAATTCCTCATAGTCCCATGTTACGCATATGCATAGGCCTGAACGGAACCTTTGAAAAAGAATATTGTGAAAAAACAGAAATTTGAGGAGGTAGAGACTATGTGGGATCTTTATCTGAACATTTGAAGGTCATTAGATCAAACTTTTCAAAAACTTCCTAGACGCAAGATTTTTTCCAGCAACGAGCGCGAGCCGGCCGATCAGCGGTTCTTGGAAATATTCCCTATGAGCGGATACAGAATGTCCTTGAACGAGAGGTATAATCAAAGAAAAATTGATCGTTTATGAGATTTTTAAGGTCTACGAATGCTTGGACGACGTCATCCACAACCTTTGCATGCGAATCGACGGAAAAGACGAAGCCAGAGAAAACATGGGAATGTTGAAAAGGCTCCTCGACCCGGGAATGATGGCGTCGCCACATGGCGGCGGCGCCATGGAACCCATGGATGGTGGTCCGAGGCCCAAGAAGAAGAGAACCCAGCCGAAAAAGGTAGGAAAGTGGAAAATGAAGGGGAAAGTTAGAAGAAAAGGTTACTCTTAAAGCGACAGCCCGAAAAGGTAGAAATCAAGTTGAAAAAGGCGCTGAAAACTGAAAACTAGGGAAAATCTGGTTTCTTTTGGAGCTACGTTGAAAAAAAGAACCCATCCGATACAGGTAGAAAATTGGGAAATGAAAGGGAAAGTTAGAAAAAAAGGTTACTTTTAGAGCTAGAGCCCAAAAAGGTAGAAGTTAAGTTAAAAAAGCCGCTGAAACCTAGGAAAAATCTGGTTTATTTTGGGGCTACTTCAAAAAAAGAAGCCGAAAAAGGTTAAAAATTGTGAAATGAAGGTGTCAATCAGAATAAAAGGTTACTTGTAGAGCTAAAACCCAAAAAAGTACTAATCGAGAAAAAAAAGGCGCTGAAAACTGAAAAGTCTGGTTACTTTTGAGCTTTTTATGAATTTTTACTACCAAGAAAGGATATTAAGGGTGGGAGCGTTTCAAAAAAAAAAAGATAAATGAACTGAAAAGGTAGAAATGGAGGTTAATAGTGAGAAAAAATTCGTGAAAGTTGTAGAAATACACATTTTCGGGAATAAGAAAAACATATGGTAACCAAAAAAGTTTTGATTTGAGGCAAAAATCAGGGAAACAAGTTCAGGTTCACAAGAAGGCTGCAAAAATACAAAAATTGAGAAGTAGATAAAATTTTCGCTGAGATATTCGTTAGAGCACTGCGGTTCAAAAAAAAAACGAGAAAAAAGTAGAAAATGAGAGAAAAAATGGGAAAAGTACGATCATTTAGCTTTCAAGTTAGTTACCCAAGTATTGCACGAAAAAAATTAAAAAAATATTTTTCCGCTTTATTTATTTTTTTGAATGATCCTAATTTAATTATATCAAAATGCTCTTGGATTAAAAATTCTTCAAACTAAAAAAATGATAATATTGAAAAGAAGTAAAACTGAATTTTCTAAATAGAAATTTTGAGTAGTGGGATTCTCGCCAAATTTTCGGAAATTGATTGGTCGCAAAATAAAAAATGCCTTCATTTTCAGTAGCATAAGCATAATGTTCATCATAATTTTCACCAATGATTATTTTTAGCTCATCCAAAACATCGTCGCCGGTTCGGAATATGAAGCGTGGGTGGAGAAGATGCGAACCCGGTTCCGACTCTGTCAAGAGATCCCGAAACGGGCCAAGGAGCCCGGTTTCCGGAATCCTGGTCCCGCCTTTGCTACCATGGGCATTACGGATCTCCGTGTTCGGCCTGGTTGGTTTTGAAAAAAGATGGGATGAATCGAAAATTGCCGAAATTTCCAACACGTTTTTTTTTCTCTGGATTTCTAGAAAACCGGGAATGTTGATCTTTGGTTCGTACCATTGGAAAATATGATAAATATAATTATTTATTCATGTTTTTCAGATCGGAAACCTTTGAGCGGCAATGGATTCGGAGAAATGCATCTTTCTTACACGGACGATTACTACAGTGGAGAAGACCGATCCTCGAGAGTTTTGGCGTATAATCTGACGTCGATGGTGGACATCGCCCCGCAGATCAACCTCGTCGCATTGCAAAAGTGAGGGACTTGAAAATGAGCCATAAAACATTTTTGATTCAGCAAAGTTCCAATCACTTTTTGACAGAAAACCATTGAGTTTCAAAAAAATTCGAAAAATTTGAATTTATAATGAATTTTTGATTTTTTTGGTGTATCAACACCTGTTTGAAATGGCTATTTTTCTCATTTTTCAATGCCTAAGGAGACATATTTTCTGATTTAAAAAAAATAAAAAAACAGAAAACATCGCTCCGCAGATCAACCTCGTCGCATTGCAAAAGTGGGGGGCTTGAAATGATCCCTGAAGGATTTTTGATTCAGCAAAGTTCCAATCACTTTTTGACAGAAAACCATTGAGTTTCAAAAAATTCGAAAAAAAATTTGAATTTATAATGAATTTTGATTTTTGGTGTATCAACACCTGTTTGAAATGGCTATTTTCTCATTTTTCAATGCCTAAGGAGACATATTTTCTGATTTAAAAAAAATAAAAAAACAGAAATCATCGCTCCGCAGATCAACCTCGTCGCATTGCAAAAGTGGGGGGCTTGAAATGATCCCTGAAGGATTTTTTTGATTCAGCAAAGTTCCAATCACTTTTTTTGACAGAAAAACCATTGAGTTTCAAAAAAATTCGAAAAAAATTTGAATTTATAATGAATTTTGATTTTTTTGGTGTATCAACACCTGTTTGAAATGGCTATTTTTCTCATTTTTTTCAATGCCTAAGGCGATATATTTATTGATTTAACAAAAACACAAAAAGTTCGAAATACTCTTCAAAAAGAAAGGTCAGTTTATCTTGCGACTAGGGGTTTTTCTGAAACTTGGCCAAAGGCTTCTTGTTGTCCCAAAAGAATGATCTGAAAGTCTCAATCTTCAAAACTTCCCAGTTTTCGAGAAAAGACGCCTCAAATTCCAAGAAAACTCTCAGAATCCGTTAAAAGTCTTTTTGGAGCTTTGAGCCCTTGTTTCTTTGAAAATAGGATTTTGAGCGGGTTGAGATTTTCAGAATCTTTTTTAGGTACATCAAGGAGTTTTCTGTCTTTTTTTCAGGAAACTCCCAACCGCAAAGTAAAATGACCTCCCTTGTAAGGAAATTTGGGAGGAGAAGCTTGAAAAAAATAAAAAAATTGTTGTTGAGGTTATTATCTTTAATTTCTATGTAACCGTAGATATTTATTTATGAGAAGAGAATCTCAACTCTTTTCGTTTGCTTACTGGTTAATCACTAGTTTTCTGGATTGGAAAAATAGCTCCTCTTCTAAAATTTGTATCCTTTCTTCATATCTGAAGTCTGAAAACCCAATTTCCTTCAGTGTCGCTTTCCCACCGCAACCAGAATACATCTACGACGAATTCGACGCCAAGATGGCCTCATCGACGGCGCTGAACGTCCTGAGCACGATGCTGGAAAGAACTCCGCCCCTGGAACACATCCGAACCCATTCGAAAATCTCCGAAAGCGGTCCGCCGATGGAGCCTCATCGCCGCATTTTCTATCAGGTATGAATCAGATTGGTTTTGGCTTGAAAATTACTTGATTTTGCGTTTTTCTGAGGTGAAAATTATGACATATCTAATTTAGTAATTTGCTCAATTTTGAATTTTGTTTTTGATAAATTTCAGTGAAAATTATGCCTATATTTGACAATGATGGTTTACTTCAAAAAAAGAAAAAGTTTAGAGATTCGCATTTTTTTTTCCCTTGTTGCATCAGGGACATTATACCGATTTTTAGAAACTTATCAATGATTTCAAGAATTTTCGTTTTTCATGGACGAAAATTTCAGGTTTTTTTCGTTCGAAAATCCGATTTTTTTTTTGTTGATATATTTCGCTTTCGTTAGAAATTTGGAAGTTTATTTTTGATCCTGTGTAAAATTTAAGTTTTGAAGCTGATCTCCATGTTTTCTGTTAGGTAAGAAACGAGATAGGTAGCTTGATTTTGACTTGGAAAACTATATTTTTTAACTTAATTCTCTTAGGAAAGTTTGAAGTGAAAATTTGGCTTTTTATCAGTTTTTTTAAGGTATTTAGTTTCATAACCAGTTTTTTTACAAAAAAAGTATGTACTGACATCAAAATTTACCTTTTTCTTTGAGATCTCATCGTTTCGAGCTATTCATTGATCTTCTAAAGCAGTTTTTGAAGTCTCTCCGATTTTTTTTATCCAAAAAAAGCAGTTTTCATCAGTTCCCAAGCTTCTCACTAGAACAATTTCAGGAGCCCAAGAAGGAAGAAATCGAAGTTTCTGTGGTACTGAAGGAAGATCCGGAGGCGCCTGACCGTGGCGTCAAGGAAATGCTGGATAAATTACGCGGGATTCTGGGCGTTTCCAAGAACATTGACTATACTGTCGATTCGCCACCCTTATCGCCGAGTAATATCAAGCAAGGTGTGTATTTTTATTATACAGGTACGAAAATGAGGTCGTTTTTTGATCGGCGAATTTTCCGAGTTTTCCGTATTTCTAGAGCTTCGAACTTATTTTCTGATAGTTCAGGCGATTTTTGTTGAATTTACGAAGTGAAAAAAAATGGGGAAAAAACTATTTTAAATCATAAAAATCCGAGAAATCTCCTTACTTGAGAAACTTCATTTTAATGAAAAAAAAAAACTTTTAGAAAGTTTTTAAGGGCAAGTTTTCCAGTTTTTTTCGTCGCTTCAGAATTAATTCGATGAAAAATGATGTGAAAAACTGCAAAATGAGAGAATACAAAGGAAGAATTGATTTTTCCGGCTTTTTTTAAAAAAAGAAAATTCCGGTTTCCAGTGTTTTTTTATACACATATATATTCTAAATGGTGAGGTCATAATGAAAAGACAAGAAGAACATTCAGAGAAAACTGAGAAAAAGTTTGAAAAAAGCGTGTAGAAATTTCGCTGATCTTTGATTTATCCCGTCAAATAGCCTTCTTTCGAAGTCGATCCTTTTCAGAAGTCGAAGAAGACGTCAAGGCGTCGACGAGCAAAGGAACACCGTCTTCCTCGACGCCGAGGTGTAAATTCTGCAGCAAAGCCGTGGATCCTGGCCAGCCGCCGATTCGTCAAAAGCTCAGTCGATTGGGCATTGCCCAAGGCGACAGCGAAGAGGTGTGGTTTGAAAAAAAATGCAGGAGAATTGAAAAATGACGTTTTTGATGAATGAATCACCAAATAAGGGTTCCGCTATGCTGAGAGGAGGTGGTGATTGATATCATTCTTCCTGAAAAAAATAATAAAAAGTAAAAATCGAACTTTGCGTCAATGTCAGGTCGCTTCTTGGGGCTCAATATTCTCAGAATCTTGATTTTTCAAACTTTCATATTTTTATATGTATATTTCAACAAATTCTACGTATTTTGAACCACAAAAAGCGGCCGCAAACATCTGAAAAATCTGTCTTTTTAAAATTGTTTTATGTACTATGAGAGTGAATTTTTAGTTTTTACACCGAAAAAATTGATTCGATTTAAAAAAGAGCACAAAAAAGCCACAAAAAAAATGTAGGTTGAAAAAAATTGCTGATGTTCTCAGGATGAAACGGCGAGCTTCTGCACGATGCGATGTTACTATCAGCTGATGGCGACATCGAAAATGCCGCTCTCGAACGACGAGCTCGTCGCCGCCGAAGGCCATGTCGACGAGGAGACTTTGGCCAAGTTGAGGCAGATCAACGCCGAAAACTTTGCCAAGACGATCAACCAGGGCAAGGTGAGCGTTGGAAGTGCTATAAAATCAGTAAAATCAAGAAAAATCCCATAATTTGATTTCTCAAGAAAACAGCTGCACTTTGGAAAAGTAGTGGAATTTTTATAACGGTTTGAAAATTTGATTCGAGTTCAATAAAAGCGAAATTTCGCCATATCTATTAATCATCAGTTCAGCATTGAGAGAACTCCAAAAAATCTAATTGAAACAGGAAAACTCGATATTTATTTTCCAAAAATTTGAAAAGTAGGAGGACTTCCATATTCATTTGAAAAATTTGATCCGAATTCAATAAAATCAAAATTTTGCCAAATGCATCAACCAGGGCTAGTTCAGTATTGAGAAAACACCAAAAAATCCAATTGAAAGAGAAAAGAATTAATGATCTATTCAAAGAAAAAAAAAAACTCCAATGGAAGGTTGTAAAATTATGAGAATATTTTAAAATTTCGATTTGAGTAAAATAAAAGCGAAATTTCGTCTTGAAAAAATTAACTTAGGCAAATTGAAGATCGGAGAATAGAGAAAAATCAGTGAAAGAAAGAAAAAAATGCAATAATTTGACTTTCTAAACCGCTGAAGGTTGGAAGAGCAGGAACATTTTTTTAAATCCATTAAAATCTTGTATTTTTCTACATATCGATTAAAAATTGAATAAAATCTGCGAAAGATTAAAATTATTCATCTGAATGTTTTTCGATGAGTTTCAAAATTATTGTAATTTTTTTGGATGAAGTTTAAAAAAATTCAAAAATTTCCTCAATGATTTTTCAACTTCGCACATCAAAAAAATTGCGAATCAACTATAAAAAAAGTTTCATTTTTCAATAATTTATCTGGAATTTAGAAAATTAAAAAAACGAATTCTAAAAATAAAGAAACTGGGAGAGAATATGTAGTTTTGAAAAACCCGGTTTCTCATACGTTTCAAGAAGTTTTTATATCATAAAAACACGATTTGAGATCATTGTATATGGTTTCATTCTGTATATCGCCTCATTAAAAATGGTTCTTTCTGGAAAGTTTTCAACGAAGAAAAAAATTTTTGAAACAAAAAAATTTGTAGAAACATCTGATTTTTTTCATCTTCATTCCTGTGTTCAAAGTTTAGTATATTTTTAGCTGTCTTTGTAAGTTTTTTTATCTTGTTTGGTAATGAAGGAAAGTTTAAAAGATGAGCCACGATCAAAAAAAGTAAAATAAATAATGAAAGCAGTGGACTTGAGGATTAAAAAAACTCCTCTCAAGATGATTTTTTTGAGTTTTTTTGTTGGATTTAATGGTTCTTCATTTGAAAAATTAAGCAGAGGGACAATTTTTTTAGAGGTCCCCGATCTGAAAAATATCACAAATTAAGAACTGTTTTTATTTAGATGAATGTTTAAAAAGGAAATGATGAATGAAAATAAGGAAAGTATGAGTTTCGAAAATGAAAAAAAACTCTTTCAGAACGATTTTTAGAAGATCCGTGTTTGAAAAATACACAGTGTGATGAAAAATTTCTTTTTCTGATTTTTCTACTTTATTTTTTTATTCATTTATTTTTTTAAAAAAATCGCTAAATCTGAGAAAATAAGTTTTTTTCAGAGGATGAGCGTCGCGCCGGCTCTCCACATGGACGGTATGTTATCCCCACGAGATACTCGATATATGATGGACGAAGGGCGAAAAGAACACGTCACGGTTTCAAAATAACCCCGGGTTCCTTTGAAAAGAATGTTTTAAGATAATCAATGTGAGCGAATTGGCGGCCGCCCAGGAAACGGCGGCCAAAAATGAGGCCCCCAAAGCGCCCGTCGAAGATTGGAAGGCCTACTCGAAGGAAATCGCCCAATCTTTCATCAAGATGCAGAATGTTCAGCAGGTAAAAATTGAGGGGTTCAGAGAAAATTAATTCAATTTATAGTTTTTAAATGAAAAAAAATCGAAGGTAAATTCATTTTTCATTGTCTTTGTGAACATTTGAGGTTCCTAGAAAAGTATTCCGAGGTTTTTTTATTTTTTTCAATTTGTTCCAGTTTTTTTGGATTCAAGAGCAAACGAAGCTTATGGAAGTATAATTTTAACTGAGAGAAACGTCAGAAATTCACAAAATATCTAATTGTCTTGAAATGGGTAAAAAAACCTCTTAAAAAACCTATAGAAAAATGAGAACCTTTGAGAAGTCACTTAATTTTGATTAAAAATATCTAGAAATTAAAAGTTAAGTTTTAACACAGCGATAAAAGGTCCTTTGACAATTCAACAACTTGGGGAAGTTAATTTTTCTAGAAATTCGTTCGAAACTAAAAAATTAGCCAAAATATTTCAAGAGTATTTTTTTATTTAAGAATCACAGAAAACTAACTTAAAAGGTCATTTTACCTGTTGGTTGGGGATTTTTTGGAAATCGCCAGAAAACTTGCTGTACTAAAAAAAAAGATTCTGAAAGTCTTAACCTGCAGAAGCACCTAGTTTTCAAGAAATAAGGGCTCTAGGCCCCAAAATGACCTGTTTTGATGGATTTTAGGGGTTTCTTCAATTTCGGGGTATCCTTTTTCAAGAACTAGGACGTTGTCCAGGTTGGGACTTTCAGATTCTTCTTTTAGGACATCAATAAATGATCTGTCCAATTTTCAGAAAATATTTAATCTAAAAGTAAAATGACCTTCCTTGTAAGGCGCTTTGAATATTCAATAGCTTCGAGAAACTCCCTTTTCTAGAAATTCATTCAAAGTGCCAAAATGGGCGGTAAAAAAAAACCTCGAACAGAAAATTCCCCTAAGAAAATCACCAAATCCAAGGCGCTTTAACAATTCAAAAACTTTGGAAACCACATTTCTTCCAGGAATTCGTTCAAAGCGCCAAAATGGGCGTTCCGACGCCGCCGTACGAGCTCGACCAACGACGGTGCGTCCTGTGCGGAGGCCAAGGCGACGGGGAGACGTCCGTCTGCGGACGTCTTCTGAACCTGACGGACAACGTCTGGGTGCACGTCAACTGCGCCATCTGGAGCACGGAAGTGTTCGAGAACCCCTCCGGCGCCCTCGTCCACGTCGACCGGGCCGTCATCCGCGCCAGCAAGCAGCAGTGCTGCTTCTGCGGACGCAATGGCGCCAGCTTGAAGTGTCATAAGGTTTTCCGGGAGAGTGAATGAAGATAATAACGTTTTTCTAGGTTGATTGCAACATGAACTTCCACCTGACGTGCGCCAAGAACATTGGCGGATATTTTGTCAGAGATCGGGTTGGTTTTCGGTTTTTTATGGAGATTGACTAGAAGAAAATTGAAAAAATAGACACTGTAGGATTTCAAGAGACGCTAGAATCCATGATTTCTCCCTAGAGAGCTTGAAGAGACGCTAGAGGAACCGAAAATTCAAGTATTTCTACTAGAGAGTAGTGAAGTTTGGAGAGACACTAGAGAAGCAGAGAATCACATTTTTCTCGCCAGAGAGGAGTAGAATTTGAAAAAAACGTCAGAAAAAGACCATTTCTCGAAAAATTTCTTAAAATAATTGAATCGTTAGGCACTGTGGGATTTGAAGAGACGCTATATAAGCAGATAACAAGGTTTTTTTTCCCGCTGGAGATTTGTTGGGTTTGAAAAGACGTCAGAAAAAAGAGCATTTCTCAAATATTCATTAGATTTCATCATTGATATCGAAGCGATCAGAAGGTACTTAAGAATGAAATTTGCAAAAATGGGGAATTCGAAGATACTTTTGAAAAGCAGAACAGTCGAAAGTAAAAAGTTTACTGAATTAGGGGATTTAGTTTCATGAAGTTGTTTGAAGCTAGAAATAGGGAGACTAGACGAGAAGGAACATTTTTATAAAAATTTTGAATCGGAAGATTATTCAGTTTATTCCGAAGGATTCCTGAGGAAACTTTGTAAACTGAACATGAAGTTAATTCATCCCAAAGCGGAACAGTTTTGGATGTTCGAAAAAAATCGTTTGAACTTCGCCATTTTCCAGACGTTCATTTGCCGAAGCCACGACGGCGTCGCCCCGGAAGTCACTGTCCAGAAACTCGACGCTCTACGGCGTATTTACATCCAAAGGGATGAGAATATCCTGTTGGCGCGGTTGGTGGAAGTCAGCGACGGCCCGAAGTTGTGCCTCCGTCTGGGCGCTTTTTCCTTCTTCAAGATCGGCCAAATCCTGCCCGAACAGCTCAAGGCCTTCCACAACAGCAATTTCATCTATCCGGTTGGTTTGGGACCGAAAAATAAGGGTAGAAAAGTGAAAAAAAAAGCAAGAAAGTATGCTATTTTCCACTCCTTTTGTTTTTTTTATTTTTATTTTCTTTTAGAGCTAAAAATGAATTTTATCTCTCCGGCTAGTTTGGAATCGAAAAATGAGTGTAGAAAAGCGACGGAGGGGAAGGAAAAGTTGACGATTTTGTACAAGTTTTATTTTTGATTTTGAAGTAGGGACCTGATAATAGATGCAATTTCCTTGATAATCTTTGAAGATTGATATTTGAAAAAAATCAAGATTTATTCAATTTGAGCTTTTGTTTTCGTTTTTAAAATTTCCCTTGAGAGATTTTAAATTTTCAGGTTTTGGATCATAACGATAATAATAAAAGGCTTGAGGGTTCTTGTACGATACAAAACGTTATTAAAAAGTGAAATTCGGGTTGAAGTAAATTAATATATATATAGTGAGACCTTGAAATATTACAAATGGAAAATTTTTTTAAAATACGGAGTAAAAAAACGGGGTTTTTTCACAAAGTTCTATTGAACACTTTTTAATTGGCTTATTATTGAGATTTTTCAGAAATAAATCCAAATTTCAATATTTGAAGCTTGGGAATTATTCATCAAGCTTTTCCTGAGGAAATTTCTTCAGTTTGAAAGCTTCGAATCTGTTTAAAACTGTTTATTGCATCTTCAATGTAAGAGTACATGTGCAATCGACTTTCATTGATTTGACTGTGTTTAAACGGCGGCAGGAGCTGTGGCTTAGACAGAGAAGTTGTGAATCTCGCTCGTAGAACATCAGGTACAAGAGAGGCCGTAAGAAGAAGTACGGTGTGTTTCCAAAGGCCGATGGCAGAGATTGAGCCTTTTCGCTGCATGCAGCTCCCAATTTCGTAGACCGAATCTCCGTAGACCAATTTTTTATCGCTTTAAAAATTGAAATTTGAAATTTCAGTGCGGCTACGGGATAACTCGATGGTTCTGGTCTCCTTTGGACCCAAGAGTTCGGATTTTGTTCGAATGTACCATCCGGGAAGTTGAACAACAGCCCCAATTTGTCGTCAGAGCCGTTGGCAGCGAAGTTTTGTTCACGGGAGCGACGGCGACAGGTAAAAAAAAATTTTTTTCGAAAATTTTTTTGATAAAATAGTTGAAAATTGCATGAAAAAAATGCGTATCTTTGTATTAAAATTTGAAGAAAAAAAGTAAAGAAAAAAACAATTCAAAGAAATACTTTTTTTGAAAAAAATTATGAAAGAAATCAGAGAACTTGTGAAATTCTTGAGGAATATTGTAGGATATTGCATGAAAAAAATAGGTTTTTTTCGGCATTGATTTTGAACAAAATTATCTGTTCGAAATGAAAAAAAGAAGAAAAAATCTTCTTATGGGTTTTTATTCAGAAAGGAAATAGAAAATGGATGGAATTTTTCAGGAAAATGGTTGAAAAATTGCATGAAAAAAATGGGTTTTCCGCGGAAATCTAAATACTTTACTCACTAAAAAAATGTACGATGAAACTTTAAAAAAAAATCGATTTTTCTGTGAAATTTCTAGGTTCGAAATATATTAAATAAATCAGGTTTGAAATGTTGGAATTCAATAAAACATCGTATCGGAATGAAAAATGTCTTGGTCCTTGGTTTCTCAGATCGAAACTGTTTTTGAAGTTTGTTTGGAAAAATAATCATGTTCAGAAGTTGGAAGTCTCCAATGAAATTCGATTAAAAGACAGTTAGAATGGTGGAAAGTTCTAAAAAAGGAATGAAAAATGATATTTTTGAAAGCGAATATGTTCTATTTTCATTTTGTTTAGAAGCCTGGAAACCGGTGCTGGAAGGCGTCCAGAATACTCGATCTCAAATGGACGTTCTGAGATTTTTCGCCAAGGCCGTTCAAGGCGAAACCTTGTATGGATTGAACGAATCGGCCATCACCAAAATTACCGAATCGGTAAGGAAATGAGGGACAGAACAAGACGAAAAAAAACGACTTCAAATATAGTATATTATTGAAAAAAATGCTAAAAGCTTCGAACTTTGACTTTTTATACACTATAACTACTGTAGGTACTCACAGGGTTCTCAAAAAAAGCGGACAAACACGAAAATTCATTTAGAAAAATAGCGAAAAAAAGTGCAAGCTGTGTTAAAAAAATTTTTAATTGAAGTTTGTTAATTTTTGAAAAAAAGGGTTTTGAGGATTTTAAGGCTTTTTCTAACACTATATCAAATCTAGAAGAAAGCGATGAAAAAAACCGATTTTTTTACTTCCCCCCCCGGTTGAATTTTCGATCAAATTTGATACTTCAGAACCTTTTGATTCTAGAATAAGTTACAAACTTCCAATATACTTGTCATTTTTAAGTAATGAAGCTTCAAATAACGCCCTTTCTCACCATTTAGTGTAGTTTGCGAACTTAGAAGCGTCGAAATAAAAAAACCAATTTGAAGAATTTTTTGAAATCAGAAGGTACACAAGTAAACCCCAGCAAAGTGTCATCAAAAATTTTGTTATCAATTATTTTTCCAGCTCCCCGGCGTCGATTCTCTGTTCACCTACACGTTCCGCCACCCGAACAGTCCGATGTTGGATCTTCCCCTGGCCGAAAATCCGATGGGATGTGCCCGGGCGGAACCTCGGTTCAGGACCTTGATCAAAAGCAGCAAGCAGAAGCTCCACGAGTTCAACTTCACCAGACCGGCTCATGCGGCTCAGTCAAGGTGCTTTCAGACTCCGTTTACGGTCGCTTTTTAGCACCGTAACGAAAGGATAATGAGGATATAATTAGAAAATTAAAATAAGGTTGCATTTTTCAAAAAATAGGGATAGTGTGTTCCGAGATTTGAACTCATGAAAAAACAAGAAAAATCCATATTTAATGAAAATAACAAAATGGAATGACATTAGGGAGGATTGTAAGGAGTAAAAGGGGGGATATAGTCCGTCAAGACGTCGTCCAAGCTCCGCCCCTAATGACGCGATAAACCAATCAGAGAGCCGGCCATGCACAGAGTGTTTTCGAATGACGTAAAAATGACGTCATTCTACTTGACATTAAAAATCTGAACAAAAATGATCATATAGCTGATTCACGGCTGGCTTGAGCCATCGAGAAAAGGGTCCTGCCACGAAAAGAGACGAGACAGTGCCCTGGTTGGTGGAGAGTGCAGACAGGCCACGCCTTTTTGCGTCCCAAGCTAGCCGTGAATCGTTTATATGAAGCCTCAAAGAATTAATTAAATGTTACAAATCAAAAAAATAAGGATTACTCATGGAACTGAATCGACGACAGATATATGAGATAGTTTTCGAACTTTTGGGACGGAATTTAAAATTATAAAGATTCCAGTGGAACGGAGAGTCAAAAGATGGTCTAACCATTAGAATCAAATAAAAGAGCTTCTAAAGAAATGAAGTGAATTGAATCATTTTCAGCGGCAGAACATCCTTGTCGGAAGGTCGGACCCGGAATCAACGCGGCTCTTTCGCCGACGAACAAGCCGCGGCTCAGTTGAGAGCCGTTCTGGGACTGTCTTCGGAACAAGCAGCGGTAATTGATTAACATTTTACTGTTAGAGAGTTTTAAGCTCAAAATATGGATTTTATGTGATATAGGTAAAGCGTAATAGTTCCTTTAAGGACCCTTAGAAGGAGCTGAAAAGGTTCCGCTGAAAGCTCTTAAAATGAAAAAAAAAACGTTTCTCAAGCTTTTTTTTCATAGCCTTAAAAGATCTTTTTTGTATCCCCAGACACCTTTTTAAGCTCCTTTTCAGCATTTTTTAAAAAAAAGTGTGAATAAGATGCAAAAAGGAGACAAAAATGATCTGCTGACCCCCAAAAAGACCTTAATAATGACTATTTCTTTCAGCTATGGGTCCGCGGACTTGAACCCATCCAGTCGAACCAGCAGAACTTCTCATCGTACCAGAAAATGCGGAAAGAATGGCGACAGACCGTATATTTGGCCCGGTCGAAGATCGCCGGCCTCGGACTCTATGCCAAGAGAGACATTTCCATGGGCGATTTCATCATCGAGTACAAGGTGATTAGAAAAATGGTAGAAATTTAATCAGAGTTCGGTAGGAATGACTATTCGAAATCTGTACGAAGTTTCAAGGCGTTTGAACCATTTCACAATAGTTTTGCTCAAAAAACCATTTTGAAATATCTTCATGGCCAGTACTGTAGATGATTCACGTGGCCTGTCTGCGCTCTCCAACAACTAGACACTATCTCTTTTTTTGTGTCAGGACCCTTTTTTGATAGCTCAAGCCAGCCGTAAATGAGCTATATGGTCTGTTCCGCGCAAGACGGTCACGTTTTGAAAGCACAGCTTTGAAAAAGATACCGTATACAAAGCTTTTTTGCACCTTTGCTCTATAGTCTGCCCAGATGTTGATTTTCAAGAATTCGACCCGACCCCTAGGGCTACAGTATCTTAACGGCGATTATATATCGCTAGCGACGATGGTCCTTTAATAGCGCTACATTTTTTGATGTTTTTGACCTTACAGCTGAAGAAATAGTTAAAAAGCTTATAGCCTATTCCGCGCTTGCTTTTCACGTATTTTATCTTTCTTTGAGCTACAAAGTCCTTCGTTTCGATGCGCGCAACCTGTCGCATGCGACTTTTAGTTAGCCTCAAAATTCCGTCATATTAAAGGCGCATGCACACAGTCAGGCCGCGCGCATCGAAGCGAAAAGTTTTGTAGCACGGAGAAAAATGAAAATCGTGACAAGCTGACGTGGAATCGGCTATTAAAGAATCATTTTCGCCCGCAAAATGAAAATTAGCAGCGAGAGGTACTCAAGGCATTGGGGGACGGAGTTAGTTGCTTGACTTCAAAACCGGATAGGTCAAACTGCAAAATCAAAATTTTCTAAGCAGAATTTAAAAAAGCTGATGCAGAATGGGCTGTACTCATCTTCAACGTCATTAATTTTTAGGGCGAGCTGATCCGAAGTGAAGTCGGCGAAATGAGAGAACGGCGGTATACCCGAGAAGGCCGAGGCGTCTACATGTTCCGAGTCGACGACGATTTGATCATCGATGCGACCATGGCTGGAGGCCCGGCTAGGTAATTTTCAGAATTTAAAATGGCGCGAAATGAGCGCTCTGCGGCCACAACAAACAAAAACCAATAAAATCCCTTATCTACAGGTACATCAACCACTCCTGTGATCCGAACTGCTCGACGAGGATCCTAGAAGCGGGATCATCGACGGAAGACAAGAAGATCATCATCACGGCGAATCGGCCCATCAAGGCTTATGAAGAGGTAGATTTTATAGATTTAGTAGGAGAATTGTAGTGTTTTTGGTCTTTTCAGAAGCTGATAACGCTTCAATTTTTTAACTTTCCGTGGAGCAAATAAGCCTCGAAACGACAAAATAGCTAAATTCTCTTCGAAGTCCGAAGTTATCTTTAGAAAAAGCCTCCAAAAGTCGTCGAACTCCTACGTGGGATAGCCTCGGTGGGGCCTGAAAAAAAGGGGAGGGACTTGGCAAAAAACGAGAAAATGGGGGTTGGCAAAAAAACGGTTAAAAAAAGTACTTTCAAATTCTTCGGCGTCAACCTGTAATTCGATAAATTAACAGCGTGAAGGAGGGGAGACGCTTGGGATGTCGCTCATGCTCATCCCATGTATAACAGCACCTTTTTATCGGAAAGGTCATTTTTAAGGGTAGAATAAGTTCCAGAAAAAAAAGCATAAAAGCCTAAGAAAGGTCTTTTTTTCGAACATGTGAGGAAAAAGCTTGAACGCAACCTTGAAATCATCTCAATTCTTTCCAGCTCACTTACGACTACCAATTCGAATTGGAAGACACGACCGACAAATTGCCATGTCTCTGTGGGGCGCCGAACTGCGTCAAATGGATGAACTGATTCAAAAAATGAAAAGATTCTCCCCGGTTGAATAATATTTCAAGTTTTGTATCCAAGAGAAGTGAACATAACCAAAGAATCGCCGCTGGCGGCACTTTATTGACCTCGTTTTATTGTTTTTTACCTTGTTTTTTTGTTTTTTTTTTTCCATTTTGAGAAGAGTTTTTTGCTTGTTTCGATAGGCAATTTAGGCATCTAGGCGTTTGATTAAGTCAGTTTTTTTGGGCATTTTTTTCTATTTTTTTCCTTTCTTGTTGTGAAATTTATGCATTGAAGTGCACTTTTTTTGTTTGTTGCAATCATTTTTTGATTATTTTTAATAAGAGCGAATTAATTTATTGTTGATTGAGATTGTGCTTTTCCATTTTTCCATGTACTTTGTCATTTTGAAACAAAATGGAATCAGTTAATTTTTCCTGTACCATACGATCGATTGTAATTTGCCCCGAACCTTCTCATTGTCACATTTTTGTCTTCCTTCCGTTTTTTCGAAGGAACCCCACCTACACACAAGGCTTCTGTGTACATACAATGTTTTTATCTTTTTTCGTCTTTTTTAAAAATTAATCAATGAGTTGTGGAAGTAAAAAGTTCTATTTGAAGTTGAGATGAGAAACGTGAAATTTGTCGAATTCCAAGGAAAAATGTTATTTTTGAAGGGTTTGCGACGTCATAAAATTGGAGTTAAATGACGTCATTAGGATTGAATTGAAGAAGAAGCCTATTATATCTGCCGGCTTTCTGATTTTACCTGATTTCCTCATTTTTTTGGATTATGAACAAAATCTTCGAAGCTTTGATTCCATATACAAATTATAAATTTAATCAAGTTTTTTTTCTGTTGACCGTCTCCCAATGAGAGTCGTCCCGCGCGAAGGTGTATTGCAGCGAAGAAGGACAGCATTCGCTTACGACCACATCACGTTGAAAACACGCCATCCCGTCCGATCTGGCAAGTTAAGCAACGTTGAGAGCCGGTAGTACTTGGATCGGAGACGGCTTGGGAATTCGGCTTGCCGTAAGCTTTTTTGCCAGTTTTTACTCGAAATTTACAAAATCCGTATATAATAAAATACTTACTTCTTTATTTTAAAATGTATTTATGAAGCTCTCACATTCCAGATCCCTGAAACTTTAAAAAGCACTCCCAATTTTTTTCTGTAAAACTTAAGCTCATAAAACAATGGAGTCTTGAAAAAAATTGTTCATACATTGCATTTTGTTAAGTTAGAATCGGTAATCAAAATGAAAAAAACACATTATGAATTAAAAAAAGCCGTTAAAGGGCTTTTCTACCGCTCGTCAGTCATATTGAAAATTTGACCCACACTCGAAAATTTTGATATAAACAATCTAGCGCAAAAAATTTTCAAGTTTTTTGCGCTAGATTGCGTATTTTCAGTATTTTTCTGTAAAAAGTTGTTTTTACTTTAATAAAAATTTTTTTTTCAATTTTCATCATTTTCCAAGTCTAAAGGTTTGCATTTTTGTTTTATGAGACTGTGTAACTTTCTTTGAGCCGGACCTCTAAAAAAAAAGATTGAAAAATTCTTTTTCCAATTTTTCTCGTCTCCTTTTTGAATATTTCTTTCTTTTCCTCAATCCTTTCAAAATTTTAACGTTGACAGGCGTCCTGCGCGAGGCTGTATCCCAGCGACGAACCACCGCCGTCGCTTACGACCACATCACGTTGAAAACACGCCATCCCGTCCGATCTGGCAAGTTAAGCAACGTTGAGAGCCGGTAGTACTTGGATCGGAGACGGCTTGGGAATTCGGCTTGCCGTAAGCTTTTTGCCAATTTTTCGAACAAACTGGGAGCATTTTATTTTATTTTTTGTATTTGTAGGGAATGTTATAACCTGGAAATATAAGAAAACTTCTAGTAGAACATTTTATGTCATAATGCCAACAAAAAAAATTATTTAACTATAATACTTTGTGCGGTTTGGAACCCGGGACAATTTTAAAAAAAAAACAGGCAAGATGTTGGAATAATAAAGGTTATTTGATCAGTTGGTCTTCTTCAGTTTGGCCTTGAGTTTGGTCTTTTGAGATGGGGATTTGATTTTGCGGTCGAGGTAGGCGCCGAGAAGCCAGCCAACCGTTGGGCAGATCTGGAAGTTGGCACTTAAGTGAGGGGGAAAGCTTTTAGTGACGTCATTCGTTTTTGGAGCACTCGAGGTAGCTTTGAAAATATTGTGAATTTTCCGGTATTTTTTAAAAAAATTCGAAAAAATTCCTAGCTCAAAATTCTTAAAACTTACATTTTCCGACACTAAAAATATCTCAAAAAGAGAAAAAAAGCATTCAAAATAACTTATAAAAAAATATTCGATTTTTTTCATTGAGTCCAGTGTACATTTCGATAGCGTATCGAGTGATAAAATCGAAAATTTTGCTCATTCTATGATATTTTTCTCTTTCCAATGCTACCTGAAGCTTTTTGTAAGATGAAATTTCAAGATAGTCTGAAAATGTGAAGGAACCAACATAGTAAAGCAGCAGGAAATATTGAGAAGTTATCCCGGCGCATCCGTACCACAGAGTAGTCGCCACTAGGGGATCCATCGCAGAGTCGCCGATTAGACTTGTCGCTGGAAATTTTTCTGTTTCTAGGAAGATTGATAAAGCAGAAGCTTTTGGACTTTCTGATAAGAAATTCAAGTCAGTCTTTTCACTTTAACCCCCCCCCCTTGGTTTGAAATATCGACTTTTTACGCCCCTCCTCCTAAAAACGAAAAATTTTTTTCGAAACTTCAGATGTTAGGGTCTTAAAAAAAGCACTAGACCTTTTTTGCTAGGTGAAAAAACCTTATTCGCCTGTCTTTCTCCCGATTTTGACCCGAAAAACGACTTTAATTTTCGAATTTTTCGTTTTTTCACATCCATCGGCCGAAAAACGCATGAGAAAAAAAATTTAGTCTAAATTTATTACCAAATGAGAAAATGCTGGCGACGAATAGTGGTCCCATGTACTTGATGATGTTTTCGTCAAGTTGGCTCAGTAAGAATCGAAGAGCGAAGGCTCCGATCGTCTCAAAGGCAAGGACGATAGGGACGTTACGCTGAAAGTCATATTCGGTTGAAAGATTCCAAATTTTCAATAAAGATCGTTTTTTCAAGTACTCCCTCCTCACTGGATTCCTGGACACTCTTAAAAATTTTGTTAATTCAAAAATCTTTCCAAACACTTCACTTTTTATTTTTTAAACGTTATTTTTTTGATAATAATAGTTCAAAAAAACCAGTTTCATCAAGTTGTCCGTGGAGCTTATTTTCACTGAATTGAAAGGCTATTTTATGATATTGATCGATTTGAAGGTGCGCCGTAGCACAACAACAGGTAGTGTACCTGTCTACGGTCCATAGGGACACAAGTTCGATCCCGACCCAAACAAGGGGTTCAAGAAATGGTGGTAGTGGGAAACCACGACTTCGTAATCCCCAGCCGTCACACACAAGGACGGATATGTCACTAGAGCCAGTCCACTGATTATCACATATCAGGATAGGACCTCGGCTAATCGACTTGGGGCGCCGACGCCGCTCGAGCGGTACAAAGGGGTAGGAAAAGGAAGGAGAAGAAGATCGACATGAAGGAAAAAGTTCATTTCTGGAAAACTCACGTAGTGGGTTACTTGACACGCCGTCTCGCTCATAAAGGTCAGATGAGGGTCCGAATAAGGGGCACTGAGGGCCCAAAGCTTGTTTGTCAAAGAAATCGCCAGCATGGCTCCTAGAACTTCTGCCACCAGGATCGAGATCACGTGCCCGAGTCTGGAAAGTATTTTTAATCTTCATAGTGGTTCTAAAGAGGCGCGCCGTAGCGCAACAGGTTGTGTGCCGGTCTACGGTCCAAAGGGTCACAAGTTCGATCTCACTGCGACCTATCTAAGGGGTTTGAGAAATGTTAGAAGTGGGAAACCACGGCTTCATTGTCCAGAGCCGTCACACAAGAAAATGGATAGCTTATTGAAGCCTATAGGGACCCCAAAATTGCCCCTATAATGGACCATAAGACAACAGAAGCCTATAGGGACCCCTCCAGATTTCTTCAGCGCTGTCAGACTTTTAAAAGAGGCTAGGTTGACTGGATGCAGTTTTTCACGCAGATTTCAATGTTTGATCCAAAATATTGTTGAGAAGTCCTTGAGGGAAGATTTGGATACCTAAGTGGAAATGAAAGATCCAGTTTGAGATGTTTTTCGAATTGTAGATAGAGCTGATCCTAATGGTCACAGAGACTATTTATTAATTTTTTGAAAGCATTTTTGAGCTTAAGAATCAATTTTAAAGGTGTCCGTGCGCTTAAGATATTAATGAAATCGAGTGTGTATTTCTTAGGTCAACTTTGAAAGCTCATAACTTTTTTTAAATGTTAGTTTCCAGCATTTTCTGCTTTCAAATTCAGCTTCAGCCTGAAAAATAACCTATTGAAATTGATTTATCAATCCTGTGAGCTCAGAACAGTCGTTGACCGGGAGTTTAAAGACACATTTTGACGGACAGTTTAGTAATTTTCGGAGTCTTTCTGTTTTTTTTTTTCTCAGAAGTCAATATTTCAACTCACGATCTATCTCCGTAGATGTACTTTTCGATAGGGACTAGTGGAGCACAGGAGGCTTTTCGGTTCAAAACTCCGAAAAGAAATCCGACGATTAGTAGGGTGAAGAAGAAGGCGGTCAGACCGTAGTACTCTTTGATGATTCCTGAAAAGTCATATTTTCCTAAAAAATGATTTTCCCCCACCATGCTCAATGACACAGGAGAGGACTTGTGTAGTTCCAATAAGTTCGATGAGAAATCGGTAAAGTGCGGACTTTTTGCTCAAAGTCAAGTCGAGAAGACGTCTCGAGAGCTCGGCGCCCACAAGAACTACCGTGTAGAAGTAGATTGCCGAGAAAAGGGGCACCAATGATGCCATTTTCTGAATTATTTCATTTTATAGATTTAATTTTTACAATTAGCAAGGCGAATAATGACAAAAAAAGCATTAGAAATCACGAAAAAGGCGAGAAGATTGACCGAAATCAATGATTTCCGCCTGAAATATGAGAAAAAAACAAGTCAGGGTTTTATACTTGAAAGAAAAAAAATGATAAAAAAATTGAAGCTTTTTCCAAACGATTTCTGAAAAAAATTTACTAGCTCTCCACTATTCTTTCACGATAATAATCACCATCAACAAATCGGAAAAAGAGCAAAAAAGCTCTAAAAACCAAAAAAAAAGAAAAAAGAAAGTTTTGACGCGAAAATCTGTGAGGAATATTTCACACTTAAAAGAAAATTATAAGAAATCGAAGCCTTCTCCGAACATTTTTTGAAAGATTGACCAATTTTCAATTTTTATTTCCCATGAGTCTTGATTAACAAGTCGAAAAAAGACGAAAAATCCTCAGAAATCACGAAAAAAGAAAAAAAAATAGCTTTCACCCCAAATCGAAGAGGGGAAATTAAAGTTTCTCTACTTGGAAAAAAACTTATAAGGTATTGAATTTTTAGAAAAAAATAGACCGATTTCCGAATTTTTTTCCAGTCTCTAACTGAATAAAAAGGCTCATAAAGCCCTGAATGGGTTGTGAAAATATTTCAAGAAACTCGAAAGTGAGATTAGTTTCTGGAAGTTTTAGCGAATTTTTCAAAAATAGAGCTTGAGGAAGTTCAGAAATCTACTAAACGCTATTTTTTTTCCGAACAAATTATTTTGAAAAGTGGCTTTCTTGAAAGCTTTTAAACATTATAAAAATGTCGCAAGATCATTGTAAAATGGAAAAGTTGAGGTGGGGACCCTTCAGAAGGAAAAAAACTGCGCTAAAAGCCCCTAAAACCATAGGAAACTATCTTTTGAGATTTTTTTCCATTGACTCAAAGAATCTTTTTTGAGCTCCCTGGAATATTTTCAGTTGCTTACCAGCATCATTTTATCGAAGAAGAGAAGAAAGATGCGAAACCGTAATAAAAAAAACCTTTTGAGGGCTCTTAGAAAATTTTTTATGAAAAAATGCTTTTGAGGAGCTCACTGCGATTTTTTACGTTAATAAATCGATTTTCTATTCAGAGCTAAATCAAAGTTTTTTTATTCAGAGCTGAATCAACTGAATTTTTGGTTCATTTATTCGCAGTTTTTCGATTGTTTTTTTCTTTCATAAAATAATTATAAATTTCTGGGCCTTTTTTTGGCTCATTTTGAAGCAGATCATTCGATCAGTCTCGTAACGATCGATAAATGGGTCCGAAATGAACAAAATTAACCATTTATTTGGAAAAATAAGAGTAAGCGAAAAGATATTGATGAATTCTGATGTTCTATGGCAAACAGTAAGAAAAAATAAATCAAAAAAAATGTTTTTTTAGTGTCAATGAAACCTTGAGAAAATTCAAAACCACTTCTCAAGGAGCCGAAAAAAATAGAAAATACACACAAACCAACGAGAGAAACGACACGTAACAGCCGTACAAGGCGACCGGTTTTTCTCGCCCATTTTTTTCATTTGAAACAAACAATTTTTCACATGGCAGAATCGTCCAATTTTCGGCTTTCCTAATTTATTTGTTAGTGGTGGGAAGTTGAAAAAAATTGAAAAAAAGATGGTTTTGAAGAATTTTTTTGGGGGACAAAACGAAAGAGAAAATTTCTTTTATCTGTCGATTTTTTTCGAGTTATTTTTGTAAAATGAAACAAGAAGTGACGGAATTTTTTTTTAAACCGAGCTCTTTTTGAGAGGAAAACGTTCAAAGAACTCTGATTATTTATGAAAAAACCGGAAAAGTTTTTTTTTTCAACTTTTAAAAATAATGAAAATGATTAAATTTTATCTTTTTGCAAGTTTCAAAGGTCCATTTTTGGCTCTTCTGATTTATTAAGTTGTTGTGAGTTCGGAAATTGAGAAAAGACGGTTTTGAAGATTTTTTTTGAAAAAATAACGGAAAAAAGGAGAAATTTTCTTCGATGAGAGCATAATTTGAACGTTATATGTTTGAAAAAAAAGTTCGATTCTCTTTTTTTTTGTTGAAATCTTTAGAGGTGAATTTTTGGGTTTTCTGATTTATTTGTTAGTGAGGAGTTAGGAAATCGAAAAAAAGGGGAATTTTAAATTTTTTTTGAAAAAGAGCGAGTCCTGATAGGAATATGCTGCAAAATATGCAGACTAAGGTGTTAAAAAATGAGAAAAGCCAAATGACTTCATTTTCCGTCTTTGAAAAAAAATCAAGAAGTCCTTATTGAAGATTTGAAAAGAGGAAAATTTGTAGAAACGAGATTTTTGAGCCTGTTACATGTCATAACTTCAAAGAATCGGTAAAAACGGAATTTTTTTGAAGTTTGAAAGAAAATACTGCCGAAAATTATCATTAGGACAAAGTATTCAAATATTCATATTCAATTATAGAAGTATAGTTGGTAGTATTTAAAGTAGGCAGATTTAAAATAGCCGTCAGAGAGTGAAAAATATCACTTATTTTTGGGAGATTCAGAGAAAATTCGGAACTTTGCGGAACCTCTCTGAACACTTCAAAAAAATCAACGAAACATGAAGAGTTGCAACAAAAAAAGAAGAACAAAATGTGGGACACTCCTTGACAATTGAATAGAACCTGATAAGATAAGAGAATTCGTCGTGTTGAAACGACGAGACGCAGAGAAGAAATTCAGCCATCGGGCTCGATGGATCGATGGCAAAAAGTTGCACTTTCCACAGCTGTTTGAAGCTTTTTCCTGGAAAATATTGAGAGGGAGATGGACATCTGCAGATTTTTCGTGGAATTTATGATGTCTCGATGGATTTTTTGAAAAAAGAAGTACAGGAAATAGGAATTTTTCATCAAGGAAGGTCGTTTTACTCCTTGAACTTTCTTGAAAGATAGCCAAAAAACTCCTTAATGTGGCAGAAAAAGATCCTGAAAGTTTCAACCTGCCCGCTTTTCTAGTTTTTGAGAAAGGACACCTCAAAGTCAAGGAAAACCCTCAAAATACGTTAAAACAGGCCATTTTTGGGCTTCCAGCCCTTATTTCTAGATAACTGGGAAGTTTTGCAGGTTGAGAGTTTCAGAATATTACTTTGGGACATCAAGGAGTATCCTTGCAAATTTTGAAGGAGTTCCGAACCTCAAAGTGAAATAACCTTCCTTGTAGGGCGAAAATTTGCATTTCGTGAAAAGTAGACATTTATGAAGCTATAATACTTAGGAGAATGAAAAGCTGGCATTTTATCAGCCCTGAAGTATCCAAAAAGAGCTCAAAAGCTCAAAATATGAATATTTCTCCAGAGATCATTGAGCAAAGGTCCTACAGAAAATAAAAACTGAATTCGAGTTTTTGAGAGGCTTTTTTTTTTGGAATTCTGCCAAATTTTCTCTCAAAATATTGCTCATTCTTTAGGTAACTGTTTACAACTTTATTGAAAACTAGAAGCTAAATTTTTTTTTTCCTATAATCTTCCAACGTTGACAGGCGTCCTGCGCGAGGGTGTATTCCAGCGGCGAACCATCGCCGTCGCTTACGACCACATCACGTTGAAAACACGCCATCCCGTCCGATCTGGCAAGTTAAGCAACGTTGAGAGCCGGTAGTACTTGGATCGGAGACGGCTTGGGAATTCGGCTTGCCGTAAGCTTTTTTGCAATATTAAAAAACTAGGAGCGCTTCAATTTAATTTTGGGAGTTTTTCAAATTCTTGATGTGATTTTTATTACTTGTGAGTTCATTTTGAAGGGTTTCTCAATTTTTTAATTTAAAAAATGACTCATAGCTCATTCGTTTTGGTCCACTTTTTCGACAATTTCCCTTGAACTTTGAAGCCTAACATTATTCTTCTGCGGCTAAAAGTCTAGAAAAGTGATTTTGATACCGCAATATATGAGATAAAGTCGAGAAAATAATTGAGTTTGGTCTCTACGCGCCGTGGCGAAATTTAATCAACCAACGTTGCGAAAATCCGCATGATTTTAATTTAAGGCAGAGAAGTTTTATGTCGATCTATGTCTGATGGAAAAGGAGGAATTTGAAAATTGATGCGGATTGAAAGGAAGATTCGGAGATGCACTATGAACTGGTCTCTATAGGGGAAACCTTAGGAGTCCTTGGAGGATCCACTTTAAAGATTAGTTTACCTCATTCTGTAAAAGCGACTAAAGCTAGGGACCGCAGACGAATTTTCAAAAAAATTTTCGAACTTCAATATTACTATGGTTGGATAGCTGCTCTAATTTACTATTCAAAAACAGTTTAGTTTTTTTCGAAAAAGGTTGAGAAAAAAGTTATGGTCAAAACAGTAGTGAAAAAAAGTCGCGAAATTTAGTACTGAAAGTTTAGATTTTTACACTTTTGGTCGTTCATTTTGTTTTTTTATATCGGATTTAAATTTTTTTAGTAGTTTAGTTTGGTTTTCAAAGTCGTAATAAGTCATTAAAACAGTATAAAACCACAAGTTTGAAAAGAAAAGCTATTTTTTCTTAAAAATAAAAAAAATGGCCCGCTGCGAGGATTGAACTCGCGATATCAAAACTGTATGCAAGGGCACTTGCGCTGCTCCACGTCCATCCCTCGGAGATGGAAGGCGTTCGCGCTATACACCACTTCACCTCAAAGTACAGCATTTACCGTCTGTTTTGTTTTAAAATAAGTTATGATAGTTGAACAATTATTAGTCACGTGTGTTCGGAGCACCTAAAAAAATAATTTATTCATAGAGATTCAGTTCAAAAATGCTCCCGTTTTCGGTGTTTTTTGTTATTTTAAACGTTGGCTTCAAGTTAACAATAATTACACTTTTAGGCACCGCTGAAATTTTTATTTTATTTTTTTAATTGTTTGAACATTGAGATTTTTAGGTGCTCCGAACACACGTGACTAAAAAAATTGAGATACGCTAATATTTAAGAAATAAAAAAAGGCGCCAACGACATCTAACCATGTTAAAAATAAATTTCGAAATTTTCACTGTCTTTTTTTTCTCAGAAAACAAAGTTTTCGGAATAAGTTTTATATTAATAAAATTTTAGTTACAATTTAATCCACAAGTTAAAATAAAAATTTTTTTATTTACACGCTCTCGAAAGCGAGTACAACATTTTTCAACTTTGCGCGGCCTCACGAAAATTAGGCACCGTAAAAATTTTAATTTTTTTGTCTTAAAAGATTTGTTTTTTACTTAAGAATCGAATTCAAAAATAAAAAAAGGCGCCAACGACATGGAACTAGGTTAAAAACCCGAAGAAAAAAAGTAGTTTTGGTTTTTTGTACGACACTCCGCTAAAACGCTTCGAAAATCGGATGAAAAGTATATGAGATTGAAGAGGAAGGTTTTCTCTATGTTTCCACCAAATTGTGTTTGATTCAGTATTGCGCTTTTACGAAAACATCAAACACGAAATCTAAAAAACCAGTGCATTTCACCATCGAAAAAAGGGGCGTGGCTCTGCGGTCTCTAACTAAAGCTTGAAAAAGTGGCCCCTATAGGAGAAATGCTAATCGAATAATGTTGTGAACTCTGCGGCTTTTCAATTTTTAGATATGAACAAAATTGAAAGACCCTATAGAGACCACTTTCGCTTTCTTAAGCTTCTATATTCTATTTTTCATTTCTGACAATGTAAATCGAACCTAATCTCATATTTGAATTGAACATTTCAATTAAGAGAATCGACCATATGCTTTGTTTTCGAGTCCCTCTAACTTTTTTCCATTTTTCAAAATTCCCAATGCCTTTTCCATGCAGCGGCGACGATAATTACACGGACAAAATTGTGCCCCTTTTGTAAATCGACACCACTCGACGCCAAACGCAATTGGATACGGTAGCCCCAATACGGCGGCGCACCTTTTACGCTTCCTTTGCGCAATTATGACGGCTTACCGTAAATTTGAGCAGGTAATTATGACGGCTGGACTTGACTGTAGAGACTAGGCCGTAGGTGCCAGAAGAAAAAAGTCTCAATCTGCAGAACTTTCTAGTTTTTGAGAAATAAGGGCTATTCCAACGGATTTCAAGGCTTACCGTGAAAATTTTAAGTGGCCACTTTAGGGTCTTGACGTTTTAGTGGCCATTATTGTAGTCGAATTTAGGTTTCTAAAAATTAAGAGCACTTTTAGAAGTCTATGTGGTACTGCTTGACGAAAAAAAACTACTCTAGTGACCACTAAAACGGAAAATAGGGGCCACTATAGAGGTGGTTATAGTGTCCACTTTAGTGTCCTCTCCAAGTAGTCCTTTAGGAACCTTTTGAGTGGCCACTAGCATTTTCCGTAGAACGGAATTCCTTCGGACGTGAGATTATTCTTTTCTGAAGAGTTCCGTTAGTTCCGGTCGTATTTGCAAGGCGTCTGGAGACTGGAAAAAATTTTTTCTGTGAAGCAGCAACTTTAGTGGTTTCTTGGAACGGGTTGTACTTTTGATAGGTCTCTAGAATTAAAAAGGGCTTTTCAATGATTTATTAATACAAACTCCGCCTTTTCAAATTTTTCAGCTATGATTTTGAGTCCGTGGCTGGAATTTTTTCAGCTATGATTTTGAGTCCGTGGCTGGAATTTTTTCGCAATTTTCCCGCAATTCTGGAGGCATCAGTGGCATCCTGAAAGTTTCATTATTTGTCCATTGCATTCCCAAATAACTCAGTTTGCTTTTCAACTAGGTCGTGTACAGCTTTATGGGGTTTTTTACATCCGAAACCAACGAAAACCAGCCCACAACAACAAACAATAACGAACAAACAATGGGAACGAACAAAAATAAAGCGTAAGAGTCTGGGGGTCAAATCCAGATCTAATTCTACGTGAATCGAAGAGACAAAAACACGTATTTTATTCACAGGAGCATGGGAGAAAGTCTAACAGGGGATAGGGCTCCTAGTTCTTCCTCGGGCCGTCTTCATCTCCTAAGTTGGCGTGCTCTCCATCTGTTGACTTCTTAATTGGCTTTCTGGCGATGTAACATCCGAACGCTGAAGTCGATTTCCATCGTCCCGCCCGCATAACTTCGGTCCCATCCACTCCGCTTTCCAGGGCCGCTGTCGCCGCACCACCCCTGAAGGCATGTGAAGTGTAGTTGAAGTTTTCGAGTCCGGCCTTATGAAGCAGAAGTTTTAGTTCTTTGCATGCGGTAGAGTAGGTGATGGGCGTTTTTGTTGAGGCTGATAAGAAGATAAAACCTGCGCCGTTGACCAATTTGAAGCGGGTGACGACCCGAAACTCTTCCTTCTCCAGCTTGATCGGAAGATTCACGCCTTTCCCTTCTTGGTCTGTCTTTGATCGTCTAATTTGCAAACTGCCTTCCCCGTCGGGTTTGTCGAGTTGAACGTCGTCCCAACGAAGAGCCAGTGCCTCGGATATTCTGAGCATTGCGTTAAATAGAAGAATCGCCAAAGTGCCTGCCCTATCCAGCTCGGGGTACTTCGACGCGGTTTCTACTAACCTTCGGTAATGCTCCAATGGCAATTTCGTCCGATTTTGTACCGTTGGTTTTGTCCTGCTTGCGGCCGACGCAATGGCTTTTTGTAGAGAGGCTTCATGTGGTTGTACCTCGCCAAGGAAATAGTTGAGGGCTGCCGTAGCCGTCTGCACTGAAGATGAAGGGCCTTCGGAGAACTTTTTAAGGAGGAAAAGAGTTCTTAATTGGTTTTGGCTTAAGTTTTTGTCTCTACGGGATTGGCAGAAAGTGTCAAAAAGTTTCAAGATGCGCCCGTAGCCGATGATCGTACCCTGTGCTCGGTCCGATTCCAGAATCTTCTTCAGTGACTGCCCCAGTGCTTCGTCTGGACCTTCCAGTTTTCTTGCCAAGTTGGCCGCGGCGGTGAAACGATTCTCTGTAAGCATTTCAACTCTGACCTTTTCTTTCCTCGTATCTTGTCTTTTCTGGGTGGGTGGGTGGGGTATAGTCTTACAGAAAAAACCCGTGTAAAAACCCAAAAGCTGGAAAACTGGGGAAATTTTGAAAAAACCGCGCTCTCCTCGCCCGGCGCGGGTTACGGTACGCATTCGAACGGTGTGCCTTTCGTGATCGTTTCGCGCGCGCATCGTTGACACGCCCTGTGTTTCCAAGCAAACTTCAATTATTTGTCCATTGCATTCCCAAATAACTCAGTTTGCTTTTCAACTAGGTCGTGTACAGCTTGGAAAACGAAGTTTACAAGGGGAGCATCCTAAAACCTTTGGAAAGCTGCGAGGAAACTATTTCATTTCATTTCATTTCAAGTGTTTATTCGCCATTCCGCAATCTGCACGACAAATACAAAAAATAATACATCAAAACAATCAAATCAATCAAATAAATCTAACAGCTGTACAGCTTGAAATCTAACAGCTATCATTGGAAAGAAAACTTCTTTCTGGGCACTGGTTTTGTCGAGAAGTCGATTAGTAAGAATAAAAACGGTGATTTTGCGAAAGGTGAGTTGAAAGCTTCCCCTGCCCCTCCAGGTACGAAAATTTTGGCTCCCGGTGGCATTCTGATACCCCCTTTTATTTCTGGCGCCCAGTCTTGGCCTATTTTCAAAAGAGGAAAAAATGGTTGACTCCTCCAATCTGGAACTCCTAAGATTCCCCTGGATTTGTGTTTTTTCATGAAGGCTAGTGTTTTTAGTACCAAACGAACTGGCGGGACTAACCAAAGGTCATTTCTGTACCAAAGCTCCGGGCAACTGAAGGCGTCCACGGCCGCTGCTCCCGGACATTCGGATCTGGCGCAGAACCTGGAACAAATTGCGTTTTTCTCGTTCGCGAACAGATCCCATGAGCATTTTTGTAGATAATTCATTGCCGTTTCGGCTATTTTCGGAAGGATCCCCCAATCGTCTGGGTCTTTAATGCGACTCAGCGCATCTGCCAGCTGGTTTTCCCTTCTCGGAACCCAAACGACATTCAAAATCAATCTATTCTCAGACTCCTTCCTCCAAATTTCTTTTCGCTAAATTTTTGCAAGTCTCTTTTTTTAGACTTCCTTTTTTTAACAATGGTAACTGCTGCCTGATTATCGCATTTAATCTCTACTTCGTTTACGAGAAAATCTTGGAACGCTGATAGCCCAGCCGATATCGCAAAAAGCTCTCTAAAAGTACTAGATCTTCCCCTAAGTGGTTCTGGGATTTCTTGGGAAAACTCGAGAATTTCACTTCCCATCTTAATTTCGAGCGCCGCTCCTACCTTGCTTTTGGAAGCGTCTACCCAAAGATAGAATTTAGGTTCAAACTGTTTTCCAGGCGGCTGCTTAAAGCTCGATATCCAGTTATTCTTCAACAACTCACTTTTCCAAGCCTCCGCCTCTGATCTTTCAGCTTGCGACATTGGCCAACGCTCCTCGAGGTTTTTTCGGGTCCCTTGCGCCTCTGCCGTCACCGTCACCAATTCCTTGTTGGTCTTCCTCAAGGCCTCATTGACCACGTGGCTCGCCGAAGCCAGAGTACCTGTAAATCGCAATCTGTCATGCAAGGAGGGTTTTTGCTGCCTCAGGAGGCTATCTAGGCAGATTTTCTCCTGTTTTCTGATAGTGATAAGGTTTTTTCTACTGTATCTACCTCTATGCCTAACCAAGTCTTTTTCTGAGTTGGTTGCCAATCACACTTTTCGTCTGCGAAATGCCATCCTCCCGATTCTAAATCTTTTCTAATCGAATTTGCGATTTCACTGCATTTTTTCTCTGATTCGGCCCATATAATGGCGTCGTCTAAATAGAAGCACACTCCCCAACCTTGGAGCCTCCATTTGTGTACCCACGGTCTTAACAACTTCGTGAACACGAAGGGGGCACAACTAAGCCCGAAAGGAAGCGCTCGGAAACGGTAGAACTTTTCTTCCCAGGTGAAACCCAACCATTTTCTGTCTTGCTCTCTGATTAAAACATGGTGATATCCTGCCCTCAAATCGCAGACTACTACAAAGGCCCCTTCAGGGATAAGCCATTTAACTGTACCCCAGTCTTCGAAACGACAATGTTCTTTCTTAACGTGGTCGTTAAAGTTTGATAAATCTAGGATAAGCCGAGGCTTTTTACCTCCTGTAGCCACGTGCAGCGGGTTTGTCCTGTTGTTGTTACGTTCTAGCTGCACTTCCTCCGCTGCTCCTGTCTCGACGAGCCTGACCACCTCCTCTGAAACGAAATCATGATTTCTCTGTACGCTCGATCTGTTTGACAATGCCTCGAGAGGCTTAGGAGTCGAGACTAGGTCTATTTTCAAACCATTTTCTAAGGTGTCGAGAACCCAGGCTGAAGCTCCTAAACCTCTCCAGGCGTGTCTGCTCTTGTGAATGCCTCCCGCTTTAAACTTACCTTTACTCTCTCCTTCTTTTGGGGCTTTCTCTCGCCCAGTGAGACTCTGCTCCACAGAGGTAACATCCACCCGGACGTCCTCGATCCGGTGAGAATCGTCGCTTCTCTTCCTCTCTTCGCTGCGGTTTTTGGGGGCCTCGCGTTGATCCGAAGACGTGACGAGAGGGCCCAGGTCGAAATGCCGCCACATCCATGGTGGCACGTTCAGGGACTCGGTTGAAGCGGGTCGCAGGTGTCCAGGCTGCAACCCTTTGGTGAAAGGGCTGGTTGAGTGGTGGTGTTTTTTTCTTTTCTTCTTTTTTCTGCTGCTTCAGGAACTCTGCCAACCAAGGACTCGATGACTTCATGCTTTCCGCTTTCTCCTTTGTTTCCAGAAAAGAGAAGACCTCTGGGCTCTCATCGCCAATCTTCAACGTGTCGTTGCGCTCAACGAGCCGTTCCTTCGCTAGCTTGATTTCTTCTGCCGCTTCTGCTGCTCCTTTTCGAGCCGCTGTTTCCAAAAGATCGATGAGTTTACAGTTGAAATCGTATTGGTACTGGAATCCCTTGCGCCTGAATGTGAAAGGCGGAGCTGCGGTCGTCTTGACGTGTGCTGGAGCGCCGTTTGCGTTCGAAATCGCTGCCAGGATCGACGATAGTTGTTCTTGGGACAGTGTTGTCCGTTGAGTTTGCTGGGGCGGGCCTGTCGACCCCGTCTCTTCTTCCATCTATGCCGCCTCTCTTAATGAGACAAATCACTTTTTAGCTGTAAGTTTAAGCACGGTTTAAGTTGCAATGTCAAACGCGAAACCTTTTCAAAATCAGTGTGAAAACCCGTTACATCAATATTGATAAAATAAAGTGGTAAAAACCACTGCTAAAGCGAGATAAAAACACGTAACAACCAAAAATATGTATAGTCTTACAGAAAAAACCCGTGTAAAAACCCAAAAGCTGGAAAACTGGGGAAATTTTGAAAAAACCGCGCTCTCCTCGCCCGGCGCGGGTTACGGTACGCATTCGAACGGTGTGCCTTTCGCTGTGATCGTTTCGCGCGCGCATCGTTGACACGCCCTGTGTTTCCAAGCAAACTTCAATTTTTTGATGGCCCATTTTTTCCTTTTTTTTTGTGATCCGTGGTCGCACTTGGAATGGCTTCAAGTATAGCCGTTGACTAAGAATTTTGAATTTTCCGAGTATTTCTCTAGATTTTTTTGAGTTTTTTGCGTTTTATCGAATTTAGTAACATGAGTCAAACCTCATTTTGTGCCGAAATATAAATTTTATCGAATTTTATCACAACTCTCTCTTTTTTTTTGCGTTTTCTAGGATGGTTCCACTATTTTAAACTGGGAGGATTCATTTTTGTAATTTCGAAAAAATCCCTAATGATGACGTCGCCAAATGAAAAAAGCGGAAGTGAGCTTTCCCGAGTGTTTCAGAATTTTCGGCGGCGCCGAAATAATCGGATCGGCCGGCCGGCTCCAACCGTTAATTGACTTTCGAATGAATGATTAATGGTTTTTCTGAAGCCAGCTTTTGGAGAACAGAAAATGATCCGCACCTAATGGGTTGATCTGGTTTCGCCTGAAAATTTCATTTCTTTCGACTTTTACGATTTTCGGAATCGGGGGAGTGATGTCAGACAAATGACCAATAGTTGGTCATCTAATGGGCTTTTTGAGATTCCGAAATGAGTTTTTGCGCTCCACGGATAAAATGGGCTCTTTTTGCTGTGATTGCCTGGTTTTTTGAATATCAAAAAAAAACTTTTTTTCATTGTTTCTGTGAGAAAAGGTCTTGGTTGAAAAGAAAAAAAAAAAGATTTTTTGAGGATTTTCCTTATTACGAAGCTGAAAAATAGAACTCATCTGCGCTCCACGGATAAAATGGCTTCATTGGATAAAATCGAATAGATTAAGCGATATATATTGGCGTTTAAAAGTGGACATAAATTTTCAAAGGCTTTTTAAACAACCGTTAAGTGAGCAATGGCGCTCCAAGGACAAAACAGGATTTTTTTTTTTGCAATTTGCATAATTTTTTCGTTTTGTAGCATTTTAAGAACATCCTTCCGGGATGGAGATATGTAGCTTGCACAGAAAATATGTGGAAACTTTTTTTTTTCGAAGGTAAGGCTTGAAATATGTATGTATATGCGCTCCACTGACAATTTCGCTGATTTTTTTCATTAACGGCATATTTTTTTGAGAAAGGTTATATGATAATTTTTTTAGAAATTTTTTTAAGGGCGTCAAAATTGGTCATATATGCGCTCCAACGACAAATTTGTTCCTTTCGTCAATTTTTTAGTTTTTATGAGAGAAAAAATGAGTTTTCGTGCTCTAGGGATCGGCTTTTTTTTTTTGGAATTCCATAGATTTTTTTCTAGTTAGAAAATTCTCAGTTTTTCATAGAGATTTTTTCCTAAACGGAAATATCTTGGTTGAACAGTAGGAGTGTGAATAGACGAGTTCAAAAGAACATGGCTAATAAAATTTCGTGCATTTGCGCTCCATGGACAAAATGGGATTGTTTTTTTTTCGCATTTGCTTGAATTTTCTTAATTTGTAGATGTCCAAAATTTCTTCCGGGGTCGAAATTTGTAGGTTGAACGATAGAAAGGAGAAAAAATGTTAATTTTTTCGATACTAAGGCTGTGAATTTGCAAGTATGTGCGCTCCACGGCCAGTTTCGCTGATTTTGTGTTTGTAGCAATTTTTTTTTGGAGATTAATCTGCGCTATAACAACACATTTATTGTTTTCGTCAATTTTTTTGTAGATTTTTGATAGACGAGTTCAGAAGAACAATGTGGAAATGATTACGTGCATTTGCGCTCCATGGACAAAATGGGATTTTTTTTTCCCTGCATTTGCATGAATTTTCTTAGATGTCCAAAAATTCTTCCGGGATCGAAATATGTAGGCTGAACAAGAAAATAGGATCTGCAGTCTTATGAAAAATTATTTTTTATTGTAGATTCCAAGCTTGACAAAGGTCATCTAATGATTTTCCGAATTTTTTTCAAAGTGACGTAAAAATTGGCTATTGTGCGCTCCACCGATAAAATAGCCAAGCTCATCAGTTCTGGAATAGTTTTATTGAGAGGTAGGTCGGTATTAAAACATTTTCAAAAGTTGAATAATTACTGGTTATGGATAAATAAAAGTTTTAGGCCTGGCAAAGTTTTCAACTTCAATCGCCATGTATAATTTCTGATTTTTTGAACGGGACTCAAAATTTTTTCTATGAAAGTTGAGAAATCTTTAAGTTTTGTACTCTGAAACAATGACGCGATAAAATCATGACGAGCGTCTTTTTTTCATTTTCGGCAACTTATTATCCAGCGACAAAGATCGTTTTTGTAGTCAGCGAGAAAAAAACAATCTTTACTCTATAGAAAAAAAAGGAAAAAGTTTTGGATTTGTACTCGATAGCTCAGTCCTTACACGAATTTTTTTCGGAAATATTTATAGCCTGACCCCAAAGGTAGAGAAGCAAAAAAAGGAAGTAAAAAAAAGGAAAGGTGAACATTGAACTTTTATGGCGCAGTAAATTTTGAAAAAAAAGGTTGGTTCTTATGGAGATTTCGTGGAGAAAAAGTTGGACTTTCTTAATTTTAAAGTGTAGATTTAAGCCGCATAAAAGAAAGCTTACAAGTACTGGTTCCTATAGGGGTAATCTTAGAGGTCTCTCAAGGTTCCCCTCTAGGGGTCACTTTATCACAGCCATAGAGCTCAGATTCAGATTCATTCCGAATAATTGAGAAAACAATGATTTAAAGTATTTTTTGAGTTTTAAAAGTACTTCGCAATGCTAGAGGGGTTCCTATAGGGGTAATCTTAGGGCCCTTGAAATCTCCCCTCCAGGGATCACTTTATCTCTCTCTCAATGGGGGTCACTTAAGCTTGCAAAGGTGGCCCCTGTAGGGATTTTAAAACAATCGATCAAGTTTTATCAAATACTCTTTATTTTCAAATTGAATAACAAACTCAATCAAAAGACCTCTATAGGGGCCACTCGAGCTTTACGGGCGTTAAATTCAGAAGCTACACCCCTTTAGTGACCACCGAAATTTTATTCCTATAGGTGATGTTTTTCCACTAACCCCTATAGGGACCACTTCAGCTTTATGGGCTTCCAGGACAGATTCTAAACCCCTATAGGGGCCCCCTAAATTTTACCCCTATAGGGAGTGCTTTTTTGCTCTCGGTAAGGAGTTTTTCCCCTGATCCCTATAGTGACCACTCTGGCGTTCCTGTAGGATAGAACTTTGATAATGATTTCTACCAATTTTTTTGTGGATTTTTATTAAAAAAAATACGATGCGGTTTTGAACTAGAAATGTAATAAATTCTGCATTTTGGAAATCATTTTTTTCCTTGTTTAGTATTCCAGAAGTCCATGAGTATTTTTTTGATAATTTCATAGGGCCAAAAATGACTCTTTTTCTATTTGATTACAAAGATCATTCATCGTTTAATGCAACATAATTTTTCTTTCCCACTCCCACACTTTTAGCGGGGGAAGCCCGAAATAAATCTTATGAATAGGTCACTAAACGAATCTGAGAGAAAAAGGAGGTCTAATATTTGATTCCCATCCAATTTTAGGTCTCTTTCCCAGTTTCGATGACGAACTTTTATATTTTTAGCACCTGATGAATCGTCGATTCAAGGAAATAGGCTTAAAAAAAGAGTTGCGTGATAAATTTGTGATCATTTTTGCTCCACAGATAATTTAAGTTTAATCTAATTTCTTGAAACGTCGTTGAAGAAAAAGAGTAAGCTATAAAGTCTACAATTTTCAAAGTCGCTGAAAATAACCTTGTTTAAAAAATCAAGTGTGCTCTATGGATAATTTACTATTTTCCCTTGATTTTTGAGCAAATGGACAGTCGTTAGTAGATATTCTCCATTGGCTAAACGAAAAAGTGGTCGCACTTGGAATGGATCGATGCGCAACGCCGTCGAAGCGATTTTTTCAAGGCGCGTCTGACCAGAAACGACTTGCGCGCGAAGGCGTTTCTGGTCGGAGGCCCTGTCAAAAAACGTTCCGCAGTGATTCCACGTGCGGCCATGCTAAGGGTCAGCCATTTGAAGATTATATTCAAAAAAATGAAAATCTTTGAAAAAAATGATCTATGGAGCGCACTTTTACCAGATCACTGTGGAGGTTTCTCTCCCTGGTCTTTTTTTTTTTAATTTTTCAAGAAGTTCATCAAATTCCAAAAATGGAGAAGACTCTCAAGAATTCAATATTAATAATGACTTCCAACTATAGAAACAAAAAAGTCTTCTTTTTTTGGCGAGCCTACACGTTTTCTTGAATAATTTATCGAAATTCGTAAATTTCCCACGCGTTCGTCAAACTTTTTGCAATTGCAAAAAAAAACGAAAATTGTTTTGAATCATATATGTGTAGTATGAAATATTGCAGGGTTCATTTTCTGCCAGAAGCTCAGATTTTCCTTTTCGAATTGAATGGGGAAAGATCACTAAAAGGGATTAGATCTCTCATAACGTAGTGGCATTTGAAAAGATTAGAAATATACGTGTATAAAAAAAGGTTGACGTGATTTATGAGGCTTTATTTGGCCGCAGAATGACTCGGGTCTTTAAAAGACTGGGAATATGATCTTTATTTTATGACCTGGATTAAAGTGATGCTAAAAAGGTCATTCTGTTCCAGAATTTGAGGCTTCGGGAGTTGGTGAATGAAGAAGCTTAAAGGATCATTGAGACTTATAGAAAAGGGTCCTGGGACGATTGGCGAGATAGTGAGAGGGGATAGGAGGTTTATACAGTGTTCCATGGATTTTTGGGAAGTTAAGGTCTTGCGACGCGGCTATGCGACTCGGCTACCGGACAGTTTCTGTGAGTTTTCCATATCACTGTATAGAAGCTGATAGTTTGAGCTGCCTTAATTTTTTCACGATCTTCTTTTTACTGATTCTGCGACTCGGCTGGGAGATTGGGAGATATGGCTGATTTTGGCCTTTTCTTATGAACAGGTTTAAGAAAGACTGTACACAACATATCGGTTTCCAATAAAACCATGGGTACTCTAGGATTTTCCTTACTGACGATATGGCTATGTAATTCACATTTACATGACTCAGACCCCGAATCTTTCATCAGTCCTGTTTTCCGGGTCGCCGTAGTGAAGCGGGAGTCGCTACCTCTGGTTTACAAGTAACATCGGGCCTATTGAATAGTGTTTCTTTGACTCCTCTTTATTGTCATACTCTCCGGCAAATCCTGGGAAGGTGTTGGGAAGGTAACCAGCAGGAGGTTGGAAGGTGAATGAAAGCTAGAAGATCTTGGGAAGGCCTAGGGAAGCCGTTCGGAAGGTAGGTGGAAGGTATTTAGAAGGTGAAAATGGCTGCTGCCAGAAGCCTTCGAGAAGCCTGCTGGAAAGCTTCTGAAAGGCTTCCGGCAGGCTTTTTTCTAAGTAGAAGGTGTGGGGAAGGTAAGTGGAAGGCGTTTGACCACTTGCTGGAAACCTTCCAACCGCCTTCTAAGGGAACGAAAGCAGAAGCTTCCAAACTTTTGCCTGAGCTTTGAGACGCGGCTGTGTGATCTCGCTGTAGACAGAAGGTCTGCTTAGCGGCTACAGACGTTATTCGATCATGTCTTCTGTTCCTCAGGTTGTGTGCTTGTCTACGGTCCTCAGGGTCATAATTTCGATCTCCGTCGGGTTTAAGAAATTTTGGTAGTGGGAAGCCACGACTTCAAAATCCACAACCGTCCCACATAAAGACGGATAAGTCACTAGAGCCAGTCCACTGGTTCTGAAGATGGTATGGAAGCTTTTGGGTCAAATTTCCCAGCCGAGCGGTGTTATTGGGCTATTAAAGAGGGCAAGGAACTTGTAGGCCTATAACACTTATTTGGAAGTCTATCTGAACTTCTACAGTTTTTCTGTGATAATCTTGCGAGTCGGTCCGTTTGTAATAGTGAGAGTTGAGATATAATAGAACTTACAATGAGAACCTTTGGTCTCAGTTTTCTTGAAAATATGTTTGCAAATGAGCAACATCTATCAACACAAACAATCTTCTTCGAGGAAACATAATTGTGTTGAAAAAAGGGGCTGATATAATCACCAGCGTTTTTCAATCCAATGACTAACGCCTACACACTTCATTGTTAGGAAAACGAATGAAAAAGGTTATCGAAAGCCCGGCAAAACTACTCGGAACCGAGATGAATTCAGGTGTGACTAATAATCAACAACACGTGTGTTTCTCTTCCACCCACCCACCCAATTTGTATCGCCGTTGGAATTTGGAAAGGTTTTTTTCTCCGAAAGCCAAACGGATCCGAACCCAATCGCTCCTATTTCATTTCGGAGCCATGGAGCCAACAAAAAGTGGGCGGAGCCAACGTGGAGCCGACTTTCTCCCAAAGAGCCTAAGCGGCGACCGAGAGCCGCCCCATTCCCGTTTCCCCTATCACTTTTCAGCTTCGAGACTCTCCCAGTCGAGTGCTGCACACAACCTTAACCACCCACAACCTACCGTAACCCACCAATTGAAGCAATGCGTTTCGTGCTGAGACTCCTGCTTGTCGCCCTCGTCGCCTTGTTCGCCGTCAGCAGGGCAGGTGTGTGAAGTGTTGCTGGGTTTAGGAGTTTGGCGGGTTAACAGCTTTAAAGAGTCTTAAGGGGTATTTTTCAAAATTGGGATTTCTTAAGGTACTTTTTGGCCCTTTCTCTTGCTAGACTGTATCAAAGCTTTTTAAGCGGGTTTTTGGGTTTTTCTATGACCTTGTCGGTGTTGGATGGAAGAGGGGGGACTGTTTCAAGTCGTGGAAAATAGAAAAAATGTAGAAGTTCGACGAAATGATCGTCTCCTTGTTCGGCGGCAGCATGGCATGTGTATTCAGGAGGGATGGCTCAGAAGGTTCTTGAGAAACTTTAGATGTCATCAGAACTCTTGAAGGTTTCTATTTGAATTTTAAAATCGGTATAAAGGTACATTAAGGTGTTAAAAGTCTAAGGGGTTATCATTTCATTTAAAAACTGCTCAAGGTATTTTTAGCATTTTTCCTTGTTGGACAGTGTTTTCGAGCTATTTTTTGGCACATGGATTTTTCTCATTTTACTGGGACCTTGTCTGTTTTTTTTGGGAATACATACGGACTGTTAAAAATCGGTGAGAATGAAGTGAATTTCTCATATTTGCCATGCTAAGATTTAGATTTTTTTTTTGAAGATTTTCAGAGAAGTTTTTTGAGTTTTGAGAATGATGGAATCTGAACATTTTCACTCTAGAAGTAAATTTTTCAATTATTCAAACAGAATTGCCTAGAAAGGTTCTTTTTCGGTATTATAACTTTTTTTTAAAAGTCGACGAGATTTTTTGAACGTCAAAATAAAATTTTTCATTTTTGAAAATTCTTTTTTCTTTCAATCTGAGACTTCTACTTCAAAGTATACTACGACCAAACAAATTTTCAATATCTGACAGAAAGATTCATAGGATAATGTATGAATGAGCCAAAAGTTGTAGGGATTCACAAGATATTTTATTTTTCCTGTTTCCAATTTGAAAACACGTGCTGAAGCCAGAAAAGTCATTTATAGGATTTGCTATGTGTTTTTTATTATCACCATTGTTTTTTTGATATTTTTGGAAGCTCTACATTTTTTGGAAAAACTTGAAAAATTTTCCAGACGGCTTTCGAGCTGTTTTTCTTGGATTAATCATTCTGGTGGTCCATTTTTTGGGTCATCAAGGCTTGACTTGAATTCTTGATTTCACCCACGTTTTTTTGACTTTTTTTTTCGAATCTTTTCGGATTTCATTAGTTTTCGTAGTGGAAAGATTGAGTATGAACTTGAAAAACTTCTTTAAAACTTTTTAATGTTTTTTGAACGTTGAAGGAGCTCCCTTTTTTTCTTTTTGAATAGTCTAAAAAAATGACCCAATTTATTTTCCTGGTACCCTGGAAACGTCTAAAAAATGGAGACGCTGAAGTTTTCGTTTCTATGAACATTGGGAATTTTTTGCAACTTCCGAGATTTTTTAAAATTTTAAACGGTGAACTTAAAAAATTCCAATCAACCTATTTTTTGCCCAAAAAAAGAACCCGGGTTCCTCCAAGATCTTCGAAAAAAAGCTATTCAGAAAAATCGTTGAGAATTTTCAAAGTTCTGGATTTTTTCTACTAGGTTCTAAGCTTATGAAAAAAACTTCTAGAATAACTTTAGAACTTTATGATTTACCTATAAATTTTCTAGGAACCTTATGAACTTTTTTTGAAAAAAAGTAATTTATTTTTTTGAAGCCAATTTCTTGAAGTTAGAAGCTTGTGAAGAACTAATCAAACCCGAACTTATTGATTTTAGCGATTTTTTTAAAAAAATTCATAGGCTTTCTCAGGGACGAACGGGGATTCAAAAATTCCCTTTTTTTCGAATTTATATATGTAACTTGGCCTTGTAGAAGAACTGATTTTTAACTTTTAGCTTGATTTGAACTGAAAAATATTCTTCGAGGAAAATTTTCAATTTTCGTAGTTGCAAGGAACTCTGAAACTTTCAGCTCGAAAAAACCCACCCGGAATTTTGCCAAAAGCAAAAAAAAAAAAGGTCGCGACCTTTCTGAAGATTGCAAAATTAGTACTTTCGAGTCGTTTTACGCATTCTGAAAAAAACTCGTTTCTCTATCTTTTGAACTTTATCTTCTATTTTTGGTGAAAACAGCCGGAAACGTGTCGTCTTTTTTCTAGAAATTATCATTTATCAAAATAACCGAAAGAATGGAAAGTGCGCACCTTTTTGATTGTTGATATTTTTCGATGATAATCTTCGGCTTAATCTTCCTGTACCGTACCGGATTTGCGTCGTTGAAGCGCACTTTCTGCGATAAAAATATTTGGGTTTGGGAATAATGAGTTGGCGTTGTAATGAAGAGGGGGTGGACTGATTTTTGGACTCAAATGAAAGATTTTTTTGAAATTTATGAATTGCTCCCGGTTTTTCTCCCTCGGGAGGAAATCCTGAGTAAACGCGAGGTTAACGGGATAAAAATCTTTTGTATTGATCCCGAATTTCTCCCGCGGGATTCCAAATTCCTACCTCGGGGGATAAATTTGAGCGCCTGAGATCGAAGTCGAAGTCGTCGAAAACTATCAAGATTTTTTTGGTCCACTAAAAAAATTTTTTTAGAGGATTTTTTTCCCGTCCCTTTCTTCAAATAAAAACAACTTTTATAGCCATTTTTTTGTTGAACTTAAAAAATTTTTTTTTATTTTACAATTTTTTTCATTCAGAAGTTATAAGCCAGAGTTTTTTTCAGAATTGAAAAAAATAATAACTTGAATTTTGTTCAAATTTGAGCTCTTGAAAACATTTTTTTCAGCTTTTTTTGATCCCATTCTCGCAGTTTTAAAACTAAAATGTTCTTTTTTTAGTCCGATTTTGATGATTTTTCTATTTAAAAAAAGCTTCAAACTTGATTTTTTTCATGATATTCGACCTCAAAATTGACCCATACGGAAACTTGACTGTTGCAATCTCATCATTTTTCTCAGTTTTTCTCAATATTTTTCTAAGCTTTTTTTCGGATTTTTTTCAATCCAATTCCCCCAACATCCTCATGAGTACCGTTTCCACCTGACTATCCCAAATAATTCCGCAAACATCCTATTCCCACTACAAATTCGGACCCTCAACCATAAACTAACTGGTTTTGACGCGGATAATTATTCGGTTACGGTAGCCGTGAACAAATTGACGTAGATTTGAGGGTACAGTAGGACTTTTTCGAAGGAAGTGGAAGCTAGTTTTGATTTTCAAAGAAATAAAAAAGGCTCTGACGATTTTGTAATGTAATCCAAGCGACTGGAGGAATAAAGATTCTTTTTTTTGACTTTATACTTCTTAAAATTAGGATTGAATGTGCTGAATTGAATTATGATGCAGAAAAGTGGGTGTTTTGGACTTGTTTTTTTTTTAAATAATTCAATTTTTAACGGAATTTGTGTGACTTTTCTCGATTTTTGTCACCATTTATTTAAATTGAAGGTTTGAGGTAATTGTGGAAAGGTTCAAAACGTTAGGAGTACTTAAAAAAAGCTTCCGACTTGAAGCGACTCAAAACGCGACCGCGACGCTCTGAGCCATTCCCAATGCGACCAAGGTTTTTCATCGGATGCCCTTCTTTATGATAAATGTTGTGGAGAGGCCAAAACGTAAAGAGTACGTCAAAACAGCTTCCGACCCGAAACAACTTGCGCGCTGACACATCGGAAGCATTACAGCCAGCTTGGCATCAACTGCGACGCTCTGAGCCATTCCCAATGCGGCCACGTCGATAAAAATTGGTGAATGGAGTTCGATATTATAAGGTTTGTAAAGGTAAAACAGTATCCGACCTTAAACGGCTTGCGCTCTGACTCATGGGTAAGCGTTGGAGCAAGCCTAGCATCAACTGCAATGCGACCGCGATGCTCTGAGCCATTCCAAATGCGACCATGGCGTTTCAAATCAAAGAATGGAGATCGATATATGAAAATCGAAGTCTTGATTTATTTTTTTACATATTTCGTTTTCGATTCGATAATTTGCCATTTGAACCGAACGCTAGGAGTACGTCAAAAAAGTTCCCGACCTAAAACGACTTGCGCGCTGACCCATCGGAAAGCATTGCAGAGTAGTTTTATTGGGTCCTTATCCGAAAAAATAGTATTTTCCACATTTTAAGATTACTCTGGATTGGAATTGAAGCTTTTTCGGATAACTCTGTCATTTAAACCGAACTAGAACCTTTCAAAATAGTGAAAACAAGCGTTTTGATTCAAATTATCTATTTCAAAACCGTCTTCTCCCAAAAAGGATAGAGCTCTCAAAAATCGTGAAAAAACAAGCTTTTTAATTGAATCCTTCGATTTTGAACCCGTAAACATACTTTTTTTTAATTTCAATGATTTTTGAAACGGGTCCAGGAAAACAGGAGAATTTCCCATTAGCCGTCCATTAGTCGGATTGAAAAAGGTTCGAATTTCCGGCGATCAACCCGGAAATTTATGTTTCGCTTCGGTTTTTGAAGAGGAATATGAAAATAGGAGGGTTTTTCAGAACTTACCATGCAAAAGGAGCGGAAAAATACGCATTTGTAAAGATTTTTATCTTTTGAAAATCATTTTTCAACTTCCAACTAGTGGAAGGAAGTCCGAAATTTCTCTTAAAGTATTTTTTTCATTTTTTTCTTTATTTAAAGTTTTTTTGACTTTCAGTTTTTTTACAAGAGAAAAATCAAAAAAGAACCAATTGAGTTCAAATTTCTCATATCGAATTCCCAAATAATCTGGGAAAGCGGATTTACGTCAAAAGTTTCGCAGAAAATTAAAAAATCCTGGGAAAATTTTCGAATTTTCGGACCAAGTTTCATTGAAAAGGGGAGAAATTGAGTTTTCTTTAGAAAGTTCTATGAAAAGCCATTTTCTATCAATAATTCTTTTAATTAATGTACGCGAGGCTAGACTAGAACCTACGTAATCTTATAATAACTGGCTGAAAAACAAAGATTCGCTAAACTTTTGTCTATTTTTACCCGTATCAAAGCATTTCTGATGAGTCAACAGCTGAAAACAAAGGGATTTATTTGAAAAATTGGGAAACCTTGGTTGCATTTGGAATGGCTCGGAGTGTTATTCCGATTTTATACGATTCTAAAGCTGCTGGGAAGCTCTGGTTGCATTTGGAATGGCTTGAAGCGTCGCGGTCGCGTTGCGGTTTATTTAGGGTCTCTTATGTTGATTTTATATGATGCTAAACCAACTGGGAAAGACTTGGACGCGTTTGGAATGGCTGAAAGCGTCGCGGTCGCGTGGCGGTTTAGTTAGGCTCTCTCATGTTGATTTGGTATGATGCTAAACTTACTGGGATAGTCTTGGCCGCATTTGGAATGGTTAAAAGCGTCGCGGTCACGTTCCTCCACTTAGTCGATTTCATAAAATGCTGAACCTGCTGGAAAAGGCTTTCTCGCATTTGGAAAGGATCTATTTGGCCAATTTTATAGGATGCTAAACCCGCTTGGAAACTTTGGTCGCATTTGGAATGGCTCAAATGCGCTGCGGTCGCGTTACGGTTTAGTTAGACTTCATTTAGCTGGTTTCATTGGTTGGAGCCCGTTTTGAAAATATCTGACCCCCTTACGCGCAAGTCGTTTTGAGTCGGGTGCGTCGAGCCATGCCACGTGCGACCTCCAAATTTTGACTATTTTTTGATTGCAAACCTTTTTTCGACCAAAAATCAAAGTTTCGCTAGTCTCACTGCATATTTCAACACGTTTTTCATCTCATGAATAAATGAAAAATCACGTTTTCTTGAGGAAATACATTTCGTAGATCCGTTATTTACTAGATTTTCAACACACGTGCCGCCCCCACAGGCCCTTTTTTCACCGTGAATAAGCTTTGAAGACTTATTAGTTTGTCAGAAAAAACCAAATTCCAGCTTAATGGCTTATTTCGCGTAGAAAAAAACGAGGCGAAAACACGGCCTTTTGAATAATTATTATACAAGAACAAGGGCTTGTGAGGGTGTTTTTGAAGCTTTTTTCTGAGGGAAAATAGACAAATGTTTTATTATTTAGAACTTGAGGTGACTATACGACGGAATTTTCATTTTTTGAAATTTATCTCAGGGGTATTTTCTGAAAGTTCTTGACAAATTTGTTGAATTTTTTTCAATTTTTGAGCTTTTTACTGGCTTTTCTCGTTTAACAAGATGAAATTTGAACTACAAACCATGAATTATGAACCTAATAATTTCGAAACTTCACGTCTGGATGTACAAAGTAAACATTGGAAAAATAGAATTCCCTCAATGGCCGACTCGAATTTCATGAATTCCCCCACTCGGGCGCCAAAGTTTCACTCCTTTTTCGCTTCATTGAGAATATTCGGGAATATTCAAAAAAAAAACTCTGAAAAATTCCAGAGTGGTCCCCATAGGGGCTCTTGGAGGGTGACCTCTAGTGACCACTTTTACCAGCCCCTATAGGGGTCACTAGAGCTCGAAAAAGTCGTCCCTATAGGGGTTTAATTAGTAGCCCTTATAGGGGCATTCTAGTTGATAATTTTGAGAAGGATTTCCATAGGAAAAATTTAATAAGTAAGCATTTTTTGAATAAAATTGAGAGATCCCTTTAGGGACCACTTTTTCGGCTCCTAAAAAGGGGTGTTTTTTTCCTTCTAACCCCTATAGGGATCACTTTACAATTCTTCAGAATTAATCGATGATTTGAAAGTTAGGGCTTTAAGTTGTTAATGTTGAATAAAGAAACTAATGACGTCACTATACTGAAATTTTTGGAAAATGACGTCATCAGGAGGTTGTGACGTCATTCTAAAAAGTATTTTTAGTTTTTAAAGAAAATTTTTCGAACTGATAATTTTATTAATAATAATCCGATTCAAAGATATACGTCATCTTTAAAAAAAGCTTAGAAAAATCATTTTTGACGACGTCATAAAAAAATTTTTATTTTTGGGTAAGGTTACAGTTTCAGTTCTAAAAACTAATGCTACTTTTTTTCGTTATTTTTTTAGTTATAATTTTTATTGGTATATTTAATATATCCTTGATCTAGCCTCAAAATTTTCTTTTTGATTGGAATCCTTGATTTTTTTCCCTATCCCTTTTCGGAACTTCAAAGATCCCGCCAAAACAATCCTCATATGACACATTTTGATTTTTTTAATTTATAAACGTTTTCTTCCGCGTGTAGGTGGAGATCAGATTGCTCGAATATTTGATCCCAAAGCCGTTTAGAATGGTTAATTGCGCTCCAATGATGAAAAACTTTCGTGGGAGACTCCGCGAGGCAAATTGGTTTCTCGGGTTGGAAGATTCTTTGGGGAGGTTTTGTGGGGAAAATGAAGGACGGAAAAAGTTCAATTGATCCTTTAAGGTTCATAAAAGAAGAAAAATATCGACAAAGATCCTAAAAAGGGGCAAAAATTTCTCGGCTGCTTTTTTTTAGTTTATCGAGAAAAAAAAACCTTTTTCTTCTTTTCAGCCTTTTTTATTACCTCGAGAAGGATCTTGAAAGATATTTTTGTAACTGCTTTTTCGGTATTTTCAGACTTGGTAGCATTAGTTTGGTAAAATCAAGGTTTTTAATTTTTTAAGCCTGGATTTTTCAAAATTGAGTTGGTGGAATGGATTTGGAAAGTTAATGAATAGAATGTGACATTTTAAAAATTGTAAAAATCGTGGTTTTCTGAAACCACCAGTAATTGGAAAACTATTAAAAAAAAGAAAATTAAAAAAATTTACAAACTTTTTTTCAGACTACGACGATGGCTTACTAGATGGCGACTACTTTGCAGCTTGTGAGTTTTTTTCTTTGAATATTTTTCAATTTTTTGACCATTTTTATGAGTCTTCAAAGAAAACTGATCTCACTCAAAAAGAAAATCAAAATCCAAAGTTCAAAATTTTTTTCCTTTCTCAAACGAGTCAATGACGATTTTTCCCATACCCAGTTTCTATAGCAAAAATTGTACTTATCTGGACAAAGTTTCAAAAATAATCACGCGATTTCCCTGAGAGAACAAAATGACGAGAAGCTGGGGGATTTTCTCGCAAAAAGCACGTTTCTTCTAATTTTTTTTAGGGTAGATTTTAGTGGCCACTTTAGGGTTTCACGTTTTAGTGGCTATTGTAGTAGTTGAATTACTATGGTGAAAGCTAAACAGACAACTACTTTAGTGGCCACTGAAAATAGAACTACTAGAGTGGTCACTAGAAAGAGAGCCAATATAGGGAGCACTCAGAAATATAACTACTATAGGGGCCACTAAAAAGAGAACTACTGAAGGGGCCACTAGAAAAAGAGCCACTACAGGGGGCACCCAGAAATATAACTACTCAAGTGGTCACTAAAAAGAAAATTACTACAAGGACCACACATAGTATGTCACATACGCCAGACAGATCGCATTTCGGTTTTTTTTCGGTAATGAAGGAATATTGAAAAGGTAAACTCACTTTGACAAAGATTAAATTCACTAAATTGCTGAGCCGATTTTTAAATTTTAGAGTTTTTTTTAGGATAATATAGGGAACAATTTTTGAGTTATTCCCGTTTTTTTTCAAATTAAACTTCGGCCAATTATCGTTTTCTTTTTCTCCGTAGTTATTCATAGTAACAGAGGTTTCCTTTTGTTTTTCTATGAAGAAAATGGTATTTTTTAAGCTTAATAGCCATTTTTAAGTTTAAAAAAACAGTCTGACCTGTCTGCGCCCTCTTTTTCCCTCGGCGGCGAGGTCATAGAAAAATTAAGAGTAAGTAAAATTGAGAGAGGGCAAAAAAAAAATGAACTTACCATTTTTATTTTACTGAATTTCCTTCCCTTAATCAACGGCCCATAAAAAGACTTATGTATTTTTGAACTTTTTTTAAAATGAAATTTTATTTAAAAAAATTTAAATTTTTCTCGATATCTTTCGATGTCTTGTTTGATTTATAAACAACTTCATTGATTTTTTTGAACCACTTTTTCAAATTTTTCTAAATCTTTCAGTCAGGATCCCATAAAAGAGCTGTTTGGATTTATTGAATGGAATTTCTTTTGAAAAAAATTTTTCCACCATTTTCAATGTATCGATTTTAAGCCACTTTTTTTACTGAATTTTTCGAAATTCGAAGCCCATAAAACGCTGGTTGAACTTTTTTTGGCATCAAATTTCATACCAAAGGCAAATTTTTCTCGTATCTCTTGATCAAAGGGCTGTTTGAACTTTTTTTGGCAGGGAATTTCAATGAAAAAAATAATTTTTTTCCCCATTCTCAATTTTTTTGTTGTAACGATTTCAAGCCACCCTTTACTGAATTTTCGAAATTTGAAACTCATAAAAAGGCTGTTTGAACTTGTTCGAAGGCAATGTTATACAAAAAGGAAAAATTTTTTTCATCAATTTCAATGTCTTGATTGATTTTTTTGTACCATTTTATTGATTTTTTTAAGTCAATTTTCACTCAAATTCTTCAAATTTCTCAATCAGGACCCCATAAAAGGACTCGTAGTATAAAAATCTTTCGAAAATAAGACATTTTTTTCATCAATTTCAATGACTTTTGTATCGATTTTGAGCCGTATTTCATTGATTTTTTGAAATCCGAGACCCGTAAAAGGCTGTTAGGACTTTTTAGAAGAGATTTTTATACAAAAGGCAGATTTTCTCGTATCTTTCAATGTCTTGATTGATTTTTGAACCACTTTATTGATTTTCGAAACCAATTTTCATTGAATTTCTTCCAAACCCTCAATCAAGGGCTCATAAATGGCCTCTTTGAACTTTTCGGAAGGAAATTTTTTCGAAAATAAGACTTTTTTTTTCATCAATTTCAATGCATTTTGTGTCAATTTTGAGCCATATTTTAGTGATTTTTCGAAAGTAGAGGCCCATAAAAGGGCTGTTTGATTTTTTGGGTAGGAAATTATATCCAAAAGGCAAATGTTCTAGTATCTTTGGATGTCTTAATTGATTTCTAAACCACTTTATTGGTTTTTAAACCTTTTTATTGATTTTAAAAACCATTTTTTCTATGAGTTCCTTCGAATCCCTCAATCAGAGGCCCATAAAAGGGCTGTTTGGACTCGTTGGAAGGGAATTTTTTCGAAAATAAGACTTTTTTTTTCAATTTTAATGTTCTTTCCACCGGATTTTTGAGCCAGTTGGCACTCATTTTTTCAAGTATCTTAATCTAGGATCCATAAAGGCTGTTTGGACTCGTTGGAAGAGAATTTTTTGAAAATAAGACATTTTTTCATCAATTTCAATGTCTTTTGTACCAGTTTTGAGCCATATTTCATTCAATTTCTCCAAATCCCTCAATCAGAGGCCCATAAAAGGGCTGTTTGGACTCGTTGGAAGGGAATTTCCTTCGAGAGGTCTCTGTGTCTTTCTTTCGGTCGCAACAGTTGGCCATTCAATTCACGCCTCTTTGAACACGCTCTTAATACATATACACACACAAAAGGAGAGAGGACACACTTCTCGGCCCTTTGATGGTCTTCTTTTTCCTTTTTCCTTTTTCTTTTCGTCCCTTTTCGGATTCTCGAACCGAAAACCGACGGGGAAAAGAAGGAGGAGGTCTTTGAGATCAAAAAACCGAGGAAAATTGAAGGGTTCAGTAAAGTTGCTCTATTGATAAAAAAATGAGCATCCTTGCAATTTTTGAAGTGAAAAATTCTAATTTTTTTAAAAATTTTTTTGAAAAAAACAATTTTTTTGTGACTTTTTTTCTCAACGGAGCTTGGTCCACAGGGGAGCAATTTTTTTAAAAAAATTTCCAAAAAAATAATGAATCAAGTCCTGGAAGTACAAAAAGGCTTCAAAAACTTTGAGGTAAAAAGTCTCGAAAATTATAAAAGTCAACTTTATCAGTGGAGCGTACTTTCTGAGGCTGAGGATATTTTTAAGTTCAGCAAATTTGCTCTATTAATAAAAAAATGGACTTTTTTTAGGGATTTTTTTGGAGTATTTTTTTCAGATCAAATAATCTTCATTGTCGATTACTCGAGTTTTTGGAAAAATGGGATTTTTTTAAAAATTTTTTTGGCTTTTTTTCCTCAATGGAGCTGGGTTCATAGGGGTGCGTTTTTTTGAAAAATTTTTTTCTAATAAAAATGAAATTCAGCTAATTTGCTCTATTGATAGAAATGGACTTTGTAACGATATTTGGAGTATTTTTTTCAGACCGAATAATCTTCATTCTCAATTACTTAGAGCTTTTGAAAACATTTTGAAAAAAACTGATTTTTTTTAAATTTTGGCTTTTTCTCAACGGAGCTTGGTCCACAGGAGGAGCATTTTTTAAAAAGAAATTTCCAAAAAAATAATGAATCAAGTCCTGGAAGTACAAAAAAATCTTCAAAAAAACTTTGAGGTAAAAAGTCTCGAAAAACTATAAAAAGTCAACTTTATCAGTGGAGCGTACTTTCAGAGGCTCTTAAAAATATTTTTAAGTTCAGTAAATTTGCTCTATTGATAAAAAAATGGACTTTTTTTAGGGATTTTTTTGGAGTATTTTTTTCAGATCGAATAATCTTCATTCTCGATTACTTAATTGAAAAAGTATTTTTTTGGAATTTTTGGCTTTTTTCCTCAACGAAGCTGTGTCCATAGGGGGAGCGTTTTTTTAAAGAATTTTTTTCTGAATCTAAGTCCTGGAAGTACAAAAAGGGCTTCAAAAAAATATTGTATTTGAAAAGAATTGAGAATAAAAAAAGATCTCAGGGTCACGAAAAGGCAAATTATCATTTTAAAAAAAAATCTTGATTATCACGTATTTTAGTCACTTTTTTTCGACGAGTTTTTCAAGCTCCTCAACATTTTTCGGTTACTTTTTTCAAGTTTTTATGAAACTTCTCAAAAATTGAAGTGAGAAATGTCGAAAATTCAATTTTATCTGCGGAGCGTACTTTCTGTGGCTGAGGATATTTTTGAAGGCCATTTTTGATTTTTTTGATTTTTGGTTATAAGATTATTTTTTTCGGACATTTAACTTGATATTTCTATTTCTCGCCCAATTAGGTACACATGTCTTTTTCTCAGAGTCTTTGGACTTATTCAAAAAAAAATCAATAATTAAGAACAAAAAAACTTAACTTTTTGCACAAAATGACCTTACTTTTCTTTTTCACTAATCCGGCCTTCAGACGTAATAACTTCATTGTCACCTGAACACAAAAGAGATTATTATTGTTATTATCAATATAAGGTCCGATTCTTCTTCGGTCAACATTCTTTTTCTACTTCCAAGACGAGTTCATAGAGCTTTTGACGTCACAAAACGGGGGTCGGAAGGCTTGAAATAGTCGCCAGGAAGAAAAAAAAAACTTTGAATACATTAATTTGATGGAAAAAGAATTTCAATGATTTTTCTTCTGTTGAAAAATGACCTATGGTTGTATTCCAGAAGGAAAAAAGAACGAAATAGACGGTTTTAATCAAAATTACCATTTTTTGGGGCGATGGGTTACTGTAGCTCGTTCAAGGTCCGCAAGCACGTTGACGACACCTCAGCTAATATCCCTAAAGAGGCCTCTTTTCGCTAAATTTTTTTCAATGTTTTCTGATATTTCTGTTATTCCAAGCTTCATCTTATGGTCTTTTTCGCCAGAAGGACCTTTTTTTCAAGGTTTTTTTTTTATTTTCACGTGATTTTCTATCTTTTTTTTCTGTACTGTAAAAAATAATTTAATTGGAAATTTCACATTTGACGCCTAATTTTTGTAAAGTTCAATCCAATTTTTTTATTTCAAAACCTTTTTACTTCAGTAAAACCTTTGTGGCTTCATAAAAAAAATGTACTGATTAGTAGTTTGGCGTGATTATGACTTTTTCGAGTTTAAAAAAATTTTCTATTTCTTAAGAACGCGCCAATCACAGTGTTCCCAAACGGACGGCAGCTGTGGTCAGTAGGCGTGGCTGACTGCAACAGCGGCACGGTTTATTGCAATAGGTGCGCGGGGATGAGAGTCAAGTTTTGTGGATTTAGTGGTTGGAAAAAAAGACCATTAAATGATGTTTTTTTCCTAGGTTCTCGCAAGTTTTTCAAAGATTTTTTTAATGTGTATTAAATTATAACGAACAAATTTAAATGAAAAAAAGGGACGAAAAAAAGTTTTTTTGCAAAACAAAATATCTCCCAAAAATGTCGTTTTTTTAGGAAAAACTCGTCAAATCGAACTTCCAAAGGGAAAAATTGAGAAAAAAAGCTCAAAAGCACTTCTCTTAAGAAATACCATTTGAACGTTTTAAAACAAAAAAACAGATACATAATAGCTTGTGCGAATAAAGTTGTCACCCAAAAATGACATTTTTCAAAAAAATAAATTTGTCGAATACTGCCTCGAAAAATTTTTGAGAAAAAAATTTCACAGCGTTTCTCTTAAGAAAGTCCATTTGAAAATTCTAAAACAAAAAACAAACGAAATATCTTATGCGAAATAAGTTGTCATCAAAAATGTCATTTTGATGCGAATTTCTGTGACGAGAACAATCGAAAATCACTTCAAATCTCTGCAAAACACGATAAACACGTTTTAAAACACATACAATGTGAAAAAAATACAAAAGAATGGTAAAATACGCAAGAAAAAGAGAAAAAACCGTATTAAAAGTGAATGAAGTTTTGTGGGGGTGACACGCGCCGCACCGCGTTGCGTTAGAAAAAACTCGCGTTTTCGCCCCATTGCGACGACCTTTTTTTTCACTTGCCGCCGTCTCTTTTGGAACACTGTGCAATGGGTTTTATGAGCTTAAAGCTTGGTTCTTCTTTTTTTTTTGTTGCGAAACTTTGCTCCATGATTTTTATTATGGATGAAAGTTGATTATAGTAGTTTTTGACATTTTCCGCATAATCCATTTTTTAACGTTTTGAGTGGATTATTTTTTGGGAATTATCTTTATTCATCTAGGAAATGCCTAAGTTTCCTTTGAAGGTTAAAAATCAATTTTTTCAATAGGAAATCTGAAAAATTTCCCGTTTCTCGGTTGAAGAAGCCAATGAGGTTAAACTGGAGAAAAGTCGGAACGGCCGCTAAAAGAAAAAGGCTCAAAAAAGGCACCGGAAAGGCAGCAAAAAGGCAGCAAAAAGGTTGCAGAAAGGCAGTAAAAAGGAACCTTTCGAACCTTTCTATGAAGCCTTTTTTCTCCCTTTCGACTTTGCCGGTTTATGTACCGAAAAGTTTCGGTTTTCCTTTTTTTTAAACGGTGTATATTTTATAGAGGATTTTTTTTCATAATACAAATACTTATCTAAAAATCCAGCATTCATGATTATTTTCCAGACGTGAAGAAAGGCGGACCCCAAGGCCCCCTCCGTTTCGGAAAGCGACGCGGTCCTTCCGGCCCTCTCCGGTTCGGAAAAAGATCCGACTTGCTCGGCGACCAACGTCCGCCCTACTACTGACCCAGAAGCTTATCAAATTTTTCACTAACTCGTTTTTTGTATTTCTCGGTGTTTGCAGTATTGATTCTTTCGTTTTTTGCTTCGGAATCCATTGAATAAAAGTATTTGTTGCAAAGTTTTTATTCAATTTTTTTTCTGAAGTGTCCATGCGTGAAATTATTGGTACTTGTTTTATGAAATTTACAACTGAAGTGTTTTTTTTTCCAGGATTTGTACCAACAATGAAAAAAGGGGACGTATGTGAGTGATATTTTCATTATTGATTAGTTTTTTAAAAAGAAAACAAGATTGCTACTTTTTGGACTCGATTAAACCTTCCGATTTTATAATTCGGACACGTTGTCCATGGAGCGCACATTCAAAACCATTTTTTGCCCACTCTGGCGAAATTTAAGCGATTTGTCATTCTAGGCTAATCCTTCCACGGAAGTTTTTCCTTAAGAAATTTTTTTTTTGGCTCGATTTCCGCAGATTTCTTTATCATATACCTATTGTATAACATAATATTTGAGTTCTAGTTTTTACTTGAAAAATTCGGAAACTGAGCGCTTTTTGTACAGTTATTGCTTTTTCTTTTTAAATAATTATTAGGGATCTTTTTCAAATTTTTGAGTGGACTTTATCAGTTAAAGTCGGAATTTTATAGATTTTATTAATAATTTTCATTTTAAAAAATTTACGATCAAGAAAAAAAATCGCTCAAAAGGTGTCCCTTTTTGCATTATTTTTCAAACTTACCTAACATTTTTGTAGTTTGAAAAAAAGATTTTTTTAAAAAGTTAGGAGCCAATTCTTTTTTTCTCAATAGATTGTAGCTATTTGAATAATTTCTATTTCAAAAATTTTTTTCATGGAAAATCGGGGATTTTTTTCTTTTCGTTTTCTTGTATAAGTTTATCATCTTAATTTTGATTTGTTTGGAAAATTTTTGAAGGAAAAACTTAAGAAGTTTAAAAATAGAAGTTCTCTGAAAATAAGGTAAAGTTCAAGTTTTATTTATTACAAAAAAAAAATTTAAACTTACTGGGGAGACTTTTTAAACCTTTCTGAAAATTTGATATTTTGGGTTTTTTTCTAATTTCGAAGCAGATTTCTTCATGCCGTGTTCAGAGTGATTTCCGGGAAATGAACAATTTTCTCTGCCTCTCCAAAATTTAGTTATCTTTTTCTTCCTCGGACGGCTACTTTGAATTTCGCGGAATCACTTTGAAACAGCATTATCAAGTCTGATTTTCTTCGAAATCCACTCGACCCCATCAAAAGAAACCGTCGGAATAACCGAATTTCGTGTCGTAGTCAAATTGGCTTAAACACATTTTTCGCGACGGCGCCACGCCTTATCCCTTTTAACGGGAAAAAAAGTCGTGGTTCCTGTTTCTCTGCCCACATTAAAGGAATACAGTTGTTTGAGGGACCGCGGAAATTGTCGCTAATTGAATCTGCATCTACCGTAACTCTTCTTTTTTTTTGAGGGGTGATATTTTGTGCGCTCCATCGCTAAACATCTCTTTTCTCTCTTTTTCTCTGATCTTTTTGATGACAAAGGAGAGGGAAGGCTTGTGCGAGGGTTGGCCCGCGGGCTATTTTTTGAGCCCGATTCGGCCCGGCTCAAAAAGCCCTTTTTTTCAAGTCAAAAAATCAGACTTTTTCAGGACAAAAGTCACGTTCTTTTTGGCTCTGTTTCAGATATAATTCAATAAAAACTAGGGAAGCAGTTTTTTAGTGAATTTTTTGAGTCAGGATGGAAAAATCTCCGATCAGTTTCAAACTTTTTGTTCGAATTCAAGCCAAATCTGGGCCAATAACCCAGGCCACACAGCCTGACGCACAAGCCTGGGAGAGAGAGAAGAAAGAAAGTCTTGTAATAAGAAAGAAACTATTCTTTTTTGAAGATTGGAAAGAGACATTCTGAAAGGTTTTTTGATGTTAGAAGGAGCACTTGAAAATTGTAAAATTTCGAAAAAATTGCCTTTTTAAGTTGAAATCGAAAAAAAGATCTTCCATGAAGGAAGGTTCTTGAAGAAAGTTAGCTCCACTGATAAAATGTTGAAATTGAATAAAAACAGCTTTCATAAAAGTAGTTTCAAAAGTTCAATTTGGTAACGTATAGTCTGTGTGCCACGACTTGAAATTTCACCGAACGACATTCCGCTCTTCCGCTGCGTCGCGAAGCGTCTTTGCGATCCCCGGTCTCGCTTTGAATGGGTTCTCATTTTTGATATACTTTTCCCCTAGGAACACGTTTTGGTCGAGTTTTTGAATGAAATGAAAAGTTAAAAGCGCTCAAAGGCACGCAGCGGAAGAGCGGAATGTCGTTCGGTGAAACTCCAAGTCGTGGTACACAGACTATATAAAGGATGAATACCTCTAGTTAAATTAAGGTTTTTGAGCCAGTCAGTCATTACTTAAACGGCCTTAGTGTCAAAGCTCTAGATCAGTTATCTTCGTAGCGCATTCGTCGCAACCTTTCATTTCCACCGTTCGAGACGTCAAATGGTCGCGCATTTTCGTGCCTTTTAAAGTAGTCCAATCGTCGTGTTTAGTGTGAATTTAACGACGTCGAGTTTCCCTATCGATTTGGGGTAGTTGAAGTGAAGAGAGAGAGAGAGAATGGTTTTATACCCGCCCGTTAGAGATCGTAAAGCAGGTCCACTTAAAGTCTCATCAAATGTGCCGCCGACCGGAGGAGTTGGCAGAAGTGTTCGCGTTGGGACGCGATTGATAAGAATTGAGGAGGCCGAACATCGAGAAAAGGAACGTTTTTATTGGACGGGAAGTTGTTGGGAGAGGGTTGGACGTTTGAGAACTCTAGTTTTTGAATTTACACAGTTTTGGAAATTTGAAGGAGTTTGGATTTTTAAAAAAGGTCTTGGAACGATTAGAGGACTAATAGGCTTACAGTAGGTTACTTTTTTGGAGCCTTTTTTACCCTTTCCGACTTTGCCTTTCCTATTTAGGAACACTTAATGAGCTTAGAGTAACCTACTAAGGTCCACACAAAGTTAATAGCCTTACAGTAACCTAACGTAACCTACTACCTACTGTAAGCCTATTGACTTTCGTGGACCTTCGTAGGTTACTGTAAGCTTATTAAGGGTTCCCAAATAAGAAAGGAAAAGTTGGAAAGAATGGAAAAAGAAATGAAATCCATAGAAATGTTCCTTTCGAGAAAGGTCCCTTTTTGTTGCCTTTTTGCGCCATTTTCTCGGCCCTTTATGCACCATTTTTGCTGCCTTTCCCTTTTTTCCACCTTTTTCCACCTTGGGCCTTTAAAATTCCGGGGAAAATGGAAGGCTCGATAAAGGGACTCGTTTTGCTGCCTTTTTGCTGCCTTTTTAAGCCCTCAAACAGTTTCGTAGTTTGCTTGAAAGAAAAGTGATTCAATTTCTTGAAAGTCAATTCTAGACTTTCGTTGATGTATTGATAGAAAATTTGAAGAAAAGATGAAAAAAGTAACATCCGAAATCTGAAGAGAGCGACTCCATGACAGTGCCACTGCGTGACTGTCTATAGAAGGCTCTCTTCAGCGTTTCGTCGTCTTTTAAGGGAATATTGAGGGGTTAGGAGTCGAATAAGCAGTTGGAAGGATATTTTACTGGAATAAAAATATCTTACTCTTTTTCGGGCCATTTCAATAACTCAAATTTTGGCTTCGACGCTGAAGTTCACCATGTTTGACCGAACAATTGAAACTGACCTTCAAAACAGTTTGTGAAGACAGAATATAGAAATATTGGGGGCGCAGTTCAGAGCCAGTTATGAGATGTAGATCGAGAACAAGAAGTTCAGAAGCTAGTCTCTGAAATCTGAAAGGTTACCGCGGTTGATATTCTGCACGGACAGTTCAAACAATTGAGAAATGTCACCTAGAAAAGGTCCCAGCTGAGAAAATGCCGGAAGACGTCAGAATTCAGAAGAAAAATGCTTCAGAAGACGCAAGTGAGGTTTAAAAAAGATTCTGAAGGGTCAAGAAAGCCGTGGATGATCTCAGGACCACAGTGATCTTCGAAAAGAAACGCTTCTAGTCCTGAAAGATTCTGAAAATGTCCTCAGGTCCAGTTAAAGAAAGGTCACTGGAAAAAATAAAATAGCTAACTTCAAGCTAAGAAGTTCAAGGACGTCTGAATGAAGCATTTCTAGTTCAAGAAAAGCTTGAAGACGTCAGGATGAGAGGACTACTTCATCTTCCAGATAAAGGAAGAAGCCACGCTTCCTGAAACTACACATCCGAATCAGAAACGATGTTAGGAAGGAGAATTTTAGTAAGGGGTCCTGGAGACCTTTGAAGAAGCTTGAGATGATTTTTCATCTGAACCGAAGTCCGTTGAGAGCGCTTCTTATCCAAACGGCCCCAGATGGAATTAACCTTAGCTACCGTGAAGTTAGAACGCCACTGAACCCGTAAGAAGCTTAAAACTGATGAGGAAAGACGTTTTTAGGGAACGCTCCTAATTTAGAGAAGGACTTGAAGACGTTGGGTCAAGCTAGAAGAACAGTTAGTAGTTGGGAAGCTTTTGAAGACGTCAGAAGCCGGCGAGGCTACTTACAGGGCTTCTGAATCTAGCGATCCTAGTTTAGGCAATGCCAGAAACAAATTTGAAAAAGCCCATCGAATGAAGTCATATCTACAGCCTTTTGAAGCTGAGAAGCTTCTGAAGTCGTGAAAACCGACCTGGAAACCGTTGAACTCCAGAAAAGACGTGGGGAACATCTTGAAGAGGATAGACTGTGAATAAAAAGAGCGGAGAGGACACAGTGCCGCTGCACGGCTGCACAAACGCTTTCTGTGGATCGTAGTCGAATCGGTCGGATGGGCGGAGCCTCGTCTACCGCCACTCTCACCTTTTTCGCGCCTTCTTGTTTTCCAGACCGGTGGGCGTTACCATTGATGGCGGGGGGAGGCCTTGTGAAAAACCGCCACTACTAGGACAAATATTTTGATTGGTAGGGAGTGGACTTGGGACATGCAACAGAAGGAGTATGAGGGTCTTTGAACTTGAAAGTCGTTTTCAGAGGTATTAAAGTTCGGGACGTGTTTCCTGAACTCAAAAATGACCATTGGACTTGAAGCTTTTTTCAAATCTTTATATGAAAATGTTGAGCTTCAGAACCTGTTTTTGAACTTCCTAAGCAAGTTTTGAGCTCTTACAGACCCTTTTTTGAGTTTGAACTTGGGATCAAAGGCTGGGAACAGTGAATGCGGAACAGGAGGTACTGTGAAGATTATAAGGTCAGTGAAAACTTGAGCATTGAGCTTGAAAAAGGTAATTATTTCAAAAAGCTTCTTGTGGTTATAAGAAGTGTGAAATCCTAACAAGGAGCTTATCTCAACCCATAATATTTAAAAAACCGGACTTTTAATATTCCGTTTTTATTTCCCGCGTGAGGGGGTCGGTGATAAAGTTATGATAGTTAAAATTATCATAAACGGACAAAACTGCTCCGAAACCGGAAAACTCGCTCACTATGACGTCTCAAACATATGAGAAACTTTGAAAAACCGTTTCTCGGCTCAAAATTTTTTTAAAAACAGTTCATCGGTTTTTGTAAAGATCACAGAGGACTCCGTTTTTTAAAAAAACAATCTTAGAGGGATCCTTTTTCTGAGATGACTATTGTCAGAGACGTCTCTGGAAATATTCGGGTGCAGGTTCATAATAAGGATGAGAAAATAAATTTAGTGACCTTATTCAGAAGTCTTACTGGCAGTTCAGACCAGGAATATGTTAAATTTTAAGAAAAAAAAATGGGATACGAAGTCCAAAGAAATGAAGCAAGAAAGAGAAAAAAAAATGAAATGAGACGAACAAGACTGAAAACAAAAGGGGCGGCGAAGCGTGTCAAATGTCACGAATGACACGGTGAATGAGTGATCGACGGCGTTGATAAGATCCGACAAATGCGCGAGATCGGCGACCCGTCGACCGTGGATCCCAAAACACAACCGTGACGAATGCGTCGGTCGCCCTGAAGTGACCACTGGAGTGACAGCTTTTTTTGAATGAGGAAGATTGGGAAAAGCTTCTGATTCAGTTTATAGGAGAGGTCCCTGAAGTTATCACTGAAAGGACAGCTTTTTTTCGAAAGAAGGACGAGAAGGAGTTTCTCAATAAGGTCCCTGGAGTGACCACTGGAACGAAAGCTTTTTTTAGAAGAAGGAAATTATAGTTCAGCTTTATCGGAGTGGTCCTTTAAGAGACCACTGGCAGTTTTTTTTTTTGAGAAAGGAAGAGGAAGAGGAGACGCTTATGGTTCAGCTTATCGAAGAGGTCTCTAAAGAGACCCATAGAACGAAACTTTTTTTTTTTGAAAGAAGGACGAGAAAAAGCTTCTCAATAACGTACAGATCAACAGAGAGGTCCCTTAAGTGACCCCTGGAACGACAGCGAGAAAAAAATCTGTGCAAGTAAAAAAGTTCCAAGCATCTTTTCACTCACAGAGAAAGAAGGTTTTGAAGCAATTTTTCTATCCGGCTTTTCTTGGAAGAAGCTCAGGTTTTATAATCCCCCAAGTAGTTCAAAAAGCTTGAAAAACACAGATCCCGAAAATTTAAGTAGAAAGTCAAAGTTCGGCTCAAAGAGATTTATTTTTGAGATCATCTCACTTTTTTTTTTCCAACCCCCAAGTTTATTCTTTCAAAGCGAAAAAGCCGAAGGTGAAAATTTAGAACCAGTTTTTCAAGAATTTGAAGCAAATTTAATGTATACAGTCAACAAATCGGACCTTTTTCCTGAGATTGCCTACAAAATTTTAGCCAATTCCTCTAATATCAACTAATTTTCGTTGGACTGTAGAGAATACGTTTCGAAATGAAGGAATAAACAATTAGAATGGGAATCCTAAATTATTTCTGCGAGCGGCATGTATCTCAAAAAACGTTTTTTTTTTTTATCAAACAAAAATTTTAAAGTTGTTTTTTGATTGAAAAGTGTTTTTAAAAATTAAAAAAAAATTTTTTTTACAATTTTTTTGATTGGATGAATAGTGGTATTGAAACCGGTTTTTTTAAAATTGAAAGTAAATATTTGTCTTTAAAATCGGCTGTTTTACTCAGGAACTATGGAGATTTGGTTTATAGTTTTTTTACCTTTCAAAAAAACCAGTAATCTTAAAATTATATTTTTTTAGATTTTTTTAAGCTGTAAAACTGGAATTTTTCCGACCTCACAGACTCGAAGTTCAATTATAAGGCTTTCTGAAATTTTCCCAGAAGTTTCTCCAATATTCTAAGCCTCAGGCGCTGTTCAGAGCTTCATTCAATAAAAAATCTGATTTTTCAAATTTTTGACCTCATTTTCGAGCTTTAAACCCCAATTTTCTACCTGAAAGTTGAGCCTCTGGAAACAAGAAGCTCAAAAATCGTACTTTCAAGCTTCACCTACTTTTTTGTTTCCTCGGAAAAATGTTGCCTCAACAGTGCCGAGTGGAAACAAATACAAGGAACAAGACAAGATGCGGGGGAAGTCGATGAAAAGAAGGGCCACCATGAATACATGGACGGCCAAGGCAAACGGTGCGGACAATAGGGCCGTCGGCGTTGCGAATAGACTTGTACACACGAAAAGGAGGGGACGGAGGCCTTCCTCCGACTCTTCTTGCCGATTAGGATCGGCCGAGGACCCCGTGCAAGTCTGGACCAAGACCCTAATTCGTTTCGTTTCGGATTGTCTGAAGTCGTCGAGCTGAGATAAGAAAACGTCTTGGAAATGGGTAGCAAAGTGTCGGAGCTTGTAGCTGTACATCTAAGAATAAACTATTAAGAAAAAACCCAAAGAATGAGTTTGAAAGAGAGAACAGAGTTTGGTACGGTTACGTCTGACTTGTCTGGAGTCTGGACCAAGGCCCTAATTCGTTTCGAGTCGGATGGTCTGAAGTGTGGTAGCCAGAACATTTAAGAAACTTCCAAAGAAGGGGCTCGCGAGAGGAAATTGAGTGTAGTACAGTTAGGTTTGACTCATCTAGAGTCTGAAGCAAGACCCAGCTTGGTTACCAGTCAGAAATTCTGAAGTCGTCGAGCTGAGATAAGAAAACGTCTTATAAATGGGTAGCAACATGTGGTAGCCAGAACATTTAAGAAACTTCCAAAGAAGGGGCTCGCGAGAGGAAATTGAGTGTAGTACAGTTAGGTTTGACTCATCTAGAGTCTGAAGCAAGACCCAGCTTGGTTACCAGTCAGAAATTCTGAAGTCGTCGAGCTGAGATAAGAAAACGTCTTATAAATGGGTAGCAACATGTGGTAGCCAGAACATTTAAGAAACTTCCAAAGAAGGGGCTCGCGAGAGGAAATTGAGTGTAGTACAGTTAGGTTTGACTCATCTAGAGTCTGAAGCAAGACCCAGCTTGGTTACCAGTCAGAAATTCTGAAGTCGTCGAGCTGAGATAAGAAAACGTCTTATAAATGGGTAGCAACATGTGGTAGCCTGTACATCTAAGAAACTTCTGAAGAAGGGGCTCGCAAGAAGATATTGAGTGTAGTACAGTTACGTCTGACTTTTCTGGAGTTTGAAGCAAGACCCTGCTTGGTTACCAGTCAGAAAGTCTGGAAAGTTGAGCTGAGATAAGGAACCGCCTTGGAAATAAGAAGTAAAGTATGGGAATCCAAAAAAAAAAAGAGTCTGTGAACGGCACTTGAGCATATTACATCCAAGTCTGACTTGTCTGGAGTCTGGAGCAAGACCCTGCTTGATTACCAGTCAGAAAACAAAAAGCTGGGAAGTAATCCTAAAAAATTCACTCATAGAAGTAATATAGTCCAATCAGTAGCAGTGAGAACAGGGAATTATGAAAGTGCTAAGATCAAAACTTGAGTGGCCGGTTAAAAACTATCCCAAAATACTCTAATGAACGGAATTTAAAGAGATCATATGGTCATTATTTTTTCACAGGCCTGAAGTTATGTTCCATGGATTAAAACGCGGATTTTAAATCGATTCCGGAGCGAACTCCTACATCGGTAATTTCTGAAGTTTTAGGCTGAAAAAACAAAAAAAAAGTTTCTGAAAAAAAGATAGCAAAGTATGGTAGCTACTTCCCTGAGCTGAATACCTAAGAAACCTTTAAAAAAGGGTTCGTGAAAGGTAGTTGAGTAGATTGAGTACGAATGGATCCTGAAAGTAAGAGGGGGCGAAAAGCTGCTAATTCAAGCCTAGAAGTTTGAATGCTCACAAAAGGTAAAAGGGAGAGGCAGAAAAATCGATCTTGAAAGGTCCGTAGAAAGTTTGTCTATTGAATATACATATAGCATAGCAAAGTTTACTGGTTACTTATAGAGGAACGGGTCTTGAAAGGAAAAAAAACTGAATGTACTGTTCGAAAATGGGCTCAACCGGGTTCGGACCTTGGTAACGGGAACCGGACGCGATTCGGAGCATTTCTAATGACCGCTTTAGTAGCTTCATCCCTCTTAAATCATACCTAGCATTGCTCAGAAATGTCTGGATCGGTTTTAGTTATCAAGGTCCGAAAATCACTGAAACGTTCGAATGAGATATCAGAACAATGGAGCTAATCTCGACCAAGGCCTTGATTTTTTTCGAGTCTTGTTGATGGAGTTGTCAAGATGAATTAACGAGAAAGTTTTTGGAAAATTGGAAGTAAAAATATAGTTATTCGAGCTCATTGGAATATATCAGAATTATTGGGTTCAGAGAAGCCGGATTGAAGTCATGCTCCATGGAAAAAAATCGCGGATTTTGAATCAAGATAGCCAAAAAGTTTTTTGAAAAGGGAAGCAAGGGGACGGTAGCTTCTAACTTGGGCCCAAGATCCTAAAAACAGGATCCTAAAAAACAAAGACTTGAACCGAGGGCTGATTACTGAGTAGATCGCGACAGGATAATCGAAATATCCAAGGATTATCCTAATCGGAGACATTCAGCTTTTCATAGATCTCCTTGGCAGCTTTTGAGCACAGATTCGGAATAAACGTAAAAAACTCCTTCCGAATCCGAAAAGGACATGAATCCAATCAGAAGCCCACCTCGAACAGCTTCATCATCACTTTCTTCCATTTTTCGCGGCGAAAGAACCAATTATCCTCCTGTCGGCCAGACAGGACAGTGCACTCCTCGGCCGCAAAAGGTGTCGAGAAAGGCGGAAATTGGTGTCCGGAAAAGAGTCACTCGACCGGGCCGACGGGAAACAACACAACGTCTTCTTCTTCTTCGAGACGGTCGGCCCGAGAAAAAAAAAAGAGGGGGGAAGAGAAGAGAGACCTTGGCAGCAAATTGCTGCATTTATGGTCTTCTTCGGGCCTGTTTCCACCTCCGCACACCTTCTTTTTTTTTTGGGAACGACGACGACGTCTTCGAGACCGTTTTTTCATCTTTTTTTGGTTTCTTTCTGATAATGAAGGTCCCAGGAGAGGACAGAGAAGCAGAGGGTTAAAGAAATTTTTTTTTTCGGTGCATAGCTTCGAGTTCAAAGAGCTGGTCGGAGTTGGAAAAATCCTTACTTCGAAGAAGATTGAGAAGGAAACTTTTTCGCAAAATTCGCTGGAAAATATAGATTCAAAATAATGATTTTTTAACGATCGGCAACGCAAAAGAAAAGAATACAAAGTGAAAATTCGACAAAATGATATAAAAGAAGGCAGAAATTTTCTTGAGACCGTTTATCATCTTTTTGACAGTTGAAATTCTTATTTTTGGAGCTGGTATGGAGCTTGAAAAATCCTAATATTTAGAAGGAGAGTTAAAACTTTTCGAAATTAGAAAAAAAGGATGACGAGCTTTTTCTCACTAACCAGTGAAACTTTGCTGGAAATTCGAAAAAAGAAACTTTTCAAAATAATCCTTGGGATGATGAATTTGAAAAACAAAAGAAAAATCGTGACAGTTTTTTTTTTTAACTTTATAGTTTATCAGTGATACTTGACAAAAGGTTTATCTTGAGACCGTTTTTCATTTTTTTTTTTTTTTGGTGTCGTTCTGATAATGAAGGTCCGAGGAGAGGATAGGACGCGGAGGGTTGCAGAAAAGTTCTTTTTATGAGCTAGAATTTAACTGAAACGAGCTGGGCTAAAAAAAATTGGAATGATTTTAAAAAATCGAGGAGAAACATTGACAAACGGCAGCGCAGAAAAAAGGAATCTTTTCGAAACCATTTTTCCATCTTTTTTTGGTTTTTCTCGGATCATGAAGGTCCGGAAAGAAAATACAAAAGCAGAAGGCTGAAAAAAAGATTTTTTTTTTTCGGTTTTAAAGTCTAAGTGAAGGAGCTGATCTAGAATTTTATTTTCGAAGGAAAGCTAAAATAAAAGAATTGGAAGGAGAAGTATAGTTTCAAAATGAGGTTCCCGTAAAGATTGGCAAACCGATTTTTAAAAAAAGGTATCTCTTGAGACCCATTTTTCATCTTTTTCGGTTTCGTTCTGATAATGAAGGTCCGAGGAAAGTTTAGAGAAGCAGAGCGTTGCAGAAAAGTTTTTTCGGTGCTATCGTTCGAAATTCAGAAGGCGATCTAAGTGTAAGAAGAGAAAAAAAGGTCACAAAGTTTCAAAAATGAGGAATCTTCTCGAGACCGATTTTTCACTTTTTTTGGTTTCATTTGGTGGCATAAGTTCGAGTTCTGTTCAAGGTTTACGTTAGGTCAAAGATTTCTGTTCAAGTTCCTTTCAAAATTCTACGTTCACGAAATTGAAGAAAAATAGAGAAATTAGGTTTGAGAAACAAGAAAAGGAATGTCAAGGAATTCGTCAAAAATTTTGAAGAGGAAAGAACTTTTAAAACATAGTCTTGAAGTGGTCGAAGAGAAAACGGAGAGACGTGAAATTTACGGAAAAGAAACCGTTTTTTTTCATCTTCTTTGGTTCCATTCCTATGATGAAGGTTTGAGAAAAAGAAAAAAGTAGAGAATTTCTTTTTGAAGTGGGAAGTGGAGATGAACGGTGAAGTGGAAACATATCATCATAGAACTTTGAATGAGGTCTATAATTATTTATTATTGCATGTTAGACGTGAGAAAGGAAGACGGAATGACGTAAATGGCACCGAAAATTTGCCACAAAATCAAAATCCAAGGGTTTCGTAATACACATACAGGATCCTGGAAAGATGAGAGAACACGTTTGGAATTGTTTTTTTCTCCTAATTTGCCCACTTTTTTTTGACAAAATACTCGGGATTAATGAAGATAATGCCTAAAACCGCAATCGGTGTATGCACAGTCTAAACCTACAGTGTGCCAAACTGGAACGGCTCAAATGATATGAATCAGTGTTAATGGCCAGGATAAGCTTTGTCCGACTTCTGAACTAGACCCTGAATTTTTGCCCTTCTCTAGGTTTTTTTTTTCGAATTGCAGAGTAATATTCGTTCAGTAACGTTCTCATTACAATTTGAAGCGATAAGCTCAAAAATTGAAAGGAAAAATGATAGCAAAAATCCGATTTTTCAGCTCCACAAGTTTTTTTTCAATTTACAGAAAATTTGACTGGAAGCGTCGATTTGTACCATCACTAGCTCCTCAAAGATATAGATTATAAGTAGACCGAGCTTCAGCCGAAAGCTTCGGACTTGTCTCCGCCTTAATCTTTTGACTAATTATCAGTGATTAACAGTTCATGAATCTATCCCTCTTTGAACGCTCTATTGATTGATAAAAGTTTAGTCCAGTTTGAGGGAGAAATTTAAGCTGGAAAATCCTATCGAAGTTCTGTATTTTCACTTGGAGGGTGTTTTTAAAGAGACGTATGACAGTAGAAGTGATGTCATTATGTTCTGAATAGAAGGATAGTTTCAATAAGGAAGATGATAATTTCATTGCAAACGTAATCAGCGGTTAAATTCAAAATGACGGTATGATTCGGCATTTTCGGAAGGCGTCGCGAGGGGATCGGACGTGACCAATCCCATGGAGGTTCCTGGACCCTTTTTTCCCTTCTCAATGATAAAATCAAGGATCGGAGCTTGACATCAACAGAGAATCGTAGGTTTGACCGATCCGACAACGCTTGGTGAGCAAAAAGATGATTATAGTCTGTTCAGATTTTGAATGTCAAGTCGCCGCTCAAACTCCGCCCTTTGAGCTTAGATCAACCAATCAGAGAACGAGCCATCCACAGAGTTTGATGTTTGAGATTCAAAATCTGAACAGACTATGAGTTACACCCCACCTGTCTCCATTTGAAAAAAGAAAAAAAGATCTAGCTTCTTTTTTGTCTCCATGCTCTTTTCATGTTTCTCTGACTTTCCTGAAGAGGGAAAAGAGAGCGCAGACTCGTCAGAGTGTTTCGAGCCGGAGCCATCTCACCCCAGCCTTTTTGGGGGGGATTAGGGTAGTCCGCACTTTTCGGGAGGTAGGCCGCACCCCGGGGGCCGCATCCAGCCGACGTATAGTCTGTTCTGATTTTTAATGTCAAGTTCAATGACGTCATTCAAAAACACTCTGTGGATGGCTCGCTCTCTGATTGGTTTATCGCACCATTAGGGGCGGAGCTTGAGCGACGACTTGACATTCAAAATCTGAACAGACTATATGTCTGTGACGAATGAAAAAATCTTCGAAAAAACTTGTTTTCAGCTCTACCGCCAATTTCTCAGGTTTTATGGAAAATTCGAAAACGGAAAACAAAAAATTGGTCGGCGTGATGCCGCGCATCAAGCGGACCAACAGCGAAACCCCGCTGTTGGTCGTCGACGAGGTCTATCGAAAACGTTGGCATATTCAGGTGAAGAGACATTGGAATTTGGGAATCTACGCTAAAGTTTCAAGAAATCGAGGGAATGAGGCTTGAAATTAATGAAAAAACTATTTTTACTGTAAAAAAAAATGAAGGTGCACCCCGCAGTGAACCCCTAAAAAAGTGAACTTTTTCTCGGTGCGCCCCGCATTGGACTTGGATAGCGTGCACCCCTGGGCAACTGGTCGAAAAAGAAGTTGCCGTAATAGCCTAGGATAAAACTGTAGAAAACACTCTTACAAAGTTTGCGGTGCACCCCGCGTCAAACTCTCGGTGCACCCCCGCACTGTGACCAGGGGTGCACCCCGTTTAACTTCAAAAGCCTAATAAGATTCTCATTCCATTAAATACATTCTACTACAGTTTCTACCTAGCCTGTTACTGTAGCTCAATGAAGACTTTCTTTTTCGACCGGTTGTCCCAACGGTGCACGCTATCCCTGCAACGCGGGGTGCACCGAAAAAAGTTCACTTTTTTCAGAGTCCGCTGCGGGGTACACCCTCGTTTTTGTTAGAGAGTTTGTATTGGAAAACAAACCACTTTTAAATAATTTACGGAATAAGTACCTTAACAGGCATTTGCAACTAAATAAGGTGCACCCCTGGTTACACTGTGGGGTGCGCCGAGAGTTCGACGCGGGGTGCACCGCAACTTTTGTGAGAGTTGAAATTTATAGAAATCTCGGAAGTTGCATTTTTTGCTCTTTCCAAGTTTTTCGTACTTTCATTTGATGTCAATATTCCAGGGGGTGATCGGAAAAGGCGGCTACGGCGAGATTTTCCTGGCGATCGACGTCAAACGGGCCGAAGAAGTCGCCATCAAAGCCGAACCGAAGCACCGGCGTGGGAAATTGTCCAAACGCATGATTCTCGAGCAAAAAGTCGACTCGAGAAATTTTTAAAAGATAGCGATTTTTTCAGGTTCTATTAAAATTGCAAGGAAAACCGCATGTGCCGGTTGTATATGCGTCGGGCCACGATGAACGGCTCAATTTCATTGGTGAGGAAAAAAGATGGTGAACATCGACCGGATCAGCCCCCTCTCCCCTCCCCATCATTCTAGAATCGCCCCCTCCCCTTCCCATCATTTTTAAAATAGCCCCTCCCCATTATTCTAGAAGAGCTCCCCACCATTCTAGAATCGCCCCCTCCCCCTAATTCTAGCATTGCTCCTCCACCCCCCATGATTTTTAAAAATAGCCTTCCCCATCATTCTAGAAGACCCCCCCGCCCCTCCCTCATCCTAGAAAAGCGCTTCACAACTCTAATGTTGCCCCCACACTATTCTAGAATCCCCCCACAATTCCAGAATTGCCTCCTTTTTTTAAAAATCGCCCCTGACATTCTAGAACCATCCCTCGCACCATTTTTTTGAATCGTCCCCCCCCGCACACAATTCAAAAAAATTGCCCCTCCCCCATCGTTTTAGAAAAGAAAACCCCCACAAATCTAGAATCACTTCTCGGACCATTCTGGAATTATCCCCACACTATATTCATTAAACGACCATTTTTTGGGAGAAATTAGCCTACCCTATGTTTCCCAGTGATGCAAATTCTGAGCGTCAACGTCGGCGATTTGAAAAGACAAAGTCCGGTGAAGCGGCTTAGTCGGACCACCGTCGGCAGGATCTTGCAGCAGGTTCAAAATCATCAGTTTTTACTTTATTTTCATTGGTTGAAATCAATTTTGAAGTCGATCGCGGCGCTTCGAGACCTTCACGGCGCCGGATATCTTCACAGGGACGTCAAACCGGCAAATATGTGTTTTGGAGTCACTCAGAAGGTGAAGATAGGGATTTTGAGCTGAAATTTGATATCTGGTTACTGATTTATTCATAGAGACGTCATGACTATATTCGCAGATTTTTTTTTTACCTTTCCGGCCTTTTTAAGCTATTTTTTGCTTGAAGTAGAGTACAGATGTGGGCATAAATATTGCACGGCCTTAAAAATTTCGTTACTCTCAAGTGGAACGGATTCAGACAAGATTGTCTGAATTTTTTTATCGGCAAAGTATCCAAGTTAGCACATATAATTCAACTTTCGCTCCGACGTTCATTGGCCTCACTGAGCGCCTTGACTCTCTAGAAAAAGTATTCGACCCATAGACACATATCGATCTTGTCATCCATTCTTGATGATGGAGACCATCAGCATGTCCCGGTTGAAATAGAGTTTTGTGCAAGCCTTCGACTTCAAATATATATATGCAGAATTGTCAAGGGTTTCGAATCTGGTGAGTAGCCGGTCCTTTCCTTGATCGTGTTGAAATCGGGCAGATTGGACTCGCACGAGCCTTGCTCAGCTCGGGGCTTGCAGCTTGACCTAAAATCTTGGTGTAAGAACCAGCGACGGTTCGCAAAGTGAAAAACAGAAAAAAAAAACAGATTGAAACTCCATTGGCAAAAAGAAAGTTGGAATGATCGAAAAGTCCGTGCAATATTTATGCCCACCCCTGTAATATCAGTCGGAAACTGGACTTGTAGAAAAATTAACCGTGAAGCAGTTCTTAAATTGTAGTCTGTGAATATTGGGACATTTTCTAGACCATTATTCAAAAATTTGATCTACAAACATTTTTCGAAGTTTTCAGACACGCCATGTGTTGATGCTGCTCGATTTTGGCCTGATTCGGCGGTTCAAAGAGGAAAATGGTGATTTGAGGCCGCCCAGGAAGAAGGCTGGCTTTAGGTGCGGGAAGTTCTGAATTGTTGGAAAATTTCAAAACGGAAATATCATTTTTTGATTCAGTTGTTTTTTTAAAGCCCATATTCCTGAATTTTTAAAGTGTGATTTCGAAATTTGCAAAAAATTTTGAACCAGCTTGAAAATTTCAAAGGTATTTTCATCAAAAAGTAAAGGCTTTTGTGAGATTTTAAGCAAACCCAGTGTCACATTTTTGATATTTCGTAGCATTTCTCACGAAATGTATTTTTTGTGAGGTTTTGAGAAGGTATATCTGGAAATTTTTAGCCTGAAATTGGATTCTTTCAAATTTATAGTGCAAACTTTTAACGTGGAAATCAATGTTGAAGGCAATTTTTTTGAGCTATTTTCTGAATTTCTGTTCAAAAATGTCCGTTTTCAGGTCCTATGTGTATTTTTTTGATATTTTTAATATTTCCCGACTAAACGGGTAGATTGGCAAAGGGTGACGCGTTGCGTACGCGACGCGGCTCTTGGCGCGAAACTCGTGTTCAAACTTATTTCATCTTTTTCTTACTTTTTTTGACAGTTTTTTTCATTATTTTTTTAAGGTTTTTTGTTCCTGTAGAGATGTAGTTAACATAATAAAAGCAAAAAAAAACATTGAAAAGCATTTTTTTTTTCCTGAATCTTTATTTTTTGATGGCCTCGAGATACACGCAACGCGTTAACCTTTTTTCTCGAGTTTCCGAAAACAGTTGCCCATAACCCTTTTGTTTTCACTTCCCATGTGCCTTTAATAAGGCAATTTTCAGGGGAACCCAAAGGTACGTTTCAACACGCGTCCACGCTCGCTTAGAACAGACTCCCTGCGACGATTTGGTCTCCTTGCTTTATTCGGGTAATCAGGTCGTATATAGCTGATTCACGGCTGACTTGAGCCATCGAAAAAAGGGTCCTGACACGATAATGCACGAGACAGCGCCTGGCTCGTGGAGAGCGCAGACAGGCCACGCCCCCTTACCGTCCCAAGCTGGCCGTGAATCAGCTATACCTTAATGAGTACCTACCTTTCGAGTTTTGTAGGCTATGAACTACTAATTGGCGAGTTGCCTTGGAAGTTCTTGGAGAAAAACGATGAAATACGGCGCTTCAAAGAGGACATGGTATACACGGTTTTCATGATTTATTGCTTGGGAAATGGCTAATTTGGCTTGGAATGACAAAGATTTGGGATCATAAGAACAATTTGGACAGAGTTTTCGCCTCGAAATAATTTATAGAATGACCTTTTTCCACTGCTGAGCTTTTTAAAGGAGCATGGAAAGCCTTGGAAAGGGTCTCGAAGCGAAAAAGCGTTTTCCAACCTTCTCTATTCACGGTTTTCATGATTTATTGCGTGGGAAATGGAGAATTTGGCTTGAAATTTGAATATTGTGATGTACAGATCAATAAAAAGATAAGTTTAGCTCAAAAATTCATGAAATCTTTTGAAAAGTTTGGCTGGAAATGCAGAGTTTAGTAGATAGAATGGCATTTTTTCATTCCTGAGTTATTTTAAAGGAGCAGGGACAAGCTTTAAGAAAAATTTCGAAGCGAATAAGCGTTTTAAAATTATATAAAGTCAAAAAAAAGTATTATAACTCTAGGAAAATAAAGCTTTTTGGTTGTCTTTTATTTAAATTACACCTGCTCAAATTTAAATATTATGGTTTACAGTTCAATAAGAAGATATGTTTAGCTCAAAAAAATCATAAATTTTGAAATTTTTGACTTGAAATTACGGAAAATTGGGATCATAAGGACAGTTTGGACAGAGTTTTTTTGCCTCGAAATATTTTTATAGAATGACATTTTTTTCATTTCTGAACTTTTTTTAAAGGAGCATGGAGAGCTTAAAATGATTCTCGAAGCGAAAAAGCGTTTTCTAAATTATTCTAATACAGAAAAACACAGTAGAAAACGGAGCTTTGGGTTGTATTTTTTTCATAATTTGAGAAAATTTTGATTTTTTTAGAATATATGTCACAGTTAATAACAAGGAAAAAAAATTTTACGTAGTTCAAAAAAATAAAATTGGATTCCATGATTTTTCCTTTTTAAAAAGTTCTGTTTACAGTAAAAAAATTCCTCAAATCGTGATTTTTTTGAGAGAAAAGTTTAAAATAATGGCATTTTATTAAAATTTAAATGAAACTTGAAAAAAATGATGAAATATTTGAAAAAAATCGTTTTTTTACGGCAAAAAAATGACCTTTTTTTCAATTGATAAAGTTGAAAAAAATTGGAGAAAAGTTTAAAAAAATCTCCAGCAAACGCCGGAATCGGACTTTCTCTCGCACAAAGGCGACCCGTTCCATGAGTTTGGCCGTCACGTTTTTTTCCTCGACCCCTTTGCTGAACCGCCCTATCACGATCTTCAAAATACCCTTAAGGTGCCCCAGAAAATCGAAAAATGGATGGAAGTCGACATTTCAGGCGCTAGTCGGCGGTAAGAAGCTCGTCGATCCGTATGATTGGGAGGACAATTATCAAGAAGTTCTCGATGGTTTTCTTGTTTTTTTTTTTGGAAATATGAAGAATTTTCCAGAGTCTACATCTTCGAAAGAGTGAGGATTTGTGTTCGGCGGTGTTGATGATGCAAATAAAAATTTCTCGATGGTTTAATCATTTTTTACTTTGAAGTCGGAGGCTCCAGAAAAGTTGCTTTTAGGGTGGCGAAAGCTCTTTTTTTGCTGCCTTTTTGCTGCCTTTCCGCTGCCTTTTAGCTCCCTTTTTGCTCCCTTTTTGCTGCCTTTCTGCTGCCTTTTTGCTGCCTTTCCGCTGCCTTTTAGCTCCCTTTTTGCTGCCTTTTTGCTGCCTTTTTGCTGCCTTTCCGCTGCCTTTTTGCTGCCTTTTTTGAGCCTCTTCCTTTCAGCGGCCATTATCCAACCTTTATCCATTATCTTTAACCATTATCCACAATTCCGACTTTGCTTGAGTTCAGAGGCTGCGCTATACCTCAGAGATGACTTTTTTAAAAGCTCAAAAAAGTATCTGGATCGATTCGTTTAAATTTTTATCGATTTTTTACAAAGGTTAGAAATCTTTGGTTATTTAGGAACGTCGGAGTGGTCCCTATAGGGGTAAGGGGAGAAAACGAACCTTATATGGGACAAAAAAGCAATTTTTAGGGGTAAAATTCAGGTTTTCCCTGTAGGCGTTTAGAACTTGACCCCAAACCCCTCGAGTTTGAGTGATCTCTATAGTGATTTTTGGTTAGTTTTTTGTTCTCGTGATTTGAAAGGTACCAAAACGTATGAGGACCTTAATCATGATCCCCTAGAGAAGCAGCTTTTGCAAGCTACAGCGCTTCTATAGGAAGAAGTAAGGTGGCCCCTAGAAGGGAACCTTCAAGGGCCCCTAAAGTTGCCCCTCTAGGAACCACGCTGCATATCTTGAGAATAGTCAAAAAATGCCTTGTTTCAAGTTTGGTCTGTTCTTAGTTTTTTTTTTTTTGACAGGAAAATCGTTCGAGTTTTTCTTTTCGATATGGAAAAGTTGTTGTAAAGCTAGCTATGCATTAGATCTACTAAAATGTCTATATTTCGTGGAAAGAAGTTCAAAGAAACCTTTTCTGATAGTTTTTTGAGATTTTAGGTCCCTGTTTTTGAAAAATAGGAAGTTTTTCGGATTAAAATTTTCTGATGGGGGCTTTTTATTTTATGAAAACGAGCTCAAAGGGGCAAAATAAACTGTTTTTTTCCTTTTAATGTTTTCTAGTCTTTTTTTCTGGTACCCGAAAAAGGATTGTGACCTTGGAAATTTACTTCCTTGTTGGGAAGTCTCGAGAAAAAACCTGACTTACTGGGAAAACTTTTTGTGGCCACTATAGAGGCTCGCCAAAGACTACTTGGAGAGGACACTAAAGTGGCCACTAAACCCACCTCTATCGTGATCACTATTTTCTGTTTTAGTGGCGACTTCAGTAGTTTTTCATCCATTATTCCTTCCAGTAACTCTGATAATTTCAAAACAAACAGATTGAACCAGTTATGATGATCCATTGACCCCTTAAGTGGCCACTGAAATTTTTAGTGGTCTAGTAGTACCACTTAGACTTCTATAGTGGCCACTAATTTTTACCCCTCAAGAGGCCGCTATTTCGACTACTGTAGTGGCCACTAAAACGTCAAAAACCTATAGTGGCCACTAAGTTTTGTTCAGTGAGGAAAAAGTTCTTTGGGAAAAGCATACTGACTTTCCGAATTCCATAACAAAAAGTTCATAAAACTTCCTCCAAATCACCATAAACTGGAACGCCAAACAAACGAACGATAGTTTTTATGTGTCTCCAACTTTTGGGACGAAGATTCTCGAAGGGCCGCCGCAAAATCGGACCAAGGTCATTTCTCGGCGGTCATTGCCTTTTCCGCCCGTGTCTTCAGTTTTATTTAGCTCTTCCTCTTTCTCACTTGGTTTGTTTAAAGCAAAAGAAGACGGGAAAATAGCTGCCGTTTTCTTGTGACACGTGTACGAGGAAGACCCGTTTTGGGCTGGGTTTTTCTGGAACCTTCGCAGTCTTTTTATATATCAGTTTTCGGAATTGAGACCGGCCCATTTTCTATTGTTCTGAAGCCACAGGCTTCTTATTTCCTTTTTTCTGAAGCTTTTTTCGATTTTTAACGGTTTCTAGACTTCGAAAACCGTTCATTTTAATCAAAATCCAGCTTTATTGTGACTTTTTATTCATTTCTTTCAAAAAAATAAATATGTATTTTTACGAAAAAAATCCAGCTTCAAATATTTAAAGTTTGAAAAACTTATGCGCCTTTAGAGGTTCATCATCCGAAACTCTGTTAAAAAGGACTTTTCGTTTCGAGACTTTTATCAAATTTCATATGCTCCTTTAAATAAACTCACACCACACAAGGCGCAGTAAAATAATTATAAGTAGCTGCAAAAAAATTCTTTAAAGTATTTTTTTGAACAATAAAAAACGCTTCTAATGATTTTTTGCGTAGTAAAAATCACTGCAAAAAGTAGAATTTCACTACGTTTTTTTACCAAGATTCATTAAAACCCGCTTGAAAAACTCCGGTTTTTTAAAATTTCAATTGAAAAATAAAGAAAAAAAACTGACTTCTTTGAGTAATTCTCGCACTAGAAAGGAAAAAAGTCTTTTTTTCAAGAGTTCTCCTACGTCGGAAAATGTGGAAAAGGCTCCAAAAAAAAGTTCTTTTTAAAGTGACGAAGGCTCCTTTTTTTGCTGCCTTTTTGCGCCATTCTATCGGCCATTGTGCATCATTTTTGCTGCTTCTCTTATTCTCCACCCTTCCTCGAGCCTATAAAATTCTAGAAAAAACGGATAGCTCGATAAAGGGACCTGTTTTGCTGCCTTTTTGCGGCCTTTCTCCGACCTTTTTTGAGTCTCTCCATTTTAGCGGCCCTTATATATCAATCCGATTTTGCCCGAGATGATAAAAAAATGTTAACGATACGGAAGATATTAATTTGAATGAACAATTTTCAGGTGATGAGGGCCTTTGTGCTCTGCCTAGCCGTCGTTTCTGGCGTCTTCTGCGAAGAAACTCCAGCCGAAACCCTGCCAAAGTGCCCTCATATCGATCCCTATACTGAGTAAGGGTTTTTTTGGATCAATTCACGACTCAAAATGATTTTTTTAAAAAAATTCTATTTTTTTATTTCTTGAAAAATAGTGAACCGGTTGCTCTCATTTTGAACAATGTGGGGAAAAAAATCACGTTAAGCTTGAAAATTTGGCCATTTTAGTAACGTTCTTTCATACAGTAGTAATTTTTTTGAATTTTTCAAAAAAATTTACTTTTTTTATGGGTAGAATGAGCATAAGGGACAGGTTGAAACAAAAGATTAAAGTTTTTTTCAAATTTTTTTGAGAAAAAAAGCAATTTTTTTCTGGTGCATTTGTCAACGAAAAAAATTGGTTTCAAAATAAATTTCATGAAATTTTCTGTGGGAAAAATTTTTAAAAATTCATTTTTTTCCAGTGATAATCATTTTCCATAAAACTGAATTTTTTTGAATATTTTTTTCTCCCGCTTAGAAAGCTGGCTGAAGCCGGGCGAAAAAAATTGTTTTTTTGAAATTTTTTTGAGGAAAAAAAGTTTTTTTGAGTATTTTTCTAACGAGAAGCTTCTTTAAATATTGATAACTATGAAATTTTTGGGGGGCGTTTTAAAATCTCATTTTTTTAAGTGTTAATCACGCTGCAAATTTTTCAAATTTTTCAATAAAAAAAAATTTTTTTGGATTAAGATTTACCTGATTTTTTTAAATTTTTTTATTAGCTTGGAATGCCTTTTTCCATAGAGCTTTTCAAGTTTTCGCATTTTCATTGTCAAGAGAAACTGTAATCTCAATTTTGTAATTTTTTTATCCAGCTTGGAAGGCTGGCTGAAGCTGGACGAGCGCAAGTGCAATCACACTACGATTGCTACCGGAATCAGCGAAGAGGTATGAATTTTATTAATTAAATCTAAAAAAATAATGATAAATATGGATTCCAGGAGAAGAAACGGTACGACGAAGGCTCCAAGGCGTTCGCCTTCGACTCCTTGGCCAGCGAAAATCTCGGCCCAAGCAGAGATATCGGCAAGCAGGCCCATGAACTGTTAGTAGCCCTGGAAATGATTTATTCCCATTTTTTTCAAATGAGAAGAAAGTAACTACAGTCTTTTTTAAGATTCATGAAAAATCAGTTTTTTGGGTCACCTGTCCTTAAAAATTTGTAAAAATTGACCTTACCTTTAGGTTCAAGACTTAGGACATTAAGGTCTTTAGGGTCAAATTTATAAATCCATAAGGTTCAAAAGTTTCGAAGAACGTTTTCTAGAACGGCATTCAGGACCCTAGGGTCATATTTTGTATTCACATAAATTGAAAATATTTTGAACACCTTCTTCAAAAGTTTCAAAAAAGGGTTTTACCTTAAGCTTTAAGGCTTGGGGCATTAAGGTTAGTAGGGTCATATTTTTACATCATTAATATCCAAGTTTTTTTCTGAAAATATGTCTCTAAAAAGTTCCGAAAACGACTTTTTACCTTAAGATTTAACACTTAAGGCATTTTGGTCCCTAGGGTCATGTTTTTAAATCCATAAATTTTAAATTTCTCTGAAAATCTGTCTCTAAAAGTTGTTAAAAAGACTTCCACCTTAAGATTCAAACCTTAGGGCATTAAGGTCTCTAGGGTCATATTTTTTTAAATTTAGTAAAACTTCAGTTTTTCCCGGAAACTTGACCTTAAAAAAAGTTCCAAGAACGGTTTCTACCTTATAATTTAACACTTGGGGCTTTAAGGTCACTAGGGTCATATTTTTTTAAATTCATAAAATTTTTAAAAATTTTTCTGGATACCAGCCCTTAAAAAAAGTTTCAAAAACTGCTCCTACCTTGATTTTCGACGCTTGAGAGATCAAAGACCATTTTATGAAATTCACGAAAATCTTCATTTTTTTCAAAAACTGGTCCTCAAAAAGTCATAAATACAAATTTAACCTTAAAATTCAAAACTTGGCACATTTAGATTCCGAGGGGCGTTTTTTTGAAACTCATGAAGATCCTAATTTTCTCGAAATTCTCACGAACACCATTTTCCTGTAAGACTGGAAGTTCTTCAAAAAAAAAAAATTTATTTGATAAACTTGGTAGAAATTCAACAGCGTCCTTCAAACAATTGAGAATTCAATAAAATTAAGATCGAAAAAAATCTAGAGATTCTAGGGTATTAAAAGTAAAATCGTGTTGGGAAGGCCTGGGATTCCCTGAAAGTCAGCCAGAACACTCTTTGATGTACCAGATGAAGCTCTTGAGAATCTGAAAATTCACAAATTTTTAGTTTTCGAGGGCTCCAAGTCCCAGGAAAAAACCGCCCTTTTTCAAAAAAATAGAAAGTTGTGCGGGTCGGAACTTTCAGAATCTTTTTCTGGCCAACTTTAGGGTAAATCACAACCGCAAAGTAAAATAACCTTCCTTGTAAAATGGAATTGAAACGTTTCCAGGTGCGAAAAGCAGAACTACGACGCCCAATTGTCGACTTCTGTCGTCGTGATCCACCACAATGAGGCTCTTTCTGTCCTTTTGAGAATGCTCAATGGTAATTTTGAAAAAAAGCGTGAAAAAAAAAAAGAAAAAAGTTGCGATTTTTGAACCGTTCAGACATCAATTTTCTTCTTACGTCATTCTTTATGACCTGAAACAATCTGACCTGTCTGCGCTCTCTTTTCTCTCACCTGCGGGGTCAAAGGAAAATGAAAATAGCATGTAGACACACGAGGGAAGAGAGAGCAAAAAGACATTTTTATGAGCTCTGAGGAATATTTCTTATTCTAGTAGTTTAAAAGCTGGTTTTCGAGTTCCTAGCTTCAGAAAAATTTTAAAATGGCTCAAAATTTTCTGACCTATCTGCGCTCTCTTTTCTCTCACCTGCAAGGTCAGAGAAACATAAAAATAGCACGGAAATACGAGAGGACCTAGAGAAATCAGATTTTTTTGAGGTAGTGTTACTCATTTGCCGAAAAATGAAAATTCTAGTTATTGTCTTTTTTTCTCTGCAACTCTCTCGTCTTTACGTGATATTTCCATGATTCCCTGACCTCACCGGTGAGGGAAAAGAGAGCCCAGACAAGTCAGACTGTGCTAATCTTAATGAACTTCCAAGTTATTTTGAGTGAATTTCTTGCCTTTCCAGGAATTTTCGCCAAGACACCGGCGAATCTTCTGAAAGAGATCGTCATCTACGAAGACGCCTCCGACGAGGAACATCAACTGAACGGCCATCTCGAGAAGTACGGAAAGATCAAGGGCGTCTCCGACAAGTTGGTCATCGCCAGGAACCAATACCGACAAGGGCTCATCAGGGCCAAGGTGAATTTGTCATTTTTAAAAAACCTGGAAGATTTTTTTCTTTGAATTCAAAGTAGAATGACGTCATTCGAAAACGCTGTGTGGATGGCTGGCTCCCTAACTGGTTTATCGTGCCATTAGGGGCGGAGCTTGAGTTTGACATTGAAATATTAACAGACTAAAGAATCTCAAAAAGAAAATTCAGCGAGAAATCGGAAATCAAACTCACGAAACACATTGAAGAGTCTTAAAAAGTGGACAAGTCTTTCAAAAATTGTTTGGTCTACGATCTGCGATTAAACCTAGATCAAATTTCGGCCCGGGAAACTAGGGCATCTCCCATTTTTTTTTTCAACTCTGGCTAGGTTTCTCAACGGGTGTACCCGTATAAAGCCCGATTTTTGAAGTGTATTTAAGTCTGCGTTCTGCTAAGACGGGCAAAAAACGGGTGCAAGAAAAAAATAGGTGTCCCAGCTGTTTATTTTGAAAATCTGAGCGGTAACTCAGCTGGGGTAAAAAGTACTGAAAGGTCTCCCAACTTTGATTATACGGGAGTAATGCGGGCACACCCGCTGAGAGCCCGGATTATCAGGGCAGGGCTAAGCTCATAAGCATGAGAGACTGCTTTTTATAGTCTGTCCAGTTTTTGAATGTCAAGCAGCTGACTCCACCTCTAAGGCTACAATATCTTTCGCGTCAATGTTTTATCTACAGATGACGATGTCCCTTTAATAAGGCTGCCTTTTTGACTTCTTTCTCTACCTTTTTGATCAAAAAAGATCAAAATTAGTCCCGCGCGATAAAACATCGACGCGAAAAGGTACCGTCTCATCAGGAGCGGAGTTAGCTGGTTGACATTTAAAATCTGAACAGACTATAATCGTTTTTTCTCCCTTTTCCGGTTTATATGTTTTTCTTTTATCGCGTTAGAACTTTTTATCTAGGCTTCTGGATTTCTTTGGACTATTGGATAGTTTCGAAGTTCAGGTACATGCTTCTCGTCTGGCCACCGGCGAGGTCATTGTCTTCATGGACAGTCATTGCGAAGTCGCCGACCGTTGGTTGGAGCCCCTTCTTCAGCCGATCAAGGAGAACCCAAAAAGGTTCAAAAAAATCATGTTGAAAAAAAAGTCGAAGAAACCCTGACCCTTTTATAATTGAATTATGTGCTCCATGGCTAATTTAATAAGTTTTTTCATGTCGTTTACAAAATCGACGCGTTTTTGAAATGACTTCGCCAACAGCGCTCGAGTCTCCGGAAGCGAGAGAGCACTGGTAAACGAGAGAGCTTCAGAGAAACAGAACTCTGCGCACTCTCATTTTTAAACGCTCTCTAACTTTCGAAAAGCCGAGCACCGAAGATTTGAACGTAGAATCAAGTTTCGTGAAGTCGTTTTTCCACAAAGAACGCCGAAGGGGACCCTCTAGGGGCCATCATACCTTCCCCCTATAGGGGACACTAAAGATTGCAAAGGTCAAGATTTACTAAATATGCCTTTGAAAAAAAATTTGGAGACCCCTTTAGGGACCACCTTAATTTCAGCCCTCTAGGGGTTGTTATTTCCCTAGCCCCTTTAGGGGCTGATAAAAAGTTATTTTTCCAGCGTCGTTCTCCCAGTCGTCGACCTGATCAACCCGGTAACTTTCGAATATTCGAAGAGTATGGTCGCGAAGAGCGGATTCGACTGGGGCCTCAACTTCAAATGGATCTACCTGCCCTGGTCTTATTTCGAGACCGAGGAGAACCACGTCAAGCCTTTTGAGTCAGTTTTTGGGCGAAAAGATAATTTTAAAAAGTGAAAAAAGGAAAGATAATAATCCTGAGTAGCTTGGTAAGCTAGAAATAATTTTTACTTCGAACTTCAATTCTCTTCTTTCTTTGAATGACCCGATTTGCAGAAGTTTAAGGAAGCATGGCGTTTTTTCCGTAAATTGAAGTGTGTCGTGTGCATGCACCGCGACGCACTCGCACATGCCAAGATTCGTCTCATGACCCATTGCCCATGCGTCTTTAATATTCAGTGTTGTTTACGCGTGTTTCCCATGACGTCACATGGGAACGGCGGAGGTTTCGACCACGCCCCCTTCATTTTTGTTTCACTAAAAAACGCCGTGCAAAGGGATTCCTCGAAATTCAGAACAGCAGAGAAAGAAAAAGATAAATAAGTTTTGGAGGGTCAGAGATAACTTTGCGTTCCGCCGAAGTTCCTTTGCAGTGTGTAAAAAGAATTTCTCGAAAATTGGTTTGAGTATGTGCGAGAGCGCCGCGGTGCATGCACACGACACACTAAACTTTACGCGAAAATATGGGCGGGTGTCGCCTAAAAAACGCCGTGAGAAAAAAGAAGAAAAAAAAATCAATAATTTCCTTCTTCATCCTTTTCGGAGGTTCTGATGAATTTTTGAAGAGTCTTTTTTTTTTTTGAAAGCGTTTCCTGGTTAGTTGCAAGCTTATAGTCAATGTTTCCCGACTTGAAAGGCGAGGGAGGCGGGACGCGTAGCGTGTGCGTACGCGGTTCTTGGCACGAGTCCAATTTAACCGCCAGCGACTACTTGGAGAGCTCATTTATCGCTCTTTTCACTTCTTTTTTAATTATTTATTGATTATATTCATGTGTGCATCAAAAAATAGTTGAAAATACAGAAAAAGAGCGGTTGCCGAGCTTTTTAAATAGTTGGCGGCGATTGAACTGAACTTGCGCCAAGAACCGCGTACGCACACGCTACGCGTCCCGCCCCTTGCCCCGCCTCCCTCGCCTTTCAAATCGGGAAACATTGACTATATAATGGCACATTTCAAAATATTTTCAGGTCGCCGGCCATGTCCGGAGGTCTTCTCGCCATCCGCCGTGACTACTTCAAGGAAATCGGCGAATACGACATGGGCATGGAAATCTGGGGATCCGAGAACATTGAACTGTCGTTGAAGGTTCACAACTGAATTATTGTGAAATAATTCTGGAGATTCCAGGTTTGGCTGTGCGGAGGCCGTGTTTTGGTGGCGCCGTGCTCCAGAATCGGCCACGTCTTCAGAATGCGTCGTCCGTACACCAGCAAGCCCGGCATGGACACGGCCCTGTACAACGCCGTCCGCGTGGCGAAGACTTGGCTCGGAGATCATGAGGTATAGTCTGTTTTTTCGCGACTTGAAAGGGCGGGACTTCTCTGCGCCCTCTCATGTTTACGTACTATTTCCTCACTTCGCCGGTGAGGGAACAGAGAGACGCAGACACGCGAAACGACTATGAAAAAAGTTTATCTTGTAAAACCAGGGCTTTGGGTCCTTTTCATAGAATACTGCACAACTTTTGTTTTTTAAAGAGTCCAATTTTTACGTTATAAATTGATGTAGAAGATCATTAACTACATCTTCTTCGAAAAAAACAAAATTCAAAAAAATGTGCCGTCGGTGAAAATTTTAAAACAGCACAAGTTTATTGAGTTGCGCGTCTTAAGGTATCACTAAAAAGGCTCATAATATGAAATTTGGTAGAAAAATTTTGAAAAAAAATTTTTCTGCGCAGAGTGAGACTGTGAGCAATCTCAATGAAGACCTTCAAAGAGTTTGAGCGAATTTTTGGTAAAATCCGATCGGAATTAAATGACAACCTTGTCAGGCGAATCCGAGGAAGAGGAAAAATTGATATTTTTTAAATTAGTCTCTCAACAGGCCTCTGGTAGGTAAGTAGAAGGTTTTAGGAAGCTGTGTGGAAGGATTTTGACCTCAGAAATCTTCTAAACGCCTTACAAGGGAAAAAAGCTCCCCAACACCTTCCCAGTTTGCCTGAGTATCAAACGATGAACAATGTAACCATATTTCCAATAGTTCCCAAGAAAATTATTTTCAAAATGAATAAAAGTAATCAAAACAAGACATTCTAATATTTCGAAAGCCCACAAAACATGGACCACCCTAAAATTCTACTTATTAACAAAAAATGCGCTTATTCCAGAAATACTTCATCAAGGCCCGACCAAAAGGCGCCAAGATCATGTTCGGCGACATCAGCGAGAACGTCCAGCTCAAGGAGAAACTCCAGTGCAAAGACATGAAATGGTTCATCGACAACGTCTATCCCGATCTCAAGCCAATTGTTCATGAAGAATTGTAACTTTTTGATCGAAATCGTTCTTTTCAGTTCCTTTTCTTGCTTCTGGGTTTCATAGGAAAACAAATGGGTACAAATTCTAAGTGATAATAAAGAATTTCTCTCGTTTTTTTTATGAATTTGATGAAGAAAAGAGTGAAAAACGCCATGCTATACTTGTTTTTCAAGGATTTTCTGAACTTTATATTAATTTCTCAATCCTGCGCTGTATTGTATAAAGGAGGATCGAAAAGGTCTCGAGAAGAAAAAATAAAAAATACAATTAAACAGTTATTCGTTTCGAGACCTTTCCATGCTCCTTTAAACAACCAAGAAAGACATTTTAAGCGTATTACTTTACAGTGAAGCAATTTTTCAGTTAAAAGGATAGTATAAATCGTAAAATCCTTTCATTTCTATTACAAAAATTTTTTTCGCGTTATTGAAAAAAATCGAATTTTCAACGATCATCAAGCATTTCCGAACTTTTTTTGAAAAATTATTCCACAAATTAAAGGAATTTACAAGTTTTCACGCTCATAATTGTCTTCAAACTTGATTTTTTTAACATCGATTTAAAAACTCTAATAAACCAGAGATTCAAGAAATCTCACAAATTTATGAGAAAAAAACCATTTTTAAGCAATCTCTTGTTCTTTTTTTGAGAAGTCTTCGAAGCAAAATGACAAAAAAATAATATGTAATATATATATTTTTCGTGAACAAAATCAAATTACGAAAACGAAAAATGCATTAAAAAGCAGTTTTCAGCGTTCTTTCCAAGTCAATAAGACATGGGCGGCTTTCAGAACCCAGCAAACATCTTTAAGCGAACTAAATTCAAACAAAAATATCAAAGAGAAAGATTAAAAACGGAGAACCAGAAAAAAAATAAATTGCGCGCGACGGAGAGCACCAGTACGACAATTCACACGAAAACATAAAAGCCGACGCGCAAAATTGCGATCAAGTGACGTCACAAATTTTTCCTGACGTCATCCTTCCATTTTTCGAAACCGTTTTTGTTTTTCTATTTTTATGGGGCAAAATTGTGAGGTTTCAATTTTTCCGAGAAATTCGAGAACCGAACGCATTTGAACGCTTCTTGATATAGACGTTTTGTGTTGCGGTGCGTATCGATTTTTCCAAGCCCCCCACTGCCGAAATATATCGCTCGTTTTCTCTCTTTTTTTCTAATTTTTTTTTCGCTTCTCATTTTTGACTTTGTAGCCGTTTTTAACTTTAACAGATCCATTAGAAAACTCTATTTTTTCTCTCTTTTTGTTTATTCTGGATATTCGTTTTTTTTTTAATTTTTCAAGTTTCAGAGTTTTATAAAAATGATCTTTGTACAAGGCTCAAGCTCAAAATATAGAGCATGTACCAAATTATTACTTCATTAGCTAATTTTTCAGTCGAGCGGAAAATAAATTGGACGAGTATAACAACTCTTTCACGCTCTAATGATTCGCATATTATTTCGCGTTTTTTGTTCTTTGTTCGAGTTCAAAAACCAAACAATTAAGCTAATTAGGGACGAAATAACGTCATTTTGTCTAGTTAATTAGGAAAAGACGAAGGGAAAGGTATTTTTTTATGAAATTAGCTCAATATTTGTCTGGAAAAATTTAATTAATTGCTACTTGTTGGTTTGCTAATGACCATATGTAAAGTTTGAAGAACCTCGTTTACTTTTTTTTTTTCGGATTTAATTTCCGAATCTGAAGTACCTACAAAAAAGGATACAATTTTATTTTTGGCTACTCCAAATTTCCGTTCATTTCTCTCCAAATCACTTCTTTCCCATAATTTATGACCTTTTATAAGTTCGTGTTTTTGTTTTCTTTTTTTTTTCAATGATGTGAAGAATGATTTTATAGGTTAATTTTTTCAGGAAATACCATGGGAAAGTGTAGATTTTTGCCTTCTTTGAATTGGACACGATTTTGTTGAAAAAGTTCTTTTAAGACGACTTCGTATATTTTTTCGATCGTAATGAAATATTTTTTTCAGTTAAAATGATTAATTTTTTTAGCTTTTAAACATCCGAAAAAAACGACATTTTTTTCAACAAGTTGTCATTTTTTCATAAAATTTAAATTTTTTTGTCGTGAAATTTGAATCAATAAAGAGAAAATAAAGAATGAAACCGAAATTTTTCAGAAAAAAAGCCGGCTCCGACGGTTTCATCTGGTTTTTTTATTTTTCATTATGTTTCTCGATTTTTTTCCCCATTTTTCTCAAATTTTTTTCTTAGAGCTTCTTTTTCACTTGTGGTTTTTCAAATAAACACTATATTATAGAGAAAAAAATATGTATTATATCAAAAAAACTGATGTATTATGGTTTTTGTTTGTGAAAAATCAGTTTTTTTCATGCATATTTTTTTATGGAAAAAAAGCAGTGGATTTTTTTGGAAAATTTTTTTGAAAAATTGTATTTTTGAAGGCTTATAAAACTTTTTAATAAGAGCTTAAAGATGTTTTTTTAATGATTCTAATAATGTTGTTTTGAGTTTATTTTTTTCTCATGTTTGAGAATAATGACATTTTTTTCGGTTTTTTTATCATTTTTTTACTTTGATTTTTCTTCTTGGTTTGTTTGTTTTTTTCGAGCCTTTTTTTTTAATCAAAAAGGCATTTTTTTAAGCGAAAATCTATGAAAAATCCGCTTGTAATTTCGTTTTTAAAGAATTTTTTTCAGGTTAATTTGTATTTTTTTCCAATTTTTTTAATTTGGTGTTTTTTTCGATCTGTTTCTCCAATTCTTCATGCTGTCTAAAGTAATTTTTCGCGAAAAAGCAAAATTATCTCTGGCTCTCCAAAGTTTAGTTATCTTTTCTTCTCTGACGGCGGTGTTGATTTTAGCGGAGTCACTTTATTTATGGCGTTAAATTTTTGTTTTTAAACTTTTTTTACTTGCGGGTTTCATATGAAACAGTATAATGTAGAGAAAATAATTCTTTCCATTTTGATTTTATTCGTTGCTCTTCTTTTTTTTTCCTCTTCGAAGCGAGCCGCATTAAGGAGTCTCGAAAAGAGGAAAAAGCGGAAACTAAATGTTTCGAATTTCAGTTGTGTGCGGCTGCAAAAAGGGAGAAAGACGGGCACAGAAGAGAGGATAAATCAAACGATTTTTTGGCCGGAGAGAGAGAGAAAAAGAAGAAACTTCGGCTTGGATGAAGATGTCGGCGACGACGAATGGAGGCATGGCTCATGTCAGTTCATTTTCTTTTTTTTCCTTGTTTATCAATTAATTTTTTTTCGTTTAATGAGCTGTAGTAATAGGTTTATGGCAGAATAAGGCGTGAAAAATAGCCTCTTGCAAAAAAAAAAAACAAAGGTGCAGCCGAAAAATGCCCACGGAAAAGTGCGCTCCATCGCTAATTCGGATATTTTTCTTATTATTAGTTCAGGAAAGCATGTATGTTATCCCTGAAGCTCTATGTAAGCTTTTAGGCGTTTTTAAAGCAACATTAATTTATGATTTGGATTCAAAATTTCACTCTAGTGGATGCTTCAAAGGGTCCTATCGAAACCTGAAGACTTCAAAACCCTTAAGGGACCTCTTCAACTGTTATTAGGCTGGAAAACCTCGTAATCCTTAGGTAGTTTATTTTTTATTCTGTCATTGACTTGAAGATAAGGCATTTTTGAGAAAATCACTGATTTTTTCTCAAGTTTTCACTCTAGGGGTGCTTCAAAAGGTCCTTTTTGGCTTTGAAACTCTAAAGTGACACCTCCAATCGTCATCGGACTGAAAACGTAAAAGCTTCGAAAGGAATATAGTTTATTGAGTCATTGAATTGAGGTTTAGGCGTTTTTGAAGGGAAAAATAATCGAGTTTTAGCTCTAGTGGTCATTCTAGGGGTTGAAAGGTCTTTTTTTTGCTTTTTATGGAGCCTGAAGACTCCAAAAAACTATAGTGACCCGTCAAAATTTTTAAGCTTTCGCAAAATTGGCGCTTTAAAAAGTCATTTTCAGCTTATTATGGGACCTAAAACTTTGAAACCCTAAAGTGACCCCTCTAAATTTTAAGATTTTGAAAAATTGGCGCTTCAAAAGTCCTTTTTCGGCTTTTTATAGTACTTAAAAACTTTGAAACCCTAGAGTGGCCCGGACTGAAAAAAAAACCTCGTAATCCTTGAGAAGAGTATAATTATTCAGCCATTGACTGAGGGATTAGCGAAATAACTCGGATTTGGCCCCGAGACTCCCTTGCTTTTTTCACCTTCAATAAATGAGTTTTCGGATTCACCCAAGCGAACGTTGCATTTTCCCCCCAGTTGATGGGGGGAAAACGCCGAAATGGACTCGTTCTGATGGCTTGTTCCTTATTTGGCTGCCGTGTTTACGAACCTTACCCCCCCCACCCCCCCTTGCTTCTTTGACCAATTCTTGGGTTTTCGGAGGGAGGTTTTTTTGAGTTTAATACTCGAATTATGGGGATTTTAGGTGGTTCTTTAGTCTGAGAAAATTTTCGAGGTTTTCCTAAATTTTTAGGCCGCTTTTAGGTGTTTTTGGATGACACTTTTTTCGAGTTTTTCACTGAATTTATTGGAATTTTAAGCGTTTTCACAGTTTTATGGAGCTTTTTTTTCAACTTTCAATGTAATCTTCACTGAATTTTTGAATTTAAAGGGGTCCGAGTAAAGTTGAGAAAGTTTTTTTCAAACTAGCTCTGCCTAATTTGAAGATTAAAAGCTTTAAAATCATGAAAAATGGTAATTTTCCAGTTTTTCTGCACCTTTCACCAGTCCTTGTGCTTTCGGATGAAGGAATGACTGGTTTTTTTGAGATGATTTCTAGAATTAGGTAGTTTTTCAGTTTGAGGAAATTTTTAAGCTTTCCTGGATTTTTTAAAACAAATTTTAGGATTTTTGAACGGAGTAGTGATTGTTTTTTGAGCCGACTTCCCAAATTATCTCAATTTTTGGCCGTATTTTTGATTATCAGAGAGTTGATAAGGTTCGGAGTGAAAATTTCGGAAATTTTGGATTTAATTAAAGTTAAGAAATCAATCTG